GAGAGAGGCAATCTTCTAACTTAATCAGTGTTACAAAAAAAAACAAATTTCCAAATTTAAAAAAGTATAATTTAATCCATTATAATTCTGTAAATAGGCTGGGAAATGGAGGCGTTTGGGGCTTAATCAGTGTTTTCTTATTTGCAATCAGAGCTATTAAAATGTATGGAATTAACAAATGTTTTTGAGAATTAAAGACTTCTACAGCCTGCTTCAAGCGTCAGGTCAAGAGCCTTTTGTGGGGAGGATTTGTTCATTTGAAACCATCCACCTGATCATTCAGAACTTCACAATTGGCACAAGAAACAAACTTGGCCATTGTCTTTTCCTTTCCTGAAAAGTTAGCGGACACTTCTGTGAATCTGGCCTTGTCTTGATGTTTGGATGATGTTGCAGTACTTCGTGTGGTCACTGGCAGTATCTAATTTGAACATGATGACATTCTGTTTATTTGTTTGTGTTCATACCAAGAAATCACTTTGTTCTAAGCACCAGCCTCCATTACTTTGTATTCACTTCAGAGTGTGTTACTATGTTAAAAGTAGTGCAGTAATGAGCCACTGTGTACTCAGGAATGTATGTGTGACTGTGACTTTTTCTCCTGTGTCAAAGCTCTAGTGACTTAGCATCTTGTGAAGTCATGGGCGAGCAGCTCCGTTAACCCACTTTTACAACTTTGATCCTAAATCCTCATGTTCAGTTATGTAACCACCAGCTTCATATCACAAGGTTAAATGTAGTAATAAAAATTTTGAAACTTTTTTAGAAACATGGGACAGTTATCTCAGTCTTGTCTAAAAATGTTGGTACTCAAAATAATAATAATAATAATAATAATATAATAGATGTTAAAGGTGCATTGCTCAACTTTTCTTGTGCAGGGTCTGCCACCTGCTTGTCTGCTTGACTTTAAACACATCCATCTAGTATTTATTCAGTAGGGGTGTTTCTATTGCTCAAAAATGTAATGTAGCGTCGTGCTGTGACCTAATTTTCTCCCTTGTGATAGATAGGTTTAATTTACACCGTGGAACTTTCTAGACAAAACAAGAACATTTCCATGCAGATATGCACGTGGGGGACCCTCCAGTAAAAAAAAAAAATCTTAAACATAATGAAACTAATCTCAATATCAGTATATAGGCTATCTAATGTTACTACCAACAGCTCACCTGAATACTTGACCATATTACTATACAATACTACTCTTTAATTATAACTAACTACTCACAATACAAATGGCAAGGCTAAGACAATTTAATTAAGCCATGTTGGAACTAGGTCTGTCACAATAACACATCTTGAGGTCTGAAATATTGCTGAAGTAAACATAGAACATAAATGACAATATTGAAATATCTCCCCAAAACTATTCTAAATGTACAATCTTGCTAAAAAAAAACTTTGACAATAAATATGATTAATGCAATTAAGTTGTGTCTATAATGAGTCACAGTTCATAATTCAACCTTGTACATCTTAAAAATCACTGTTGTATAACCCAAAATAATCAAAACTTTCCCACTACAAAGAAAAAGTACATACGATATTTTGATATAGTATTTATCGTTACAGGCCGAGTTGGAACAGGGTCATTTGAATCCCTCCATTTTGATTCTTGTCTGTTCTCAGCCCTATACACGTTTACGGTGCACTCTGGACTGTCAAAATCCAGAAGGTGAATCACAAACTTAAAAGCAGTCATTGACTCCAAGAGGAAGTGTCTGTGTTTCCCCATGTATTGGGCTGCGGGACTGTTTAGGATGTTGTTTTTGAATAGAGTGACTGCGTATGCTTTCTGTTTTGGAGCTTCATGCATGATAGACTTCTCAGCAAAAACAATTAAACTCATGGTCTAATTACACAGCACAACAAGAAGTGACCAGAAGACTCAAATGTCAAAGGTTAAATGTAAAGACAAGAATCACTAATGGAAATCACAGCCTTCTTTAATCCTTCCATTTACATTTAGTTCAGTAGAGATTCGCATTTCCAGAACTGAAAGGTGTATGGAGTATAAAAACACAGTGGAGCACTTCCAGCATTACCAAATGACATCACAATGTGGAACAGAGTGTTTGTGTGTTAAACATGTGTGCATGAAACAAAACAAAACTTATTTTAATACCAAGTTTAATCAAGGTAAACCATGTTGAAACATTATATCTGAGATTTAGACGAATCCTGTGATCTCATGATTTGATTTGAATGGCGTTTTAATAGATCTCCTGCTTGGGACATTGGGGTAGAAAAGTGCTTAATCTGAAGTGGTCTGATCCCAGGTCATTGAGTTCTCTTCTTCTCCCCCTCTGTGAACCATCAACTCACAAAGTCCAGAGAGGTCCAACGTGACTCGTAGCATGTTGCCTCATACTTCATTCATTCCAAGCAACTTCCCATGCTGTACATGGGCTTTTCCTTAGTAGTGAATCTGCAGAAATTTTCCCAAGCTGGCAACTCCAAGGCTCTTCTGTTCCACCAGATGAAGAAAAGAAAGCTGATTTTAATCCTAAAACGGATTATTGAGGATTAGACGAGCCCTCTGTCTCAAAAAGCACAAATTACTGTACCACCAATGGTACCACCTTAGACCTGAGAACCAGGTTACAGTAGTGTCTGCTGAACAAAGAGGATTATAAAGATCTCATCATTGTAATCTGCTGTCATTTTACAGAGGTCCTATACTTCTGACAGAACTATTAACATGGAATTTGGGCCCCCAGTCATTGAGGGCATAGCACTTTTTTCCCAGGAAACCTATACTGTATGAAGGTCTCCCAAGCTTAGGTAACAGTGTCACCAGTTCAAGTTCAAATGCCAGCTGTAGACAGGAGGTAAAGGTGTTGAGTATTACATCAAGTGCAATATGTAACATTTTGGACCTGCTTGTCTCTATGGAGATGTTATTGATTTGACCAGAATGCCACAGAATGGACATTATGGAGACAAGCTGTTGACACCACCAAGCCTAGTTACAGGTCAGGTCTGCAGAGAGGCGACCCTGCTCACAGTAAATATACGGGTTTTCAAGGCAATGTGAACACATATAACTGAATAAATACACGATTCTAGGCAAGGTACTAACATCTCCATAGACAGAAACAGATGGGGAACCCTCTACCAGAAAAGTTACATAGCACAGCTTTAACCATAGCATTATTTGTGGCCTGCAAGATGAATCAGAATCAAATCACTATCACAGTTAGTATGGTCTTAATAAGCAAATCACAAAGACAGCAATTATTTAAACAACATTAATTCCTCTATAATGTCCTATTATGTATAAATATGTGGGATTCTTGTATTAGTCCTTATTTGCAATTCAGTATTTTTTTACTAAATCATTCAGTTTTATTTGTTAAATTTTATGATGTTCAATAGAGGCTGGTTGTCACTGGTTCATTGTTGGGATTTAGTGTTAAAGCCTTCAAAATGTGCTATTTGTGATAAAAACCTAGAGAGTCAGTGGAGACCGCTATGAATGTGGTCAGATAACATCAGACGGACAATGGACTTCACCGACAGAATGGTGTAAAGTGAGATGACACTTTGACGTTACTGGAAATAACTTGATGAGAAAAGATGAGGAAAAGCAACACACAAAAGCAGCTAACAAAGAGGCTTAAGAATAACCTGGGTGTTACTGAGGTCATGTAGTTAGGTGGGATTTTTAATTGTGTCTATTGTGCTACACTCTATTTGTATGTGGACCATAGGGACATGATGCATTTTCGGGATGACTCAACTGTCCCCATCACAATCACATGTAAAATACCCAAGAATGTAGATGATTTAGTTACATAGGCCTGTCACGATAATTACTATGAGTTATTGTTATAATATATGAAAGCTGGAAAAATATATTTTGGGGCTCTATTTATCATGTGTACATTTTCTTTGCAATAGTGGGGACATCTTTTTTTAATTTATTTTTTTTTTTTTACATTTTTAGTAACCATATAATGATACTCTCTATTTAAAATATGGTTTACTGGGATTATCCATCTATTTCAATAGTGTCAGTGACATAAAGTAGTTTCAATATTATCGTTTATGGCAATATATCTCTGTAGCAATAGCTTCAAAATGTGTTATCGTCACAGGCCTATAGTTACAATTATTAAAACCCATGTTAGATTTGGCAAAAAGTGGATTCCCAGATACTAACAGTACTAGCATTAAAACTCATTTGAAGTATTGAAACTGAAAAAATGAAAATGTGACCTTTTCTAAACAGTTTTAGAATGGTCTGTATTGGATCTGTATCACAAATGTAAGACCACAGAGTCGTACTTGACAAATATCTTAGTATGAAGTATTAGTATCAAAAATTTGCTTAAAATTAAAGTATTGTGACAAGACTATCCCATGGTAATAAAGGCATTTGACTTCAGGTTGTTTGAGAGATTTGAAATTATTTTAATATATTATCTTGTGAATGTTTTGATTGAATTGAAATTTTTCTATGGAAATGTCATTGCTTAGCCTGGAATGTTCCATAGTATAGCATTAAACTCATCTAACTTCATGGAGACAAGTTCCATGCTGTATTTACTATAATTTTAACTGTATGCATGATGTTGATGCTAAAGTCAAGCTGCAACTTGGTCTCAGTAAATCATCTCATTATGAGCCAAATCAACATTTTTCATAGTGATTTTTCCATCAGTCTGGTCTGCGCATGTGCTCAGCTATATAATCCTGGAGCCTCAGGTGCTGGTTTGGGAATTCTCACTTTATTGCCACTTTTTTTCTTCTTGTAGCAGAGTCTTTGTATCTGAGCAGACTGAAGGCTCACCATGTCTATGCAGCCTGCCTTTTATCTGGTGTCGATCACCACCACTCCTTATTTCACACAGATGCCCGCCTTGGACAATAGAGGCCTGGAGCTGGACTCGGTGAGCGTGCACGTAGACGACCCGGTTGTATATAACGGTAATGGGCAGATCCAGCAGCAGGACAGCTCCATGACGATGCATCCGAAGAATGCCCACAACCAGATGACCAAGGCACATCGCTTCAGCCATCTGCCCGCACGCTCTGCTGTGGACCTGGAGTTTAAAGACCTCTCGTACAGTGTCCAGAAAGGGCCCTGCTGGAGGAGGACAGGTGAGATTTACAGACACTTCTTAGTAAGTGCTACCCAGTTATAGGTGCTCGATGGTTTAAACCCCTTGGATCAGTGCATAATGGGTTTTGGCAAGACGCTTCACCCACCTTAACTGCAAATGAATGTGGTGTGTCAGTGAGTAATTGAAACTGTAGGGATACACCAATACATATATCAGATATCAGCGCAGATGTGGAAAACTTTAGTGTGGCTCAAGCCGATTGGTCAAGTCGATATCCCATTTTGGTGTATAAAGTGGTGTAAAAAGATGATTTACTGAAGAATAATGGCCCAAAACATCTTGTAATGTTGAACTTGTTTTTTTCTTTTTATTCAAAGCTATTCTGAAATGTCTTTATATGATAAATAAATTACAAAATGCATTTGGATAATTGCTTACCATATGTTATTTGGTTTAAAAGAAATAAATCATATTTTGCACTAGTTTTTGTTGATACATATAGTTTCCACATTGTATTGGAAAATAAAAAGCTGGATCGTTGGATCCCTAGTAAATTGGCAGCATTTCTCCTGTCAGTATACCCCAGGGCAGAAGTAAGAAGGGAATGAATGATGCAAGAAATATGACTTTGAAAGTCGAAAAGCACTAAGATTAAAGCACTATATCAGGTCCTACCTAATCTGAACATGCTTCAAATAAAAGGGAACATTGTGAACATGTTCAAATGTAAAATGACAATTGTTAAAGTATTAACAATTGTATTTATAACCATTACAGTCACTCACTAACACTCAAACTCATAATTAGATAAAGTAGGGGAAGTGTCTCGCTGAAGGACACTACAGTAGTGGCAAGAGCTGGGACCAAGCTACAAACTTTCTGGTTATAAGGCAACCCATTTACCACTTGGGTCATTCTTACCCAAAATAAATAAGGTGCTACACATCCCTGTTTCTCCACATCACGTCTCACTGACTTTAAAAAAGAGGACATGTTTATCACTCTTATTCAAGTCTCTCTATGGTACTTCTTTGCCTGAGACAGAGGAGATAATTAACAATAAAACTACAGGGTGACAGAGGGGACAAAACAGAGAAGAGGTGATTCTAGGTGAGCCAGTGCCCAGAGGCTCCTGTGTCCTATATATCATACATTTACATTCCTAGACAAACGCTCACAGAAAAACGTATTTGATTGACATAGCGATTACTGACTGTGTTTATTTCACTGCTTTATGAAACATCATTATGAAATAAAGTTTCATAATGATGTTTTTTACTTAGTATTAGCTCAAGAACAAAAGGACCAATAAGAAAATAATTGTTCAACACTTGACAGGGGTTTACTTTACAGAAAATTATGGTGACATTACAGCAATACACTAAGAATATAGCTTTTACTGGCAGTGCTGCTACGTGTGATTACTGCCTGGTTATTCATTCAAATAAAATTTTGTAATGATGTTTTTCATTCAGTATTTGCTCAAGAACAAAAGAAGGACAAATAAGAAAATTATTGTTCAACACTTGACAGGGGTTTACTTTACAGAACATTATGGTGACATTACAGCAATACACTAAGATACGTGTGTATCTACACTAAGCTACGTGTGTTTACTGCCTGGTTATTTCATAGTCTTAAGTGTTCATTCAAATAAAATTTCGTAATGATGTTTTTCATTCAGTATTTGCTCAAGAACAAAAGAAGGACCAATAAGAAAATAATTGTTCAACACTTGACAGGGGTTTACTTTACAGAAAATTATGGTGACATTACGGCAATACACTAAGAATATAGCTTTTACTGGAAGTGGTGCTACGTGTGATTACTGCCTGGTTATTCATTCAAATAAAATTTTGTAATGATGTTTTGCATTCAGTATTTGCTCAAGAACAAAAGAAGGACAAATAAGAAAATAACTGTTCAACACTTTACAGAGGTTTACTTTACAAAACATTACGGTATCATTACAACCTGCATTTACTGTAAATCATACTGGAAGCATATAGGTTTTAGTGGCAGTGCTGCTATCTGTGATTTTTTTTCATCTTTATTTGTTTTTAGTAGTTGCACTCTGTTTCATGGACATAAGACACTGTATTGTTGAATAAGCCAATTTAACATAATTATTCAACACCAGTGATTATATCTGGGAGAACTCTATTGATACTTTGCAGTGACATCATGATGGGGGAGTTCTATATATATCCCTAATGGTGGAATATTTAGGAGTTACCATGGTGACACAATACACACATTAGCAAACACTATCAAAAAAATTGTCTGAAAACTCAAGAAAAAATACAAAATGGGTTTAAACAAGGCATTTTCTGGAGGGACATATTTTAAAGCACAACTCAGCTCACCTGTTGTTTGTTCTTTATGGTCAGATTGTGTTAAAATAAAGCACTGATTAAAGTCTAATAAAGCCGCAGACAGAGCAGTGCCTACGGTTAGCATCACGCCCCCAGGAAATGTTATTGACATCAGTTGTAAAAGTATCTGTACTCACTGAGAAGTAGTGTAGTAAATTCTCAAGTGATTTTACTAAACTTGTGCATAGTTAAATATTCATGCTACTATTAACCATAATAATTAACCATAATGAAAGGCGGTCAGAAAATGCACATATTTTCATATCACTTATTTAAATGAGTTGAGTGTAAAATGGTGCATTGTAAAAGTTTGTAAAGGATTATTTTATTGCTTGTTGACTTACATTTAGACAAATGTTATTGATCCACAAGGGAAATTATTTGGACTTACACTTTACAATATATTATAATAACAAAGAGCAAAAAATATTTATAAATATATATTCAAAATAAGTAGCAAAGTAAATATCAAAACATATAACATATAACAAAAAGTGCCTGGTGGCATAAGGCGTAATTATATTAATGTATATGTACAAATAAAAATAGGAATATAGTAATACCACTAACATCTCTCAGCTATATTCTGTAAAAGAGGAAGTAAGGAGACAACAGTGCAAAGATGAAATAGTGATTGACATGACATTATCTATTACATAAGAGTAAGATGTATAAATGTAGTCCTGACACTGCTGTAACAATGTTTGTGATGGTTTATGCCTCTTTCTTTGTATTACTGTTCTACAGGTTTTAAATCCTTGCTCAAAAGTCTGTCTGGGAAATTCTGCAGCCGAGAGCTCATAGGAATTATGGGTCCGTCAGGCGCCGGCAAGTCCACATTAATGAACATACTGGCTGGATACAGGTAAAACTGATTTACAATCCAATAATCAAATGTATAGCAGCATGGGGCATAGTTACATACTGATATTGAGAAATCTGAAGGATTTAATAATATTTTTTAGGTTAGTGGTGCAGTGGGTTAAGTAGTAAACCACAAACTGGAGTGTAGCTGGTTCAAACCTTGCATGTGTTCACAGGAATGCAGTTATATGTATTGGCCAGACATTTTAACTACATTTCCCTCTCCAATCACAGTAAATGTCAGATAAATTAAAAATTAAATGGAAAACATGTCTTTTCTTATAGTGTGAAGAATCTTAAAGCTAAAGGTCCTGTATTAGACAAAACTGACTCTTGTGAGCTTTAAGCTATGTTATAATGTTGTTTATTCATCAAAAACATACCTGCAGTTGTGTTTCATTTCCTTCACACATGTTTGAGTAACTGTTTATTAGTTTGTCTTTGTCTCCAAAGCTCAAAATGTTCTGTTCCACCTTATGATGTCATGTAGTTGTAGTTTTCAATTTAAAAGCTACATTTTACCTTTTGTTCAGTAGAAATTGGCAATTCCAGGGCTGAAATTATCCAATTGATTCTAGTGAATGTGTATGGTGTTTAAAAACACAGCGAAGCACTTCCTGTATTACCATATAACAGGGTGTTTACTCTTTGAGAGAAGAACTCAGCCTAAGTATGCAGGACTTGTGTGTTGAACATGTGTGAACAAAACATAATTTCAGGTATGTTTTTGATGAGGAAACAACATTATAATATAGTAATATCAACCTTTAAATCTAAATTTTATAATATAAGGTACAACATTGCCTGTGGTTCTGGACATTTAAGACACAACACAAAATCTGATGTGAGTAATAACAGTCTTATAACTCATGTAACCACTGCCAATGTTTGGGTTAATTTTATTTTATTAGTTTATTTAATAGGGACTATGCGTCAACAGGGACTTCAGTCTCATAAAGAAGATATGTTTTACTCCAGATTTAGCTAAAGTCACTGCCAAATATATTAAAAACAGAAAACATAAAAACAGAATTTCCGATACATTGATTTTATTGTTTTACTTTGTGTGTCTGTGCAGACAAACTGGGATGAAAGGTCAGATCCTGGTGAATGGAAAACCTCGAGACTTAAGAAAGTTCAGAAAAATGTCCTGTTATATAATGCAGGATGACAAGCTGCTGCCACACCTCAGCGTACGAGAGGCCATGATGGTGAGACATACAGTGTACCTATAGTAAAGGAGTCATATGTTTTTGTATTTGAATGGAGTTTAAATAAGTGCTAAAAAGTGACAAGAGCAGGCCTGTGTTACCTAAAGCTCAAATTCCTTCTGCATTACGAGTGTATGTTAACAGTTTTCCATTTATTACAGGTTTCAGCAAACTTGAAGTTGAATGAAACCATACATGTGAAGAAAAAACTGGTGAGTATGTTAGACTATCTAACTTTTCTGGTGGAGGGTCTGCCACCTGCTTGTCTCCATGGAGATGTTATTACTTTGCTTGAATTGTTCCACTTAATGGAGACGAGGCAAAGTTACAGGTCAGATCTGTTGAGAGGGCACCCCGTTCACAATAAGAATGCATGTTTTTCCAATGTATTTTAGAGCAGTAAAAACAACCCTTACTGTATAAGATAGAGATAGATAGATAAAGATAGATTAATTATAACAGGTAATAATATAATTATAATTGTAACTGAGATGGCTAATAAGTGTAGGAATGTTTTTTGTTGGTTGTTACCATGTAATGCCTTAAACCTCGTTGAAATTTTTGTGGTTAAGTATCAGTGGATAATTGTGGGCAATCAGTGGGGTAATTTGCATGGCAATTGTGTTACACTTAATAATAACTATCTTAAATAGTAAAGCATGAAGAAAGATATCATTCACATTGAACAAATAGAATGAAGGCTGAGTAACTACTTAAGGTTAGTTGAGGTTAGGAGTAGGGATGCACTGATCCATTTTTTCAGTTCTGATATCAATTTCGATACTAGCCTTTAGGATCTGCCAATACCCGATCAACCTATACCAGTGCAGAGATTAAAAACAGCATTTATTTCCTTTAAACAAAAGTAAAATTGACAGAAATGTTTTATGTAGCTGTACAAGTAACTTCAGAACAGCTTTCTATAAACAACAAAAGTTCAAATATTATGAGACTTTCTTCACCAACTACAACCAGTAAATAGTAGTCTTATTACATCAATTTATATGCCCCACCAGGAGGATATCAGCTGAACTGCTTGGAAGCCAATATCTGATCCAGCATTTTTTTTTGTATTGATGCCACTATCCCATACCTGTATCAGCCCTGTGTATCCCAATTTAGAAGTTAGGGTTAGGGTAGTAAATACATAGACACTGAGTTTGAATCATTCTATATAAAAAGGCCTATCTTCACATTTTACTAAGGCTAACTGTTAGGTGTAATTATTATAAAGTGATCTAAATGAATGTTAATTGGTACATTATATTAACCGGCCATTGCTAAAGTGATGTCTTTCTGAAATTTCTGTCTCTGTGGGTACAGGTGGGTGAGATCCTGAGCTCTCTGGGGCTGTTGGACTGTGCCAACACCAGGACCAGTGCTCTGTCCGGGGGGCAGTGCAAGAGACTGGCCATCGCTCTGGAGCTCGTCAACAACCCCCCTGTCATGTTCTTCGATGAGCCCACCAGGTCAGAGGAGAACTGTTATTACTGTATACTTGTAGACTATTGACTACAGTTTTCAAATGTTGTGCCCACAGTTTAAGTTAGTTCTGATTTATTTTTATTTTTTTAAACTTTTTATTTAGTTTGTTAGTTAGGGTTAGTTAAGGTCTTATTTTAGCCTCTGTTTTAAAATAAGTAACTTTTCATCTGTTTGTGTGTGGTTTGTTTATTTTTTATCACCATCAAGTCTTACAACAGCAGAGATTACTTAGGGTTATGCTCCTATGAATATAATATTACTGATTAAAAAGTATATTTATGATATTCTGTAGGTTAGTGGTGCTTTGGGTTAAACAGTAAACTTAACTCACTGCCCCACTGGACCCATTGGAGTCTGAAATAAAGCTTGATTGATTGATTGAAGAACAACAATAGTTTCATCTTGGTCTCCATAGTCTAGGTTATGATCTTGTTTAGTGTATGTATATATGGTATAAGAGTTCCAGTGGTCAAAATAACTTTCTGAGATCTGTTTACTGGCTTTTTATGATCCACTGTTTAGCTGTGCATATGACTGAATCTTCTCTTTTAATGTAAATTTTATGGTGATTATTCATGTTTTGATTTGTTTGTATTGTGATTTCAATGTCTTTCTTATTCTGCAAAGCTCTTCCAGTTATACAGTGATGACTTGTTTGTGTGTTCTGTGTGCAGTGGCTTGGACAGTGTCTCCTGTTACCAGGTGGTGTCACTGATGCGCTCTTTAGCTCAGGGCGGACGCACCATCATCTGCACCATCCACCAGCCCAGCGCCAAACTCTTGGAGATGTTTGACAAGGTACAAAATATACTAAATTTGACCTAAATATTTAAAGGGCCCATATTATGCTATTTTCTGATTTATGTTATAATGTGTCATAATTTAATGTTGTTTATTCATCATAAACATATCGGGAGTTATGTTTTGTTTCATTCACACTTTTAACCCTGTATATTTAGGCTGAGTTCTTCTATCAGACAGAAAACACTCAGTTCCACCTTGTGATGTTATGTATATACAGTACGTGCTCCATTTTGGATTAAACAAAACACGACTCCAGATATGTCTTTGAGGCGGTAACGGCATTCCAGAATGGCTTAGTTTAAGGTTTACAAAAGTCAATTATAGGACCTTTACATGTCTTTAGTAATTTATGGTAGTTATGGCTCTGATAAATAAACTGATTTATTAAATAGTGTAAAGATGTTTGTTTGTGATCTAAATGTGTAAATATGAATGTTTATAATGGCTATTATCTCTTGTTCTTCCACAGCTCTATATTGTCAGTCAGGGCCAATGTATTTACAAAGGCTCGGTGCCATACCTCATCCCGTATCTGAAGACCCTTGGCCTGTACTGTCCCACCTACCACAACCCTGCCAACTTCAGTAAGGAAAATCTAGAAACAATCATTGATTAAATACAAGATATTCATTAGAGATCGACCAATATGGGTTTCTTGATGGACAATGTGATACTGATTGTTTAGAATCTAGAGCCACCAGTGACTGTTACGTTATATTCCATTATATTCTTGTGCTGATACTGTATGTGTGGCTGCTTTTGAATTAAAGGTGCACTGTGTAACTTCTGGTGGAAGGTCTTCCATCTGCTTGTCTCCATGGTGACATTATTGCTTTGCCTGGGATGTTCCACAGTACGGCGTTAAACAAACATGTCTTCATATCAATTACAGGTGTTGATATTTCTCACAATTACTGCAAAAACATGCCTTATTTCTATGAGCAGGTCCACTTGTCAACAGATCTGACCTTGGTCTGGCAATGTGGCCTGCTTGTTTCCACAGAGCTAGTTAAATTAAATGCCATACTGTAGAACATTTCAGGGGAAAAAAACATGGAGTCAAGCAGGTGGCAGACCCTCAGAACCTCTATCAGAATAGTTACACAGTGCACCTTTAAAATGAAAATAAATTAATTAATAAATAAAATATGTTATTTAAATTTACTAAAAACCCACAGCACATATTCCCCACAAACTCAGAGAGAGCTGTGTAGAAATGTTTTCAGCAGTTATCTATTTGCACTGAAGTGTTCAAATAAAGCTTTATTTTTAGGGCGTAGGTAACCCAAAACAAAATGTTGACCTTCGCTGAAGAGTCCAAAAAATGACCCAATATCTGTCTCTTTCCAATATTAATTGTAACATGTCTTGTTTTGCCATGCAGTCATTGAAGTGGCCTCTGGGGAGTATGGGAACATGAACCCCATGCTATTTGAAGCAGTTCAGAATGGACTGTGTGCTTTAGACGAGAAGAAAACCCTCAGCCAAAACAATGGATGCCCGATCTGTACCACAACCAACCACAGGGTACTTAATACAGAACTATATTCTTTTATGCTTCATTTTTATTTCTCATTCATTTTGATTTCATGCATCATTTTTAAGCTAATAAACATTCTGCTAACTTGACAGGAGTTACTGAAACCTGAATTTTACTTTTAATAAATTTGTCCTGAAAAATTGTATTGTCCTCACTTTTTTTCATACAACAAAGACAACATATAAATGCATGCTAGTTAATTAACAACATACAATAATTGTTATAACTAGCAGTATGAACTTTAATGAGCTATTAGCCATATTTAAGCCATTTCTGAGTACATCTCTGGCAGTTACAGGCACTTGCATCATTTTGGTTCTGAGGAATCCTATGTGAAAGGCTCCATATTATGCTCTGATCTATGTTATTATGTTGTTTCCTCATCACACGATACTTGGATTTGTGTTTTGTTTCAGTGACATACATTTAACACGTAAACCCTGCATATTTAGACTGAGACAGAAAATACTTAGTTTCACCTTGTGAGGTCATGTCATGAAGTGCTTAACTGTGTTTTTAAACTCCATACACATTCACTAAAATCATTTGGATAATTTCAGCTCTAAAATTGCCAGTCTCTACAGAAAAAATGGTAAAAGGTAGACGATAACTTGAAAACTACCACAACATGGCATCACAAGGTGGAACAGGAGCGTTTTAAAGCTCACCGGAGTCAGTTCTGCATAATATAGTACCTTTAAGCCTAAGAGTTAGCATGACTTGATATCACGTGATTATTAAATGATCAGTTGTAAACACTCTTTTCTTTTGCTTATTTGTGTGTCCAGGTTGAAAGCCATACTTTTGCAACAAGCACTTTAACACAGTTCTGCATTCTGTTCAAAAGGACGTTTATAACCATATGTAGAGATCAGGTAAGTATTTTCTAATCAACTCTAATATTAAAGCTGCATTGTGTAACTTTTCTGGTGGAGGGTCTGCCAAATGCTTTTTCTCCATGGAACTGTTATTGTGTGGTCTGGAATATTTCACAATATTGTATTAAATCTTTCTATTTTTGTGTATACCAAACCAGACCAAGTTACAGTAAATCTGTGGAGAGACGACCCCACTCTCTGTCAGAATACTTGTTTTTCAGGTAGTTTTGAGCTATAAAGCCACCTGTAATATAATAAATGTAAGGTAGAGCTGCTTGATGTCATACTGTGGAACATTCAAGGCAGAGCAATGACATATCCATAGACCAACCAGGTGATGGACCCTCCACCAGAAAAGTTACACAATGTGTCTTTAAATAACTCAAATTGAATAAATAGCTCAGTTACATCTCTTCCTCCTATATACAGGTTTTGACTAACCTCAGGCTCGCGTCACACATCCTGATCGGCGTGTTAATAGGTTTATTGTATCTCCAAATTGGAAATGATGCGAGTAAAGTCTTTAACAACACTGGCTTCCTCTTCTTCTCAATGCTCTTCCTCATGTTTGGAGCCCTCATGCCCACTGTCTTAACATGTGAGTACCAGTAATTAATTATTGTCATTCTATGTGAATATAGTAACACTATCCTGGATGTGTCTCTATTACCTGGGTAGCAACAACTATGGCTAAGAAAACAATACTAAAGAGTGGTCTTGTACCTGATACTAACGATGGCAACAAGTAACATGAATGCCATGGGTGCGAATGTGGCCCACTTGTATCTAGTTTGAAGATTTTACCACTCCCATAAGATGTTGTGTCCTGGGGCAAAACACTTTATATATGTATCTGAGAATGAGAAAATGACTCCTTGATGTAAAGCATTTCATAAGTTTTTTTTATGTTATTTGTCTTTGAGTGTCCATAATCTATTAAAAGTCATTATTTTAAAGGTGCACTATGTAAGTTTTTGGTTAGGGATCCATCACCTGCTTGTTTCTGTGTCACTGCTCTGCCTGGAATGTTCCACAGTATAACATTAAACAGCTCAACCTATATTTATTAAATTACAATTGGTTTTCTAGCTACCTAGAAAAATAGGCATTGTGGTTCCCTATCCACAGATGACCACTGCCCTGTAACTTGGTCTGGTTTGGTGTCCATGAAAATAAAAAAGATTTAATACCATTCCTTGAACCATTCCAGACGAAGCAGTAACATCTCCATTGAGAAAAGCAAAGATGGACTCTCCACCAGAAAAGTTACACAATGCCCCTTTAGTTAACCCCTTTAGTTTTGTGAATGAATGAAGATGTTTGTGTGACTGTGACTGATGGTGGTTTGAGGCCATTTGCACAAATTCGCAGCCTCAGTTTTATCAGTCTGCCATAACCATGACTTTTAATTGTACAATTTTCCCTCAGTCCCAATGGAGATGTCTGTATTCTTGAGAGAACATCTGAACTACTGGTACAGTCTGAAGGCATACTATTTGGCAAAAACCATGGCGGACATACCCTTTCAGGTGACTCTTACTGACAAGAATTCAGACTTGTTCTTCACTGAGTTCTGAGTTGTGATTCTACATGTATATCTAGATCCACTTGTATAAGTAGTAGAACTTTACTTAAATATACATTTTAGGTACTGTACCTGTATTTTATTTAAGTAGATTTTCAAGTAGACACATCTTACTTTTATTTCACTACATTTGGGAGAAGGTATCTACTCCACTGAGTTTTTGAACAGGATTGAAAAGTTTTGTTTTTTTTATTATTGTTTGAGGCCAGTTGAAAAGGCTCGGGGATGTTTTTAACAGATTTGAAGTTTGAGTTTGTTTCTAGTGAACAAAATTCAGAGCAAATCTGCATCAAAATTACTAAGCAGTATTACATTTTTAAATGCTTAACTATTTTTATAGTTAGGTATTTTTTCATCTGATACATTTTATTTTACTTACTGCTCTAGTATCTGTTCTTACAATTGAGTACTTCATCCACCACTGGTTTGTGTTGTCCCCCAGGTGTTGTGTCCAATCTTGTACTGTAGTATAGTGTACTGGATGACGGAACAGCCCCCCGAAGCAGCTCGGTACCTGCTCTTCATGGCTCTGTCCATCTGCACTGCTCTAGTCGCACAGTCTCTGGGGCTGCTGGTCGGGGCTGGAGCCACCTCTCTACAGGTACTATACAATACTCCACTGTCTATGATTGACAAATAAGACAGATTAATCGCAACTGAACAAAAAATTAAATCATGCACTGTAGATAGAATGGAGTTCAACAGTGAATGCCCACCCCCCTGGTTCAGGAGCTAAATTTCCCATTCATTTTTCTCATAGACTTTCAGAAAAAAATAATATTAAAAGTTTGAAAGCTTGCTCTGGGATAATCAATCATGTGGTAACTAATGACCACAAGACCTTTATTTTTTTCTGTTTCTGGAAATATATAAACTACAACATTTCGCAGAATCTTGGATTTGAAACTGACATGCAGTATTTGAAATTTTAAAGTCTATGGGAAAAATTTATGGAAAATTTACTTCCGGAACTGGAGCAAGTGATCACTGTTGAGCTCCATATGTGCAATGTAATTTTTCCTCTTCAAACAACAACATTTTCCGTGGGGTCATATTATGCATAAACCCTGTTGTTTAGACCATGTGTTGTAAAGTGTGTGGGGATTTATATTTATTCATTCATATTACAGTTATCTTTGTAAATGCACAAATCATATTTAGATAATTAAAAAACTCTTTCCACCAAAAATCTTCCAGTGATTACAGTCTTTTCCTTGTTTTTTGTTGTTGTTTTTTTTCAGGTTGCTACATTTATCGGCCCTGTCACTGCCATCCCTGTGCTGCTCTTCTCTGGCTTCTTTGTCAACTTTGATACAATCCCCAAGTATATGCAGTGGTGCTCCTATTTGTCTTATGTCAGGTCTGTATCAGAAAGAATATCCACTACACCATGCCCTCTTTGAAGTCCTTATTATTACTATTTTCTGATTTATGTTATAATGCTGTTTCCTCATCAGAAACATACCTTTAGTTGTGTTTCATTCATACATGTTTAACACACAAACCCTGAATATTGAGGCTGAGTTCTTTTCTCAAACACAAGTATATTTAAACAGGGTAAATAGATTAAATAGATGTAAGTCTATGTAACTTTTCAGGTTGAGGGTCTGTCACCTGCTTGTTTTCTTGGAACTCTCATGGCTTTGACAGAAAGACATTAAACTTGTCTATTTCCATGGGGACAAGGAGGCCAAGTTTTAACTCAGATCTGATTTCCACTGAATATTAAAACATCTGTAACCTTAATGTCACTGAATAAATGAAAGATAGGTAAGATAATTACATTTTGTAAACCATAATTTCCATAGAGACAAGCAGGTGGCATTTACATATAGTGCACCTTTAAATAGCAAATTGTGTAGAAGTTGTGATACAGTGTCAGACTTATCTTTTCAGGTATGGTTTTGAGGGAGTGATTCTGTCAATCTATGGCATGAACCGCACGGAGCTGGAGTGCCCTGAGACAGTGTGCCAGTTCCAGCAGCCAGAGCAGGTACTAGAGCTGCTGGATGTGGAAGACGGTAAGATCTACATGGACTTCATCATTCTGGGTATCTTCTTCCTCATCCTGCGTCTGGCCACGTACCTCGTCCTCCGCTACAAGATCAAGGCAGAGAGATAGGGCTGATTTTGACTGAACATGAACACAAGCAAATGTACACTGATTTTGCTGTTTTAGGCCATTAATAAACTAGTGCCATGAGAAGTATTTGCACCCCTCAACATTCACTGTGAGGTAACCGAACTCTTTCTTTTTTATGTAGCTTTTTAAGACCAAACATACCTTTCCCTTTATGAAACTCTAAAATAATTTAAAGTGAACTGTGTATTTATTACAAGTGTACTACTGCATTTTACTCATTTCCTGGCATGCTAAAACAAGAAGGGTGAAAATACTTTTTTTACAGGCTTTGTAGAGAGCCACAATAAACACAACACTTGCCTCTGCCATTAAACAGGGAATCCCACACAAACCTGTTTTACCTCAGACATGGGGACAGATGAGCAGTAAAAAGGGTGTTACATTTAAAGAATCATGGTGTAATTTTTTTCTGGTGGAGGGTACGTCAAATGGTTTTCTCCTTGGAGATGTTATTGCTTTGTATGGAATGTTTCACGATATGACATTAAGCCTTTTTATTTACATGGAGATCAAACCAGACCAAGTTACAGGTCAGATCTATGGCGAGGCAACCCCGATTCAAGTCAGAATGCTTTTTTTTTCCCTGATATTTTTGAGCTATAAACCACCTGTAATTTAATAAATGTAAGGTAGAGCTGTTTAATGTCATACTGTGGAACATTCCTAGCAGCGCAATGACATATTCTTAGAAACAAGGAGGTAACAGACCCCCAACCAAAAAGTTACATTGCACACCTTTAAATCAACCATTTCCATGTGAAATACAAAATATGTTTTGGGTTATTTTAGCCAGCAGCAAATCCTGTCCTTTCTTTAGCTTAAACTTGGACTGGTACTGTACTGACTGTACTGAATTCCTGTTTAAAGGCAATTCTGAAAGACAAAACAATGTAAAACACTTTTACAAGTTTAAAATGGTTTAATAATAGATGTAAATTTTCTATTGTTTTCTGATATTTGTCATTTTTTATACTTTGATTAAGTCGATATAAATATATAATTTTTATGTAGTAATTTTGTAATTTGTAATATGTTAATTTTTCAAAGGCAACATATCATTACTAGCATTTCTAGCATGTCTCTTACTAACTCCTCCAATTTTGTACTACTTTTTTCCATGTTCTTTGATGCTATCTAAAGCTAGCTTGTATTGTGTATTTAATACATGCTTTAACAGCTCATCAGGGACACTTGGAAAACCAAAGACAATACATTTGAATACTGTATGTAATTTATTTTAATTAAAGTGTCTGTCTCAAGTTTATTTGTTTGTGGTTGTGGTGGCCTCTGCGCATTGGTAAGAGTACTCTGTCTCTGCTTGGTTACCTGTGGACCACATGAAAGACACATTACAAAATAGAACAAATACTGTAGCCACAAAAGATTAAAGTAGAGTTGTTCATACTTGGTTGGTAGTAGTCGTAGATCTTAACAATAGCAGGCTTCAAGTTATGCACTGCCACATTCTGAGTGAACTTCAAGTGGCAGTCAAAAGTTTTGTTTTTCTTCAACTATGAACAGAGCCCATATTAAATGACTGAATACATTAAGTGAAGCAATTTTAGTATTTTGTCTTACCCATTTGAAGTACAACAAAAAGTGATCTTCCTTTTGATCAACACGATCAATGTGCCGATTGTTTTGAAGCTGTAACATACAATGTATTATAATCAGCATGGTCTAGCAAGGAACAAGAAGACCATACATTTTTACAAGGAATGATTATTATGGTCATAAGAGCAGAAGCTGAAACCTTAAATCCTAAAAAATCTAATTCAAAATTTGCCTGAAATTGTTGCAAAAACTCACCTCTTTGAGAGACTCTGGGTGTGGAGCAAACCCAGAAAGCACTTTTATGTCCAGAATTACCATGTTTGAAAAGTCTTCCTCTCCAAAGTAGCTGGAAAGAAAGAAATGCAATTATAGTTAAAAACAAAAAAAGAAAGGAAGAAAAAAAAAGTAATTTATTAAATTATATGTATAGGCCTATTTGTAACAGCAGCATACAGACACATCAGCTTAAGGCTCAGATCAGGTGGATCTGTGGAATGACAGCTGACTTCTGATGTGACTGACAGACCAGAGCCCACTGTGGGAGTCGGGATGTTGTAGTGAAGAGAAATCTGCAAAGAAAAAGAGATCTCTGTCACGTTTCATATGTTTTTATTCACAAAAAGCTAGAACAAAACTAGCCTGAATAGACACGTGTCCTCTGCTTTTAGCTCATTCTATAGTATTGTTTTAGACAACTGGAGTTCAAGCTCAAGATCTTGAAGTAGGCTTGTTCAAGACCATAGACTATAAAGAAGTGAACTTAGGGAATGTGATGTCACAATCAAATAGCGATACAGGGCTAAATTTGGGGATGAGTTCCATATTAAGAATAGGAATTGATATACATACAAAATATTAAAACAAAAACACCTGGATCACATACAGTGGGTTAATACAAATATTTTAAAACCAAAATGGCAAAGGTCACAGCAGAAGTTACAGAGAGGGAAGACACATTTTCATTGTAAAGCCAAAGGAGCTGAAAGCTCTCCCATAAATACTTCTGATTTGGAACCTGGCAGCTAGTGGGTTAGCTATGTCCATTTATATATACAGCCTATGTTGAGGCCTAATTATTGTGCATGTTTGAGGTTGATTGGGGAAAGCAGCCAAAACAACCAGCCAAAAACAAAGTCACCACAAAAAGATGCCATTCATATAGTGACATTCAATCTTAAATATGTAGTTGCATTCAACATACGCATACAGCAGAAACTAAGAGCAGTGTAAAACAGAGAATGTTGTGTTCACTGACCTGCACAGAGACACAAGCACTGCCCTGCACCTGTACACTGTACTGTCCTGTGACATGAGGCAGAGGTCTCTCCTGATAAAGGAGCCTGTTCTCCTGACATACTTCAAACCTCATCTGTGCACTGGGAGACTGGACCATGACTGTGCTGGAACCTTCAGGAGAGTACGTCAACATGGAGTAAAGAGCCAAAGCCTGCAGAGCCACCACTGTGTCCTATAACAACAAACATAAAACAGGTTTAACATCATGAAGTATTTTATCTGCAGTACAATTTCAAAGAATTTGTTTTTGAGTGCTGTGAAATAATATACTTAGTAATATACTTCCTTTAGTATAAAGTGTTTTTTTTCTTATTTGTATGCATTGATTATGTGAAATAGATTGATGGGTGTTTTCTGACCTACCTGGGTGGAAGTGAAGCCGCCATATTGGTTCTGCTGTGACATCAGCCACTGGACGATGTGAGAGGAGTAGGACAGATCCTCAGCGCTGGGAGAGTCTTTGAGTTTAGCCAAGAGCACATAAGAGCTGATCTCTACAGAGAGGGAGTCTGAGGAGTCTGCAGCCCGCTGGGACCAATAGAGAGAACCATCTACAGTAAACAGACAGAAGAAATGTATTACAGTCAAATAAAAAAGACAGTAGTAATAATGGATTAATAAAGGTCCTATATTACACGAATTACACAAAACTGACTCTTGTGAGCTTTTAGCCATGTTATAATGTTGTTACCGCACTATACATGGAGTTGTGGTTTGTTTCATTCACACATTTTAGTAACCCTTTACTATTATTCTGCCTGCATCTCCAAAATCCTCTCTTCCATGTTAGTTTTCAAGTTAACAGCTACCATTTACCTTTTGTTCAATATAGATGGACAATTCCAGGGCTGAAATTAACCAAATGATTCTAGTGATGGTGTATAGAGAAAAAGGCAGTGGACCTATATTACCACATGACATCACAATGTGGAACAAAGTATTTTCTGTTTGAGAGACAAACTCAGCCCAAGTATGCTGGATTTGAGTGTTAAACATGTAAAACAAAACACATCTCCAGGTATGGTTTTGATGAGGAAACAACATTATAACATAGATCAGAAAATAGTGTAATATAGGCCCTATGAATATAACTTATATTAAAAGATGCCAACAATGACCTTGTTCGTGTACTACTTTGTAAAGGTGATTTAGGAGGTGCGCTCTTGTCTCTGTGTCCTGAGCTAAAGTGAAGACGTATGCTAGCAGGGCAGTGGCGTAGGTGTTGCTCAGGTCAGTTAGGGATTCTCTTAGACATGACAGGCTCTTATTCATCACAGGATGCTACAAGGCACAGTACAATATTAGACCCTTGAAAAAGACATATAATGGGAAAGTACAGTTTACTAATCACTCAAATACACATATAATACAAATAATGATAAAAAAAAAAAAAAGGATGATGATAAGAAAGATGATAATTAGGGTGTCCTCACACATGCAAACAAAAAGTGAAAAATAAAAATAAAATAACAGGACTAAAATGGGCTCAAACCAGAGTCAAAATCGAACATGTATAAATCCACAAAATCCAAAGTACAAATGGTCTTAAAAGTCAATTAAGCATTATTCTACGTCCTACTTTAATTTTAAAAAAAAAAAAATCTCTTCTTTAAAAGATAAATTTTAAAAACACATTTTAAGGAGGACTTACAGATACAGACATATTCAGTTCAAGGAAGGCAGCAGAGATATAAGCAGTCAAAGTCACCTCATCCGATACACCTCCCTTTTAAGAGACACAACCACAATAAAAATCCATCAAATTTATCAAAGTTGTGTCTGGGTTTAAATTCTAAATTCGTTACCTTCATCCTGTTGTTAAAGAGTTTCCCTTTTTGTACAAAACAGCCGTTTCTTTTCTGCTTTCCTACGAGCCACTCTGTTGCCTGTTCAATTCTGGAGCGGTCAATAAAGATATGCTCCCTGGCTTTAGCAAAACATCTCAGCACAAAAGCAGTCAACCTGAAAAGATAAAACACCTTTAGACAAAATTATGCGAAGTGTTCAGACGATGAACATGTCTTCTTTATTCCAGCCAGTGAGCGGCGCTATAGTCTTTATGTAAAATCTCTCTCTTTTTTTTTTTTTTTTTTTTTAAATAAATTGCACTGTATTACGTACCTTATGTGCGTTATTTACTTTACATTTTATGAATGTTTTTTATTACTGAAATCCCGTTCCACCATATAAGGTAAGATAAGAGAACCTTTATTTGTCCAGCAGTGGAGAAATTGCAGAGACTCGTGTAAATGAGTTAAATAGCCTATATTAAAGGTCCTATATTGCAAAATTTACTTTGCACCTATGATGTCTTGTTAAGTTAACAGCTACCATTTGTTTATGATAAATTGGCAATTCGAGGGCTTAAATTATCTAAATGATTCTAGTGAAGGTGTATTGAGTTTAAAAACACAGTGGAGCACTTTCTGTATTACCGCTTGACATCACAAGATGGAACAGGGTGTTTTCAGTTTCAGAGAAGAACACAGCCTAAATATGCAGGGTTTGTGTGTTAAACATGTGTGAATGAAATAAAGCACTCCAGGTATGTTTGTGATGAGAAAACAACATTAGAACATAGATCAGAAAATGGCATAATATGTGCACTTTAAATAGAAGCTCTCACCAGGTGTTTCCCTGTCCTCTTCCAAACGTGCTGTAGGACCCATCTAAGTGCATGTAGTTCATCTGCCTTTGGTAACCTGAAAATATTGACACAGAGCTAAAGTGATTTAGAGATGTAAAAATTAGAAAAGAAAAAAAATCACTTCACTCATATCTTTACCATTGACCATAAAGTTTCTAGCTTTGTCCATGGTGACTGCAGTCAGCTGTTTTGTGTTTTTCAAATATTCCACAATGTAAATATTTGGAGCTAAAAGTGCTATGTTCTGCTCTCCACATCCATAAGGCATCTGTAGCATCCCGTCAAGGTTCTCCATGGATCGGCCCAAGATATCTCCTGCAACAAAAATAATCTTTTATGTTAGTAGGATTGTTTTGTTTGCCTGGCCAGCCAGAATCAGATGCTTTGAAAAAACTGTGCAAAGAGATGTAGATCTGGAGCTATATCCTGCCTCACAGATTCTGGATTTGAACAGAATGTAGAAGGACTGGCTGGTCAAGCAACTGTTTAGGGACAGTGGATATGGAGCTATGAATTGAGACTTAAGTTATAATAGAGTGCTTACCCAGTACTGACACTGAACCACGGGCAGATCCAGGAATGACATTAGAAGGAAGCTGTAGAGAAATCTCCTCAGTCAAAGTTTCTCCTGAGAGAAGATAACAACAAACATGACAAAAACAAGATAAAAGAAGTCAATTAAAGGTGCACTGTATAACTTTTGTGGTGGAGGATTTGCGACTTGCTTGTCTCCATGATATTGCTTTGCCTTGAATATTTCATAATATAACATTAAACTTAAATTTTACATTTAATACAATTAAACTTTTTTTATTGCTCATACATTCAATAAAAAACATGCATTTATACTGTAATCAGGGTAACATCTCCACAAATCTGACCTGGAACTTGGCCTGGTGGCATTACTTGCCTCTTGCCATGAAAATAGTAGGCAAAGCAATAAGATCTCCATGGAGACAAGTTGGGGGTGGACCCTCCACCTCAAAAGCAGTGCACCTTTAAAACAGAAAATGATTAAATAAATGTTACAATTTTACTTTTCTTGTGGGAGGTCCGTCACTCGGTTGTCTGAGTGGAGATCTTGTTGCTTTGCCAATCATGGACCACATTATGTTGTTAAAATTATTTATCTTGTATTTATTCAATCACTGCTCATTTTTACAACTATAAAACATGCATTCAAATTTTTTCAGAGTCTCCTCTCCAGAGATCCCATCCCTGCTCCACCTTGTGATGTCATGTAGTGATTATAAATCAGAAAATGGTCCAATATATACCCTTTAATACATTACACATATAGTTAGTCACACCTCACATTGAGATTACAAAGTGTGGGTGCTATTACTAGTGTTTAAATATATATATATATATATATATATATATATATATATATATATATATATATATATATATATATATATATATATATATATATATATAGATAGAGAGAGAGAGAGAGAGAGAGAGAGAGAGAGAGAGAGAGAGAGAGATAGATACCTTTAGGGCAAAGAAAGTAGTTGTGGGTATTTGTCATTTCTGTTCCTTCTGCCTGGGAAAAGATAACTATTATACAGTGACATGGAAAAGTACATCATATAAATTTAAGAGAGTCTACCTTAACTATCAGTGCCTTTGTGACTACATCAATGCGTCCTCTTTCAGGAACGCTCACAATCTCATTGTCACACGAAGCATCAGAAGAGACAGCTTCAGCTCGTACCGTCACGTTTATTACACCTGCAAGGAGTGTTTAACATTTGTTGTGTTATTTTTTTAATAATCATAAAATTCAAACAGAAAATCATTTTGTTATCAAATGTCTGAAATGTGATATGGCGCTGTTATATATGCGTCACCATAGCTGCATGCTCTGCCTGTTTATGACTGCATTGTCCCTGTCAGATAACTAAATGAATAAAAAGAGTTTAAAGTCGCTAGTAACAATTTTCTGTGAACAGCTAACATAATATTCTTTATATTTTTGGTATCATTGTAGAACTGTGGTCATTTGGACTATGCCTTGAGGTATATGGCCAAGAGAGAACAGGCCTTATGCTGAATACACAGTGTGTTAGCCTCATACCCAGGACAGAAGGCACCAGAGTCCAGTTGAGGGTTTTGCGGTCATTGGCACACATACAGGACATGTGGGAGTTTTCAGTGGTGGGAGTCAGGCTGAAGTCCTGAGAGGGGAGTGCTTCTACTACCACCTATGTGAAAATAAACATCATTTAGCTCTTGTTTACAGTTAGCGATAGGTGCATTTACTCAGTTACTTTTACTTGACTAACTTTTTGAAAAATGTAGTTCTCTGAGTAGTTTCCAAACACTGTACTTTTACTCTTATTTGACTAATATATTTTTCAGTGTAACAGAACTTTTGCTTGAGTAAAAGTGGGGTTACTCTTCCCTATATGCGACAAAAGTATTATACTGACAATATTAAATTATTTGAATATTTGTGTTCATTGCACTGCTCCTGCAGACATGATGTCGTTTTTTATCATTTTTGTGTATATGCTTTGAAATCCTGATGCCTTATTCAGTGTTTTGCTTCATATTACATTAACTTCAAATGATAAATCAGATTTTATGTCCACTTGAGAAACTTCAATAATTTCTTTGACCTATATTTTGCTTCTACTTGAATAAAATAGCTTTGAAGTAATTGTTTTTGGCTGTACTACACACCTCTATTTACATGACTTTTTTTTTTTTTTTCCCCAACATTTTCACTAATTAAAATTGGAGGAGGTACCATCATGCAGCTGGTGAGGAAGTTGAAGACAGTGGCCTTGAGTTCAAAGCTTTCTCCTCTGATGATGGAGTAGGGCAGGCTCAGCTCCAGGAAGAAGGGCTGGAACACGGTGAAGTGTTTTCGGGGGGCCAGACCGAAGCCCTGGGGGGACAGACAGAACACCTCCATCTCCCAGGTCGCGATGGTGTCAGGGGCAGATACAGGCAATACATGTGATCCACTCTCTCTAAAATATATGTACATAAATAAGGCCTAAAAAAAATAAAAATAACCATAATATGCTTATTGTTGTGTCAAAACCCAATTTGATTTGACTATCAAAGAAATAGATCTGTCCTCTACAAAGGACAAAATATATAGAAAAAATCTTGTTGTACCTGTACTTTAGACCTCCACAAACTGACATCTAAATCTTATGGGATTCTTGTATTAATAAATCAGTTTATATTTCAGTCCTCTCTCAAATAGTCTTGTGCATTCTGAAAATCCTACTTTTTAAACATATATCGCAAATAATATCGCAATCACTACGCCTGTCAGAAAAATCCCAATCCACAAAAAAAAAATTTTAATCACAAGAACTGTACAGCCAAAGCATAAATCAATAACCAATAACTTTAATAATATATCTTTTCTATATAGCCCAATCCTCATATTACCCACTTTTTGCTTTGTCAAAAAATATTTAGTAAGAGTTATTTTGTTTTTTTCTTTACTCAATAATTCATGTCCACTGTATGTACATAAAATGTAGAAAGTAGAAAAAATGAAACAAAACACTGAATGAGAGGGTGTGTCCAAACTTCCTGGAAGGTGCCAATGAATATCAATTTCTGGCAAAATTGAGAAATGCAGGTTTACTCTTGGGTCAAACATTATATATGCCTGTCCTTACCCAGTGTCCACCAGATCCCAGATCCAAGTTTCTGGGAAAAAGTCGCGTATGGTTTGAATAGGTCCAGGCTGACCAGAGGTGGCCAAATCAGGACGTCCTGGAGCTAGTATAGACAAACATATACTACTTTAAAAAATTAAAGAAACACTTTGAAAACATCTCAGATCTCAATGTGAAAAAAAGTATTTCAATGTACTTTTGAGCAGTGTTCATAAACTTGATGCCTGCAATATTTCAGATCAACCCAAAACATGCTACATAGTAGAGCCCGACCAATATGGATTTTGCTGTGGCCGATATGAAACCAATATAATGGGAGTTGGAGCTGCCGATATAATCGCCGATATATTTAGTGATGTAAAAATTCACTGTAAATGTTGAATTGTTTAAAAAAAACTTAGGTTTGGCTCTGGTGGATTTTAAATTGGGTTTATTTAGGCAACATTTATTGTTATTCTGCCTCTTTACATCATATTTACAGACAGTAGGTTGGCTTAGTGGCATTTTTGCATCACATTCTAGACACTAGTGATGGGTATTCCAGTTCTTTTTAGAGAACCGGCTCTTTTGGCTCGGCTCACTAAAAGCTGCTGGTTCTTTTGGCTCCCAAGCGGCTCTTCAGATTGTTTTGTTGCAAGCAGGTCTAAAGCACGTCTAAAGCAGGACTGAATCAGGACTGAACCAGGACTGAAAAAGGACTAAACCGGGACTTATTTATTTTATGCTAAACTACAGCCAAATATGCTCCTTTTTTTATCCTATGTAAACGCAAATTTCTCAAAGTTTCGTTTTCAGCCGCTGCCGCTGTCAAACCACGAGTCTGCACGTGGCGTGAAGAGAAAAAAGTGAGAGAAAGAGAAAACACGACTCCCAATAAGGATCAGGCTCCCGTCGTTCGCTTCAAAGAGCCGGCTCTAAGAGTCATTTCGTTCGCGACGGACCCATAACTAGTAAAGAAACTAGCGCTATTAGCCTTTAGCCGTAAAGACGTGCGCGCCGCGGTAATTATGCGCAAATGTCATAATTCACACGTCTGTTCACAGCTCATTTACATATCAGTGCAGGTCCAGTAGCAAATATACGGCCAATATAGTCACTTTAGAACAGACCAATAGAAAACAGTCTGTTTATGTGCGGGAGCTACAGCAGCTAACCCATACAAATGATCAAAACTAGCTTCAGAGTCGACATATTTCCAACACTCAGCCTCACACAGGCTCCTCCTCACATCACAAGTCTGAACTAATAAATGTCCTTTTAATCCAGACTCAAACCGATTGTCCGAAAAAAGAAAATAATCTCAGTGTTGCGCACCGCTGCAGGTGTAAACAAACACACTTGAGTGACGCGACTCTGAGGTGTGTTCAGGGACAATACGGACACACACAGACAAATGACTCCGTAGATAAATACTGATGTGGAGCCACATATTAGGTCATTTATCTGTCTGTAAATTGGATTAAATGAACAGAATGTAGAGTCTAAGATTGTTAACGATGTATCACATGCCCACGTGAAATATCGGCCCCTATCAGCAAGCATATCGGCCGATAGCCGATATGCCTCCAGGTGCCCATATCAGCCGATAATATCGGCCAACCGATATATCGGTCGGGCTCTACTACATAGGTCTCTAGGAAGAACAGATGATAGCTAAGGTCAATTAAATACAATCAATCAATGAACCTTCCCAAGGACTACAGGTGGAAATTAGCACTGGTGCTCCAACCTGGTACAATGCATCTCTCCTGTTAAGATTAATGTATAGTGTGCACTGTCCCTGTCTCATTAAATAAATAAATTATTATTTTTTTAAATTTAAAAAGACACAGATAGACTTACAGAGAGGGATTCTAAGATCGTCAAATGCTTGTATGAGATTCAAGCATGTTGGTATTGGAATCAACAAATTAGTAGCAATTTTCAGGCCATGATCCTATAAGGGAAATTGGTAAATCATTAGTTTGTATTTTTTTATATAAAAATATTGCAAATTCAAAATTACTTTGAGAACAGAGTGGGCGTCTTTGTCTAAATCAGGCTCCAATATCATTGATCGTTTCTTTCTCATGGGGCCACAATCATGATGATCTTCAATTTCACGAGGATATGGGTCCGAACTCAGGTTAGGCAACAAAATGATCAACTGAAATGGAAAGTCCATTTGGAGTCTAAATGATGATCAGTAGAAATTATACAGGAGGCACTCACAAAATGTAGTCGTCAATTTATAGTAGCTTTTTCTATGAATTGTTTGTTTGTTGAACATGAATAAAACCTCAACCTAACCTAAAATATTACATTTTAGGTTAATCTAAACAACATAGTCACTTCAATCTTCTAACAAGAAAATAATATGGGAAAATGTGACCTAAATCAGTAATCCGATTTTTTTAGTTCCCTAAATGTTTGAATGATGCTTAAAGAATCAAAGTTTTTGTGTCTTATTTAACTCAAATGTGATTAAGATATCTGTTAAATTTTACACCAGAGTGGGCAGAATGTAAAATTGCTATGAATGCCTGTAGTATTTGAACATATGGTTAATATTCTCTAACCTTGGCTCCGCTCAGTCTTGCGGTGAAGTCTTTGAGGAGGACACTCTGGTCTATGGCCTTGAGAGCGCACAGTGAATGGGGCGGAGCCTGTACCTTAACACTGATGCCTTCTTGTGGGACCGCTGAGGGAGTGGAAAACTCCACAGACACCTTCAAAATCCAATATTATCACAGAAAGGCTATTTATGCTCAGAAATATTTATACTAAAAGACTGTTAGAAGCTATTAGTTTACCTCACTATTAAAGCATAACTCTGTACCAAACGTTTCAGTCGCTGCTATAATTTTCTTGCTTGGAAGGATGGCATACGCCACTATCTCCACTTGGGGCGTCATCTCACCTGTCATCACGAATGTGAAAGGCACCACTCCCTCAATCACTGTAAGAACAGAGGAAAAATAATCTACGATTACATGCCAACCAAAAATGTATTGATCTGTGGAGTTTTTACATTACTGAAATGTCAGTTACATGAGTTCAGCTATTTGATTCTGTTCACACAGGTTTTGACAAGGAAAAAAATACAAATCAAGGTCAAATTTATGTCCATCCATCCATCCATTTTCCTCCGCTTATCCAAGGTCGGGTCGCGGGGGCAACAGTCTGAGGAGGGCCTCCCAGACTTCCCTCTCCACACACATGTCCTCCAGCTCTTCCAGGGGGATCCCAAGACGTTCCCAGGCCAGCCTAGAGACATAGTCCCTCCAGCGTGTCCTGGGTCTTCCCCGGGGCCTCCTCCCAGTGGGACATGCCCAGAACACCTCCCGAGGGAGGCGTCCAGGAGGCATCCGAAACAGATGCCCGAGCCACCTCAACTGGCTCCTTTCAACGTGGAGGAGCAGCGGCTCTACTCCGAGCTCCTCCCGTGTGACTGAGCTCCTCACCCTATCTCTAAGGGAGCACCCAGCCACCCTGCGGAGGAAACTCATTTCGACCGCTTGTATCCGCGATCTTGTTCTTTCGGTCATTACCCAGAGCTCATGACCATAGGTGAGGGTAGGAACGTAGATTGACTGGTAAATCGAGAGCTTTGCCTTTCGACTCAGCTCTCTTCACCACAACGGTCCGATACAGCGACCGCATCACTGCCGACGCTGCACCGATCCGCGTGTCAATCTCACGCTCCATCCTCCCTTCACTCGTGAACAAGACCCCGAGATACTTGAACTCCTCCACTTGAGGCAAGGACTCTCCACCCACCCGGAGAGGGCAAGCCACCTTTTTCCGGTCGAGAACCATGGCCTCGGATTTGGAGGAGCTGATCTTCATCCCAGCCGCTTCACACTCGGCTGCAAACCGCCCCAGTGCACATTGCAGGTCCTGGTTTGATGGAGCCATCAGGACAACATCATCTGCGAACAGCAGAGATGAGATCCTGTGGTCCCCAAACCAGACCCCCTCCGACCCCTGACTGCGCCTAGAAATTCTGTCCATAAACACAATGAACAGAACCAGTGACAAAGGGCAGCCCTGGCGGAGTCCAACATGCACTGGGAACAGGTCTGACTTACTGCCGGCAATGCGAACACAGCTCCTGCTCCGGTCATACAGGGACCGGACAGCCCTTAGCAAAGGGCCCCGGACCCCATACTCCCAGAGCACCCCCCACAGGACACCACGAGGGACACGGTCGAATGCCTTCTCCAAGTCCACAAAGCACATGTGGACTGGTTGGGCAAACTCCCACGAACCCTCGAGCACCCTATGGAGAGTGTAGAGCTGGTCCAGTGTTCCACGGCCAGGACGAAAACCACACTGCTCCTCCTGAATTTGAGGTTCGACTATCGGCCGGATTCTCCTCTCCAGTACCCTGGCATAGACCTTACCGGGAAGGCTGAGGAGTGTGATTCCCCTGTAATTGGAACACACCCTCCGGTCCCCCTTCTTATACAGAGGGACCACCACCCCGGTTTGCCAGTCCAGAGGTACTGTCCCCAACCGCCACGCGATGTTGCAGAGGCGTGTCAGCCAAGACAGCCCCACAACATCCAGAGACTTAAGGTACTCAGGACGGATCTCATCCACCCCCGGAGCCTTGCCACCAAGGAGCTTGCCAACCACCTCAGTGACTTCAGCCAGGGTGATGGATGAGTCCACCTCTGAGTCTCCAGCCTCTGCTTCCTCCTCGGAAGACATGATGGTGGGATTGAGGAGATCCTCAAAGTATTCCTTCCACCACCCGACAACATCCCCAGTTGAGGTCAACAGCTCTCCCCCCTCACTGTAAACAGTGTTGGTGAAGAACTGTTTCCCCCTCCTGAGGCGCCGGACGGTTTGCCAGAATTTCTTTGAGGCCGTCCAATAGTCCTCCTCCATGGCCTCCCCGAACTCCTCCCAGGTCCGAGTTTTTGCCTCTGTGACCGCACGGGCTGCAGCACGCTTGGCCCGCCGATACCCGTCAGCTGCTTCAGGAGTCCCATGAGCCAACAAGGCCCGATAGGACTCCTTCTTCAGCCTGACGGCATCCCTTACTTCCGGTGTTCACTACCGGGTTCGGGGATTGCCGCCGCGACAGGCACCACAGACCTTACGCCCACAGCTACGAGCGGCCGCATTGACAATGGAGGCTGAGAACATAGCCCACTCGGACTCCATGTCTCCAGCCTCCCCCGGAATCCGGGAGAAGTCCTCCCGGAGGTGTGAGTTGAAGATCCCTCTGACAGAGGGCTCTGCCAGACGTTCCCAACAGACCCTCACAATATGCTTGGGCCTGCCAGGTCCCTCCGGCTTCCTCCTCTGCCAGCGGATCCAACTCACAACCAGGTGGTGATCGGTTGACAGCTCAGCCCCTCTCTTCACCCGAGTGTCCCAGACACTCGGCCGGAGGTCAGATGACACGACTACAAAGTCGATCATTGACCTCCGACCTAGGGTGTCCTGGTGCCACGTGCACTTATGGACACCCTTGTGCTCGAACATGGTGTTTGTTATGGACAAACTGTGACTAGCACAGAAGTCCAATAACAAAACACCGCTCGGGTTCAGATCGGGGAGGCCTTTCCTCCCGATCACCCCTCTCCAGGTGTCACTGGCGTTACCCACATGGGCGTTGAAGTCCCCCAGTAGAACAACGGAGTCCCCGGTCGGTGCACTGTCCAGTACCCCTCCCAGGGACTCCAAGAAGGCCGGGTACTCTACACTGCTGTTCGGCCCGTAGGCCGACACTACAGTGAGAGACCTGTCCCCAACCCGAAGGCGCAGGGACACGACCCTCTCGTTCACCGGGGTAAACTCCAACACGTGGCGGCTGAGCTGTGGGGCTGTAAGCAAGCCCACACCAGCTCGCCGCCGCTCCCCGTGGGCAACGCCAGAGAAATGGAGGGTCCAACCCCCTTCAAGGAGTTGGGTACTAGAGCCCAAGCTGTGCGTAGAAGTGAGCCCGACTATATCTAGCTGGTATCTCTCAACCTCCCGCACAAGCTCAGGCTCCTTTCCCCCCAGCGAGGTGACATTCCACGTTGCCACAGCCAGATGCGGTGTGTGCGGACCAGGCCGTCGGGACACCCGTCCCCGACCGCCGCCCAGTACTCTATGCACCCGACCCCTATGAACCCCTCTGCAGGTGGTGAGCCCACAGGAGGGTGGACCCACATCGTCCTTTCGGGCTGAGCCCGGCCGGGCCCCATGGGCAAAGGCCCGGCCACCAGGCGCTCGCATTCGAGCCCCAACCCCAGGCCTGGCTCCAGGGTGGGGCCCCGGCTGTGCCATACCGGGCGACGTCACGGTCCTCGATATTAAACTGTTCATATGGGTTCTATGAACTGCTCTTAGTCTGCCCCGTCACCTAGGACCTGTTTGCCATGGGAGACCCTACCAGGGGCGTGAAGCTCCGGGCAACATAGCTCCTAGGATCATTCGGGTACGCAAACTCCCCCACCACGGTAAGGTGGCAGTTCGGGGGGGAGCAAATTTATGTGGTCGACACAAATTTTTTTTATTTATTTTTTATTTTTTTGGTCGACACAAAAATTGAAGTGAAATGTTAAAGAACGTCACATGCCACCAGGTGTTTTTGACAATTCTTACCTACCTGAACCACCTTGCACCTCTGTCGAGTAATGTCCATGTTTTAGAATTTCCCCTTTTGACACAATCTAAAGAAAAAAAAAACAAAACATGAGATAATAACATTTGAGATAGACCAGTTTTATGGTATATTGTGGAAGATTACAGCCAGCATAACATTTTCATGGAAACAAGCAGGCCTCCAGGCCAAATATAAGTCAGGTTTGTGGGGCTGCAAGTCCACTCAAAATCACATCCCGTTCACTTTTATTTTAGTCTTTTTCTTTTTTTTTGTTTGTTTGTTTCATACCGTAGCTTTAGTTGACCAGTCAAACAATTGTTTCTGTTGTACAATTGTACAGACTCTTTTTAAATGCATTATCAACCAGATAAAAGTTGAAATAGAGCATATTACTGTGTGTATTACTGATAACTTTTAAAATCATATTTATTTAAAAGTTTTTTCATGTGAGTTTAAAGTTCAGATAACGATTACAGTGATCTAAATACAACCTCATATATGTATAACTCACCAGGTACATGACATGCAGAGGACCCTTTTTTTCTCCCATCAGTGTGTAGATGATAAAGACTTCCTGCTCTGCTCCACAGGCCAAGCCCTTGCCTCTCCTAGCCCCAGTTACCTCCAGGGCACTCTCTGTTGGATTAATCCAACGTGGGTTTTCAGTGTGGAAGAGTTCATGGAACCCAGGAGAATAATGTGGAGTATGATATCTGCTTTTGAACTCTCCATGTAAACTGGCCTGGGTCAAAATAAAGGTATAGAAAACACTTAAAGGTCCTGTATGAATAAAATTTATTCCAGAAACCATGAAAGCCATTTTATTGTCAGTTGAAGCCATGTTATAATGCTTTTATCTCCTCAAAAGCATTCCCAGAGTTGTATTTTGTGTCATTCACACATTTTTGAGTAATCCTACATGAAAATAGATCAGAAAATAACATAATACAAACCCTTAAAGTAGTTACTAAGCCTGAGTCATATAATAAACTATTTGTTCATTATGAATTAAGTCTTTGTTTGTGCTCTATTAAGGCTTATTAAGGTATAGTTATTATAAAATGTTATACCTATACTATGTAAACAAACCAATGAATCAACTTAATATTTACAGTCAATGAATTTTATATATTTTCAACTTACCCATAGTTCAAGATTTGCTTTAAGTTGAGTGGTGTTCAGCATAAAATTCACTATGCCTTCACTATTGGTTTTTTGTTGCTGTAGCATTTCAGTATTTCCCAGTTGTGTACAAAATAGGTATACCATTGAGTCAGGGATAGGGTTATTTCTGAAATCTATTGCTTTAACCTAGAAAAAATGACATGATATAATAAAATATAATATAATATATTATATTATATTATATTATATTTTTATACATATAATAGACTAGATTTACAGCACCTTTACACTGACAACTGATCCTGTTTTGTAATGGCTTGGTGCTTCTATGAATGATACCCAACCAATAGCATATGTACGTTCTATTGTTTTATCTAGTTTCTTTACAATGCCTGCAAAAAGCACAGTGTTATCAAGCAGTTGATGTTGAAGCATGTTTCTATGACCTCACCTGTGCCATGTTCCTCAAACTTTGCTTTCAGGAAGATCTTATCCTGCATACCAGCAGTGGTTTCAGGGATCTCAAAGCTAAAGGGGGCACAGCCATCTTTGTCTGCCTGATAGATAGAGTTACAGCATAGTTTGCTTGGTAAAGTCAATATGTATTCCAAGAACCAACATTAAATTGATATTTTGCATTTTCTGGGGGGTGTGATGCTAACAGGCACTCCTCTGTCTGAAGCTCATTTACTCAAATTAGACCTGAGCTTTATATTAACTAAGTCTAACCACAAAGAACTGATTTAGTTACAACTACAACAGGTGATCTGATTCATGCTGTTGTAAGTCTCTCACATAAAATAACAACTGCCGAACAGTCCTCCATAGACATCTATACAGCACATCCTAGAGTGATGTCATCGCAAAATGAATCAGTAAGAACTAGACCAGATTCAAACCAAGATTTTCTTTTATATACTACGTCATCCATCCAAGCTTAGTCCTGGATTAGTCCTGTAATTTTTTTCAAGATAGTAACAGTTTTATCTTTCGTTAGTGTGTAATTGTAATTGTCTGTATTTATGCTCTACCTCTTGTGTCTTTGTGTAGCACTGAGACGTCATGATCTTTGGAGGAAAACCATAACTGTACGCGAAAGGATGTTGGCACAGCTCCACCTCAGCTGTCCCCCGTACCCCCTGTCCAAATACGTACCTACAAAAAAGGTTCAAATTTAAGAAAATACATTTGTCTTTGATGTTGCCATAATGATACATAAACTCACTTGCCACAAACTTGAAATTCATACTCTTTTTCACCAATACTTAATTCACTTGTGGATTTTAAATGAATTGAAAATTTTGGAAGCACTGGGGAAAACATGTTGGGAAAACATGAAAACATGAGCGATTAATCAAGCCAATTAGAACATGCATTGCGAGAGGCGGGCTAATGTTCTGTGTAATCTTTGTGACTATATATGATGTACTCTGTCTAAGACCCAAAGAAGCTTCCCAAGTGTATTTCTGTATTCATTCACTCCCATAGTCTGTATAAAGAAGTGGACTATGAGAATGTAACGTCACCCATAGTGTTCAGCTCCAGTCAAATGAAGCTCACAATGCCAGCAGTTAGAGTAGCAATTTTGGAGCCAGTTCCATATTAGGAATAAGAATTTATTTACGGACAAAATACTGAAATAAAAACACCAGGAGCATCATGTAGAGCAAGTTAATATGAACATTTTAAGACCTAATGACGAGCAATTACAGAGAAAGGTGTGACAATTTTTCATTGTAAAGTCAATTGGAGCCGAGTCGATGGAGCCGGAAACGCCCCCGTGCTCACTTCCTATTTGGAATGGGGCGGCTATGTTCACTCCTTATTCATATTTGAGATTTGACATGGGTACATTTTAGCTACAGGCAAAAATTGTATCTTGCCCATGGAAAAAATGGCAGTATGAAATTTTGATAGAGGGTAGGATCAAACCCCTAACCCTTAAGTAAGCAGATACACTTGTGAGGAAAAAAACACAAAACTCACCATACTTGTTCACGTTGATAAAGTGCTCTATTTTCCCATGGTTAGTCACAACAGTTATTTTGTATTTTCCCTCTGGTGCCTCAGAGTTTAAAGGGTGCGACAATTGGACAAGTTTACTGTTTGAGCTCATGTTCAGCCACTGGCCAATCGTGTGACCAGCCCTGTCCTGTAGGGGGAGCCGTTTAATGGTCAGAAAGGAAAAAACGGAGAACTGAGACTGTGTTTAATATTAAAGTTTATGTTGTTAAATGTGCATTGTGCAATGTTTAAAGTGCTTGTCTCCCTGTAGGTAAACGTAAAATGTATATCTCCGTATAAACAAGCTGATGACGCTCCAGGCCAAGTTACAGGTTAGATCTGTGGAGAGGTGACCCCTCTCACAGTAAGGTATGTAACTGAATAAATGAAAGATTAAAGGTTAATGCTACACTAAGGTACATTCCAGGTATACCAATAACATCTCTTTGAAGGTGAGCAAGGCCTCTTCAAGAAAAGTTAGTGTACCTCTAAATAAATAAACAAACATTACAATATTTATATCTGAAATCTTGCATTTCTAGAATACAAAAGTTGTCTTACCTTAATCTCAATGATGTGATACTGTAACAAAAATAAAACCAGATCAAATTATTTATGAACAGATAATGGATTGCCAAATGTTACAGATTAAAAGGTCCTGTGCTATAAAAAAAAAGATTCTTGTGAGCTTTTAGTCATGGTAGAATGTTGGTACCTCATCAAAAACATACCTGGAGTTTTGTTTTGTTTCACTGTTCTTTAGTAACAGTAAGAGTAACCCTTTATTATTTGTCTGTCTACATCTGTAAAACTCAAAATGCTCTCAAACTCAAAATGTTCCACCTTGTGATGTCATGTAGAGGTAGTTTCCAGGATAACAGCTACCTTTTGTCTTTAGTTCAGTAGAGATTGGCAACTCCAGGGCGGAAATCATTCAAATGATTCTAGTGAAGGTGTATGGCGTTTAAAAACACAGTGGAGCACTTGTGTTACCACATGCTATCACAAGATAGAAGAGACTGAATGAAACAAAACACAACTCTCAGTATGTTTGTGATGAGGAAACGACATGGATATGGATCAATAAAGTCTGTCTAAACATCACACAGAACACAATATTTGAACAAACCATTCAAACAAACAGTGGGTTTAATGTCTTGTGTAATGTTTTTCAGTGACCTTATATGACCAGTGTTGCTATGACACTCACCACTCCATTGATGGGTCTGAACTTGATGTCCAGTGTAAACACCCTGAAATGAACTGACAAGAAAGAAATCCAATAGTAACACTAACATTATTAACAGCGAATATTATGAATAACTCACCTGTTTGTCCAGGGAGATACATAGGTTTGTCTGTCTGAATAATTGTGAATGGTAAAGGAGGAGCTCTGATATCAACTTTTTTAATTTTTTCTGAGTAAAATGCCAGCCCCCGAGCCTCCACATGGATTTTCTTTACGCCCTCCACTAAAGGAGCCTTAATAAAATGGTTAATTATTACAATGAATCACTGTAAAAATTGACAAATACTGCATGGTTTTCCCATACAACCTTAACTTTTTTGGTGAAGGGTCTGCCACCTGAGTGTGTTCAAGAAGATTCTATTGTTTTACTTAGAATGCTCCACAATGACATTACACTTATCTATCACCATGGAAACAAGTACATGACCAAGTAAGGATGTATATTTTTTATTATTAACTATATAATTACCTGTAATTGAATAAATGCATGACAGATATTTTTAATGTCCTACTGTAGAACATTCCAGGGAAAACAATAACATGTATGTGGAGACAAGCAGGTATTGTACCCTCCCCATAAAGTCCCATAGTATAGCTTTAAATGTCCTAAAATCACTTCACACCTGAAAATGTGAGCAGATGTGAAACTCTTCATTGGAGGTGTGCTGGAAGAGGACCTTTCTGTCTCCTCTAAGATGTAGAATAGCAGTCAGAGTGATCGTCTCATTGGGCTGGAGCAAACTGGAGCAGAACTGGATTTCAGATCCTCCTCTGATCACTGCAGGGAAGACCACCATGTACACACTACATACAGAGAACACACAGATAGCAGATCGCAAATAGCATGTAAGTTATACTATGAATTTCACAAAAATTCTAAGTGGAACTAAACACTAAATCCACTTTCTTGCTACTAAACTGTATATGATGTTTTACAAGTATTGTCTACTGTCTGTAATTATCTTTTGCCATTTACAGAGCAAACTAGGTAAATTTGCAGCTTTCTCAACAAAAACATCTAAATCCAAGTGTGTGCTGCCTCCAGTGGTCACTGCAATTTCAAGTACTACATGATATCACATCAGATTGTCCCATTTATAGCCAGGTGTCCTCGAGTACAACCACCTGGCTGTAGGGGCAGAGTTTGAAGTGTGGATATGTATTCGACCAATCATACTGTTCCTTGGATGTCCAGACATTGCCCCTCCTCCTCACTCACTGGGTGTTCCACAGTTGCCAGGATCCTTGGCTTCTGAACCACTTCGGACAGATCCACGTCATTAGAGCTCCGCCAAGTGGTGTTCAAATTACCCCAAAGCCCTCACATTCTCCATGCTTGACTCCTCCATTTTGCTCTTTTACCAAGGAGGCAAGGGTGGATCCTTGGACACCTCAGAACACTTACAATTGCCCACAGTGCATGGCAATTTTTTTTTTACAACCTTTATTTAAGCAGTAAAATGCATTTTAATAAAGTCAAACTCATTATACAATAAAAAAGGAAGATAATATTTTGTTTTTGTAGCCATATTGCTGCAGATAACACTATTATCAGATCAAATCAAATAAAATCAGGACAACTGCTGCAAAATTGGATTGGGAATACAATTAGCCTCTCAATCAATAACAGATGATTCAGTCAGCCTTCATTATTCACACGTTTTAATGTAGGTATGTTCAAACTATGGCCCATGGGCCAAATGCAGCTCTCAGACACACGTTTCTTGGCCCTGAGGCTTCCAAGTGAATTGGCCCAAATGACCTTGCATCCATTAAAAATTAACTTTTTACTGCGAGTTTTTTGAAAATCTACCTTGATAAAGCTCATATTTAATATTTAGTGTGTGGTTTTAAGGATCTTAGCATGAGTAAAGACTGGTGGCTCATTCTAATGTGTTAAACATGCACATATTTCAATTATTCACTGTTTTTGAGCTCCAGTCTACAACCCTCGATCAGCCCTCTGCTTTGTCTATGTTTAGATATGTGGCCCTTGATGAAAAAAGTTTGAACACCCCTGTTTTAATGCATGTTGCCACATAAAGACACCTCTGAACACTTTACATTTGTAGAAGCATTGACGTTTATTAAAACTCTGGGTTTTAACACATTTGATCTGGTCACATGACATGGCGCAGTCACTCTCTCCACTGTGAGGAGGACAATTGTCTCTGCTTTGGAGGAGCTGACTCCAGAGAAGTGCAACAAAGTGATCTTTGAAGGAAGGATCCTGGGAATTGAGAATTACCCACTCTCTTCTTTAGCCCTTCAGGTAGTGCTCAGTTTGGCAGCTCTGTTTGAATTGTGGTTCAGAGCAGAGTTTAGGGGTTTAGTCCCATTTTAACTTTTTTTTTTTTTTAACAAAAAATCTTGCTTAGTTTTTTCTAACGTTAGTTTTTAGATTTTGTTTCATGCTTCATAACAGCAACCATAACATTAACAAGGGCCGAAACTTATAGCTTTGAGAAAATAATTTTTGATTAAACTAATGAAAAATACTTGACTGGTGTAAGAATATGATAAATATTCATCACTACCCACCAAACCAAGTAATAATAACAAAAAACATGAAAATCTGTCATATGTTCTTTGAGTCACACATACACAGCACAGTGGTCAATAAGCTTAAATCAGTGCCCACAAAGTTAGGAAATTCAAATTTTATACAATTCCCAGTTTAACAAATATAACAGTCTAGACAAGAAAAACACATATGATGTACTCACGGCTCTCCAGCAACAAATGTCCAATAGACACTGAAGACAAGCGCCCAAGTCCATGTCTGAAACCAGCAGCAGTTCATGATGGACTGAAGTGACCCAAACAGAGTCTATGCAACTTATGACCCCTAAAGTCCCTTTTACACACTGACCAGAGGGAGATAATCAATACAACATGTGAAACAGACTTGAAATACAATAGCACAGCTAATTCTTCCAATTATAGTACGTAGGTCAGACTCCCAATTATGAAGGTATATTGTTGCCTTCCTTACAGTGTACTAAGCCTATTGACAGTGCAGTCACATCATGCTGGGGGTGTTCTACATATATCTCCATTGGCAGAATACTCAGCTTTTACCATGGTGACACAATGCACACATTAGCAAACACAGACAAACACGTTCAGTTTGAAAACTGAAAAATACAAAATGTGAAACCTGTGATCAACGTGAGTTGTCATGGTCCTATTTAGGAGTTTCATTTTCAACAAAAAGGTGAGAGTGACTAACTGAAAAACTGCTGGGTCATGCTAGCTAGCTTGTGACCATCGCGCAAGCCCTGGGGCCTAAACATGGCTATCCATTCAAATCAATGGGGTGTTTCTCAATTCCCAGAATTCTTCCTCCAAAGGCTACTTTGTAGCACTGCTCCTGAGTCGGGCTCCTCCGAAGCCGAGCCGAGTGTCCTGCTCACAGCTCCTGGGAGCACACCCGAGCGCACATGGAACAGGCTCCGGAGAGAACGACTGTGTCGTGTCACGTGACCAGATCAAATGATTAAAATTCTGGAGTTTTAATAAACATCAGTGCTTCTACAATACTACATAATATATACTTCATCGCCATGTGATAAATTAAGTTATGATGCTAAATGAACATTAGTGAGTGGGATACATCTTTATGACCCATATGCGTTAAATGCAGGTGAGTGCGTAAATGAAGAAATGTCTCAAACTTCAGTAGCCTGACATACAATTCATACCTGATCATTACAACTAGCCCTCCCACGGGAGAGCCTGAAATCTACTGTTATTTAAATTATGCTGTTATTTTACTAGATCCGTGGCTGAAATCTTACAAGACACTGACATGATAACTAACAGGACAGAGGCTCTATCTGCAGGAGACATGCGCAAAAAGAGCTCAAAGTGACATAGTCTGGTAATCCTGCTGATCTTGCTGTAGTTTTATGGAACAGTGCCAGAGGTAGCCAGTTTTAAGACAACTGAAGGATTTTGAGCTGAGAAAAAGTTTATAATCTAAAAATAGATCCAACCTTTTTGAAAACTGTGCCTGATTTTTTTTGCTTAAGTTCCAGTGAGTGGCCACTAACCCAACTCAAGACAGCTCTAAACCACAGACCGTATATATCCAGTTATTTTAATAACAGACCCATGCATTCATGCTATTTCCTATTTGAGGGAGTTGCAGTAAAAATCTGCTCACCTGTTGTAGTTCCAGCTAAATCAGCTCTTTCTGGTCAGATTGTGTTAAAATAAAGATCAGATTAAGTCTAATTTGAGAAACAAAGCATCTAACAGAGTAATGTTTTCAGTTAGCTTCCACCCCCAGGGAATGTTGATGACTTCAGCTGCAAAATATCAATTACAAATTTTTATTTTCTTTGTTACGACCCCAGCTTGGGTCAGTATTTGTGGGTGCATGTTTGTGCTGCTGTGTCTCTCTCTCTCTCCCTCCCTTCCAGATTCAAGTGGGAGAGCCAACATAACGAGCTGCACCTGATTGTGGGTGTGGCCCACCACCTTTAAAAGCTGCTGCTGGAGACTGCTCACTCTCTTCTCTCCTCTCCACTGTGCGGCCACAACTTTAGTTGCACCTTGTTTTTAAATAAATATCTGTTTTTGTATTCTTTTAAACATGTGTGGATTCTCCATTGTTTGAACCTTGAGCCAGTTCGTAACGTTCTTATAAAATTCATTAGGTACTTTTTGTGTTAGAAACTTGTGGATAATCCTTCACCAAGTGCAGTTTAGTTGAGAAATAATTTACTTTTCAACCCTGTGACTTTTCAAGAAGTTGTTCATTGCATGACACAAGTGGGCATATGGTACACTGAACTATACCCTATACACATTTCATTAAATCCCTAAATTAAATCGATTTTATTTTTACTATGTTGAAGAATATTTTTACTGCAAAGGATGAAAGCCCAGAGGAGAGGGGACATTGGTCGTGTAAAGTGGAGTTTCTTCTTGCTGTGGCTGGAAATGTAGTTGGTCTTGGCAATGTTTGGAGATTTCCTTATCTATGTTACAAAAATGGAGGAGGTAAGTCAGAAATATATGTGTTTCGACTGAAAATGATTTGTTTTTTTGCATATTGTGTCATTGGAAGGTAACAAAGTAAAAGTAGAAAATATAGATTTTTTTTTAAGTTACATTAAGTTAAGTACATTTTACAGTGGATTTTTTTTTGTTTTTTTTAATACGCTTTTGATAGCAGGTTTCTGTATTTCTACTTTACTACATTTTTGTTACTTTTCATGATTTTAGGAGTGATTTTTACCATGTTTGCGGTAACATGTTGACTAAAGGTTTTGAGTTCAAGCTTCAGCTTTAAGGAACCTGAAATAAATGCACATAATTCATGAGAAAAAATAAATTGATTTGTATTGACACTGACATTACTATTGACATTAGTGTCCAGAAACACACTTTATCAAAATCTGTGTGAAATACTTTTACTTTTTACTCTTAAAGTATATTTTTAAATTGGTCCTTAAATTGGTTAGATTTTTTCATGTGGTACATTTTGTCTCTACATCTGTACTTTTGCTTAAAATTAAGTACTTCATCCACCTCTGCATTTCAGGTGCATTTTTGGTACCTTATCTAGTGTTTGTGGCGACCTGTGGCATTCCCCTATTTCTTCTAGAGACTGCAATTGGGCAGTACACCCAGGAAGGAGGTATCACCTGCTGGAGGAAGATCTGCCCTTTGGCCGAAGGTACAAACTATAGATTGTATCTTTAACTAAAAGAGAAACATACATATAATGCCAAAAACAGTTGCAACAAATTAATGTTTAAAAAGACAAGAATGAGAGAGGAGCATGAATAAATCTGGTAATGGTAAACTGCTCAAATTAAGTTATCTCGTCAACTTGTACTTAAGCAACCAGAACAAGCAAAATGAAAAAATCATGCATTTTGAATTGCATTTAAAACAATTCTAGCTGTAATTTCAGTCTTACTCAGAATTTATTAGATCCTTTATGCCATAAACTATTGAATGGTATTCACTAGCATTTTGTATGGAAATTTAAGCTTTAAGCCCTGCTAGAATGCTGTTACCTCATCAAAAACATACCTGAAGTTGTGTGTTGTTTCATTCACACGTTACAATAACCCTTTATTATGAGTCTGTCTTTATCTCCAAAGTTCCAAATCTTCTGTTTCACCTTGTGATGTCATGTAGCTGTAGTTTTTAAGTTAACACCTACCTTTTACCTTTTACTAAGTTCAGTAGAGATGAGCAGTAACAGGGCTGAAATCATCCAAATTATTTTAGTGAAGGTGTATGGGGTTTAAAAACAAAGTGGAGCACTTCCTGTCTTACCACATGACATCACGAGTTACATGGGTGAATGAAACAAAACACAACTCCCAGTATGTTTTTGATGAGGATTATAACAGATAGAAATAGCTGCATCTTATGAATTTGTTCAAGGTTCATAATTCTCTTTGGGTATTAAGAGCAGAAATGATGAATTAATTTGTCCACTTTGATCAGTAAAGTTCTGTCTGTTTTGTAACATGGCATGACAAAGGGAAATTAAAGAGTTTATATTGTGTACCACACTGGTGTTTTACAGGTATTGGTTATGGAGGCCAGTTGATCCTTCTGTACAGCTGCATGACCTACATCATCATCCTCTCCTGGGCTCTGCTTTACCTGATTTTCTCCTTCAGCTCACAGCTCCCCTGGGCCAGCTGCAAAAACTACTGGAATACTGGTCAGTTATTCAAATTATGTAAATCCTTTTCACCATTTATTAATGTGCATTGGAAAAAGAGTAGAAGAGCCCTGGTGAAACACATAATACACTGTGTGCATAATTATTAGGCAAGTTGTATTTAAGAGGATTCATTTTATAATTGAATAACTACAGTGCTCTCGGTCAATACAAAAGTTTAACCTGAATATTTAAGAAAGCAAAAGTGAAGTTTTGGCTTTCTTTGGAGAAAATCTATGTGTGCACAATTATTGGGCAAGCAAATGAAAATGAAATATTTACATTTTCCGTTCTCATTTGTTTATTTTCATCTGTTAGAATAGTAAACAACTCAAAATTTCTGACCAAAAAATAAATAAATTTAAATCTGAGACTAATATAGCTACCCTTCTTCTGTGAGTCTGTCAGTTTCTTAATCTCTTGACAATCAGCTTTTTGTGCAGCAGCAACCACAGCCTCTCAGGCTCTGTTCAGAGCAGTGTACTTTTCCTACACCTTAAATCTCCTCTTTAAGCAGGGTCCACAGGTTCTCAACAGGAAATATCCCAGGTGACAAAGGGGGCTATGTCATTATTTTTTCATCTTTAAGGCCTTTACTGGCCACACACAGTGGAGTACTTCAGTGCATGCGATGGAGCATTGTCCATAAAAATCATGGTCCTCTTGAAAGATGCAGATTTTCCCTGTACCACTGCTTGAAGAAAGTGTCTTCTAGAAACTGGCAGTAGGTTTTGGAGTTCATTTTGAGTCCATCTTCAACCCAAAAAGGTCCAACAAGCTAATCTTTAATAATACCAGCCCATGTCAGTACCCCACCTCCACCTTGCTGGCATCTGAGTCAGAGTGGAGCTCTGTGCTTATTACTGATCCAGCCACAGGCCCATCTGTCTGGTCCATCAAGAGTCAGTCTCATCTCATGGTCAAATGGTCAAAATACCCACTTGCCTAATAATTTTACACACAGTGATTGTGTGCACAATTATTAGGTAAAATACCCACTTGGCAAAATAACTACTACTATTACTGTTACTATTTTTAATAATTATTGTGCACACAGTGACTGTGTCCTTTGTCGACCTTGTTGGATGAAGATTTGATGATGGGGCAGAGTTTTGAAGCTGGTGGGAAATACAAGAGACATTTCCACAGATATTTTGCCATAGAAAACCATTACCTGGAAGTTCCTGTAACCCTGCATCGTGGGACTTCCACACGCTGTGAAAAAAGATCTATAGCAGGCCAAGATTGGAGAACTATAAAGAAATGCTTGACACTATTCCAGACAGTTGTTTCTGTGTCATGCTGTAATATAACTAAGCGGATGAGGCCAGTCATTCAATATAAAACATATCCCTAACTCGTGGTTTGAAATGGTCTTACGCACACCTGATTTGTTTGAGCTCTAAGTCGTGTTAGAATGTTGTTACTTCCTCATTTGTGTGAATAAAACAAAACACAGCTTTGGATATGTTTTTAATGAGGAAACAACATTATAACATTGACCAGAAAATGGTGTCACCTTTAAAGGTGCATTATGTAAGTTTTCTGGTGGAGGATCTGTTAAATGCTTTTCTTCACTGAAATTGTATTGCTTTGTCTGGAATGTTTCACAGTATGATATTAAACCTGTACATGGAGACCAAACCATATCCATAGAAACAAGCGGGTGTCGGATCCCCAATCAAAAAGTTACATAGTGCTTCTTTAATGCATATAGCTGTAATCTTAACATATTGGTTCACAGCTGACTGCACAGACCTTACAATCAAAAGAAACACATCAAGGAGCAATGACACTTCCTCCTCCTCTGCTGCCACAGAATTCTGGGAGTAAGTCTTTTAGACAATCATTTTGTCACATTGTATTTGATAATGAAAATAATAGTAAATAATTGTATTAATTTTTTTTTCTGTCATTCTTGTTTAGGCGCAGAGTTTTATCTATCTCTGGTGGAATAGAGCAGATTGGCAGTATCCGTGTTGAGATTCTGTTGTGTCTAATTGCTATGTGGATTATTTGCTACTTTTGTATCTGGAAAGGGGTCAAGTCAACTGGAAAAGTAGGCCATTGAAAAAACTCATTATGAATATTGTTAAAGGTCCTGTATTGCTCAAAATTGACTCCTGGGAGCTTTAAGCAATGTTACAATGTTGTTAACTTCCTCAAAAACATACCTGGAGTTGTGCTTTGTTTCAGTCACACATGTTTATTCATTTTTATTTTTAGTCTGTCCACATCTCCCAAGCTCAAAATGCTCTGTTCCACCTTGTGATGGAACAGAGCATTTTGCGCAGTAGTTTTCAAGTTAACAGATACCTTTTAACTTGTTTAGTTGAGATTGGCAATTCCAGGGTTAAATTTGCACAATTTGTGTATTCAACGTGTCTGGTATGTTTTGATGAGAAAACAACCTTAAAACATTAATATCATAAAATAGTGTAACATGAGCATATATCTTTTTCAGGTGGTTTATGTCACTGCCACTTTCCCATATGTGATGTTGTTGATTTTACTGGTTCGTGGAGTGACTTTACCTGGGGCTCTGGAGGGAGTGGTATTTTATCTTCTGCCAGAACCCTCTCGACTCCTGGACCCTCAGGTGACAGACCTCTCATTATATAACTTTTAAGTCTCATATTTTTTTACATGTTACAAGTTAATCTCTTATTACATTACATGTTGAGTTAGTAGTCATGTTTAGTGAGTGTGTTGTGTTGTATCAGGTTTGGATGGAGGCAGGCTCTCAGATCTTCTTCTCCTTCAGCATTGGTGTGGGCTCTCTGACTGTACTGGGCAGCTATAACAAGTACAACAACAATTGCTATAGGTAATGCAGTTGTTCAGTTGGAAAACATGTACAAAATCTCAAATATATAAAATAGCTATTGCATGTCATCAAGTAATTAAATTGTATCTATAAAGAGTCACACAAGTTTGTAACTTAACACTACTGCTCAAATCTTATCATATTGTAGAAAAAAATACGCAAGATTTTTCACCAGCTCAAAGAAAAAGTACATACGATAAATGATTGATCATATTGAATGATAAGTCTATATTAATTATCAGGACAGGCATAGTGAGAACACTAGTTGGATTTGTTGAGCACAAGCACAAACAAATAACCGTAACACAATAAAGTCTTTCCCCACAAGGGAAATTTGGATGCAGTAGCTCATTCATCACAATAAATATATACATGTCATTAAATAATATAACAAAGCGTAAAAATATAAAGGTAATAATAAAAATCATCATCATCGTAAGTGGCTCACTGCCTGGATCTGCCTGGAAGACTCCCATTGGAGGTCAGCACATGGTTAGTGGTCAAGCCCTTACATGTACTATACACATGTAAGTAACCATACAGGTTTAAGAAGTGTATGCAGAAGTGATTAAAACATAACATCCTCTTTGATTTGACAGAGACTGCATGTGGCTGTGTCTGCTGAACAGTGGTACCAGTGTACTGGCTGGGTTTGCAGTCTTCTCCGTGCTTGGCTTCATGGCAAAAGAACAAGGAGTATCTATTTCAGAGGTGGCTGAGTCAGGTACATGATTATTGTGTATTTTACATCATGTCTGTGGTCATATTATTCAATACTACATGTGTAGCTGGCAGAAAAATACAGAGAAAAGGTCCTGCAATGTCTTTATGCAATGCATGTCAGAGCCTACACTGCTATATTGAGATTCAAGTTGAGTACTGGATTCAAATTTATTTTAGTTGGCTATACTAATTTTCACAATAATATAACAAATTGTTTCATTGTGTTTTGGCCCATTCCTACTGATGACATTAAGGATGATGGTCAAATAGTACAGTTAGGACAACTCCAGTTTAATAATAATGATGGATCAGAATTACATAGCTCTTTTTTGGACACTCAAAGAGACTTTACAGTGAATTAGTCATTTACGCCACACTCAATTTATCATTATATTCAAGCATCCAACAATGACGTCAATGTTTAATGTTTAAAGTGTTATGCTTTTCTAGGACCCGGGTTGGCCTTTATAGCATACCCACAGGCTATAGCCATGATGCCCCTGCCTCAGATGTGGGCCGTTTGCTTTTTTATAATGCTCATCCTTCTGGGGCTGGACACTCAAGTAAGTATTAAAGGCACACTGTGTAACTTTGTAGATGTATTGTTTTTCCTGGAATGTTCAACAGTATGGCATTTAATTTAACCATCTCCATGGAGACAAGCAAGCCACATCACCAGACCAGCTTGTTTGTCTGTGTAGAGCATTGGGCCAGTTCACAGTAATAATGTATGTTTTTGTGGTAGTTTTGAAGCATAAACACTCCTTTAATTGAATAAACGCTGGTATATTTATTTAATGTCATACTGTGGTACATCCCAGGCAAAGCAATAACCATGGAAATAAGCAGAAAAGTTACACAGTGCACCTTTAAGCAATATTCTCTCAAAATATTTCATATATATTTACTAAAATACATATGCAGTATAGATTTAAATGGTAAATTCATTTCCCTTAAGTATATTATCATGTATCACATCATGTCATTTGTGTGTCCAGTTTGTTGCCATGGAGGTGATCATGACATCCATCACAGACATGTTTCCTGCTGTGATGCGTCGGAGTGGGCATCGTGAGCTCTTCCTCCTCCTCTTCTGCCTCACCTGCTTCGTCCTGCAGCTCATCATGATCACTGAGGTTTCTTATCATTTCGTTTCTATTCAGTCTTCTTTGAAAGATCCTATATTACACAAAATTAACTTTCATGAGCTTTAAACCATGTTACAATGTTGTTACCACATCAAAACATACCTGGATTTGTGTTTTGTTTCATTCACATTTGAATAACACTTAATAGTCCTTCTCCAAAGTCTCCAAAGCTCAAAATGCTCTTTTCCACCTTGTAATGTCATGAAGTGGTAGTTTTCAAGTTAACAGCTCCTTTTACCTTGAGCTCAGAAGAGACTGGCAATTCCCCATACCACATGATATCACAAGTGTTTTCAGTTTGAGAGAAGAACTAGCCTAAATATGCAGGGTTTGTTTGTTTTTGATGAGGACATTCATTATATATAGTATAGACATTTTAGCAGATCAGAAAATGGGGTAATATGGGCCCTTTACACTATAGACTCTAATCACATAAATGTAACATTATAAAGGCTTATTGCTAACTGTCTGCAGGGAGGAATGTATGTCTTCCAAATGTTTGACTATTACGCCTGTAATGGAGCCTGCATCCTCTTCCTCTGTGTCTTTGAATCAGTGGCTGTTGGATGGGTTTTTGGTAGGTAATATGAACTGATTCACTAGCAAGGACCACGCCACAACAATGGTATACAATAAAGATATTTATTAATGATGGGTAAATGCGATGGCTGGGAGGAGACTCAGCCTGGGGCCTCTGTCTCAGGTGGTCAGCCCAGCCAATTCAGGACCTCCCTTTGTAGATAATGTCTTCAGGCTGAAGGATGAACAAGAGACACAGGGTGGGAGGAAAGTGGTCGAGAGAGTAGAGAAAGACAATATTGTTGGGTTAAGCCTGCATAAGTACAGTAGGGCTTCGGAGTAATTGAAGGTGCAGTTGAGGTAAGCTGTGGTTCGCTGGAGAGGAGCAGGGGGAGGTTGAGGCGTGGTCCTGTTTCTGAATCTCAGGCAATCATATTTACTCCACTTCAAACATAATGTCTGTGTAGAGTCTGAAGTAAGTATAAAAAGTTTCACATCCTTTTCCATCAAAGGTACAGAGAAGCTGTTTGGGATTATAAAGGACATGACAGGTTCAAGGCCCAATTTCTATTTCAAAATCTGCTGGCTCTTTTTCACCCCAGGAGTGTCACTGGTGAGTTTGATGCTCTCATACCCACTTAATGATAATATAAAGTAATATCATTATTATTATTATTCTGCAGGTCTCTTTTATCTGTTCTCTGATTGAGTACCAGCCTCTCACCTTTAACCACTGGTATGTGTACCCCTCCTGGGCGTATGTTGTGGGCTGGGTGCTAGCGCTCTCCTCCATCCTGCTGGTGCCGGGGTGGGCCCTGTACCTGATGACCACTCAGTCTGGAACACTGAAACGGGTATGAAGAGGATATATCTAGATTATGTACAATACAAGTCAAAAGTCTGGACAAAGCCTCTCATTCAATGTGTTTTTTATTTATTTATTTTTATTTTTTTACCACTTTCTACATTTTAGATGCACACGGAAGGCATCAAATATATGAAACAAGATAATGGAATTATGTAGTATAGAAAAAAGCTAAATAATTCTACTTCTACTTCAGTTTTTTTTTTTTTTTTGACAAAGCAAATGGTGTTTGTAAAAAAGATTGTGAAAAAGTTAGTAAAATGGTTAATTACTTTTTTTTTTTTACTACATAATTCCATACATTTTACATGTCTAATGAACTGGTGTGTCTAAACTATTGACTGGTAGTGTATATGGCAACAATCCTGCACATATAGGTCAAACATATACTAGTGAATGTTTACTTTTTCATTATCTTTAAGAGTGTTGAAATTGTAATGTTTTGGATACAAATAGTAAGAACAAAACATTTTATAATTTCTGTTTGGTAATTTGTTTTGGCCACAACCATGGCCACAACAAAGCTTCTTGGCAATAAATCTTACAGCACATTTGGAGGGCCTGTTTAATAGTGCCACATTTGTACGATATTACACCATTTGTTTGTTCACTCATAAATTATTCAGTCGAAATGACAATGAATATTAGACTGAAGCCTTGGCAGATTGGGTGGAGTGAACGTTTGAGGTGTGAAACATTTTTATGTTACAGTAAATAGTACTCATTACACATAATTCTCTGTTATTGCAAAAAATACAATGACAACTCTGGACCTGTTCAGTAATTGTTTTAAATCCCTTCTTGCAGTTACATGTACACACTCAAACTCTACTTATTACAGGATTTTTGTACTTAGAGGATTATTAAAAATAAATGTAAACAGGAAAATCATTATCCTACTCCTTCCTGATCATGTTTTTTTTCTAATTTCCCACATCAGATTTTGCAGTTTGCATGTCATTAAAATCATTTTAAAAGGTCCTCTGTTACACAAAATTTATTTCAACACATTTTCTAATGTTGTTTCACACTAAAAAAACATACCTAGAGTTGTATTTTTTTTTTTTCATTCACACGTTTCAGTATTTATTAGTCTGTCTACATTGCTAAAGCTCAAAGCTCTACACCACCTTGTGATGTTATGTAGTGGTAGTTTTCAAGTTAACAGCTACATTTTACAAAGTGTTTTCAGTTTTCTAAACTCAACCTAAATATGCATGGTTTGTGTGTTAAACATGTGAATGAAACAAAACACAACTCCGGGTATGTTTGTGATGAGGAAACAATATTATAAGAGATCAGAAAATTGCATAATACAGAACCTTTAAAGCTTATATATTTTGTTTTGTTTCCTCAGCGCTTTAGTCATCTGTGCAGGCCCAATCCAGAGTACTCACTGACCTCTAAACAAGAGACCGAGCTGAACCACATTGAAGACTCGCTCCAAGTGAAACAATGAGAGACATTACATAACCACATGTGTTTTCCTAGAAGTGTATTTTTACTTTCTATTGAACTCACTTTATTGTAAATGATACCAAAATGTTTTAGGAATTTAAAAACTTTATTTAAATAAGAGTGAAATAAACTTACAATGTTGGAAGTGGTTGATTACACTATGCACACAAATCAAATCATGCAAGCCCCACATGCAAACAGACAACTAGTACTACACAATCCAAGACTGGATAAAATAGGCTAAAATTACAGTTAAAATATTTAAAGCAAGGTGCATAAAAGAGCATAATATAATAAAACAGACAAAGCTTGGTGAGAAAATTTGCAGTTGTCACAAAACAAGTGCAAAAAGTTAAGGCAATTTCAAGCACATAGATTTTTCTTATACCCAAAGTCACAAGGCACCATTATAGGCAAGTTTGTGCTAGCCTGACCTACCATCCCAATTATATTTCAACAGATATTCAAAGCTGAAAGAGAAATAAAACCCTATCATTATCCCATTCAGCCAAAACTAAGAGCCTCTTATAAAGTACAGAAATTAATCTGACAATAATAATCCAAAAGATTTTTGAAATTGGAAAAAGAAGAAATAGACCAATATATTTCTATGGGTGTGGATGGCCGGGCCGTAGTTCTGCTGGTTTAAGTGCCCTTAGTATTTGGGTAAGAACCTGAAATTACTAGTTATTTTGTTAATGCTTTAAAGCGTTTTGCACCGACCAGGCTTTTGTGCATGTAACTTTATGACCACTGGTATTTAGCTCGTCTTTAATGTGAAACCTGTATATGGTTGATATAAACTGTGACACAAAATCCTTCCTTGAAAGTTGTTAGAAGAAAAGATGGCAAGAAAAGGCTTTTAAGTAAGTTTGACAAAATGACTAGGTCAATGCAAGAGGAGCAATTGTGGGTTTTTGAATTGTTTTAAGACAGTGGTTTAAACATAAAATTAGCCCATGGAGGAAACTGTGGTGGCAAGAATGGGCAAAAATGTAAAAGCATTAAATGGACTGAAAATTACTTTATTTGCTTAAGTTTTAACACAATATTTAATGCTTTTGTGAGGTGGCATATTTGGCAAGTGGTCATAATGTTATGCCTGATGTAGAGTGGTAGAGTGTCCTGAGTACTCTACCAGCCCTATTTTGCTCCTGACATGAATATTATTATCATTATATATTTCACATTAGTCATTAAAGGTGCATTATGTAACTATTCTGGTGGTGGTGTGGGGTTCCATTACCAGGTTCTTTCCATGGAAGAAGGAGATACTTTCCCCTTTAGTGTTCCACAGTGTGGCATTAAATTTGCTTATCTTGCAAGTATTATGTTACGTGTGGTTTTAGCACTAATGAATACCTTGGAATACCTTTTCTTCTTAACAAGAGTGGGGATGTCTTGCCACAGATTTAACCTATTACTTGGCCAAGAGATGAAATCTGTTTCTCTCCATGCACAAGTTTACTGTCATTGTGGCACATAACATCTCCGTGAAGACAAGCAGGTGATGGCCCCAACCCTCAGGAAAGTTACATAGTGCCTCTTTACTATCAGCTAAATTTAAACCTGAGATTCACTCATTATCCAAACTGTTTAGGCTTGTATCGTTGTCCACAATAGTTTCAGATTTGATTTCCCTGGTTACATCCATTTGTTTTGGAGTAGGTTCTTTTAAGTTACTTGAATCAACAAGAGACTCATCTTTGTCACCTTCCCCACTTTGTGTTTTAATAATGCTAACATTTTGCTGCGTAGTTGGGACCTGTAATGCTTGTACATCTTTAAGATCAGGGTAGCAACCAGATTCTGCCATATTCTTGTGTAGAGTGAGCCAAGCCTCCATATTGCTTGGGTTTTGGTTGGAACAGCTGGCCATTTGACATAACAAATCCGAATGCTGTCTCAACTGGGCAACATCTCGCCCCGTTGCATTGCTTTGACGCAACAGCTCCTTGGTGCGCAGAGTTATATCCAAAAGCCCCGATTGCTTCAAGACTTGCACCGTGTTAACAACATGTCTATGGCGGGTGTTGATGATGCTAGTTTTGTTGAGTTCAGTGGACGAAGTCAGTTGGCCTGAAGACACTGGTGCGTTGTCGGAGGATGTTACGGTATTACTGGCACAGATTTTATGAACGCATTGCACCTGAGGACTACCATTGACTTGTGTATTATTACTTTCAGTGCACACACGTTTGCTCTGGTTGTCAGATTCAGCGGTTGGGGCAGTTTTGTCGGGGGGTTTTTTGTTTGGGTGGGGGGCGATGCGAGGGTAGGAGTTGAGGATGGGTAGATAAGCAGGGTTCTCCATCTTCACAGTGGGGTTGTTTTTGCCTGGTGGTCTGGGTTGGAGTGCGGGGGGGTTAGAAGGCTGGAGGAGGAGGACTGGGTTTGAACCAGAGACATTTGGGTTGGCTCCATTAGACCAGAGGAGTCGACCATTCTTCTGGACAATATGAGGCTACAATATGACGAAAACATATGCAGATTAGGTTGAGGAATACGCAATTTCTTACTATTAAAGATTTTTCAATTGAATTCAAAAGTCAAAGTAGTTTACATTAGGGCTGGGAGATATGACATAACAAATGATCACATTTTATTCCCTCATTTTGATGTATCACAATTTTAGATCTTATTTTATTTTGTCCTATTCAAACATTAATAAAAAATGTCAATGAAAATTCATGTCCTTAACAGAACTATACAGAATTTTAAACACTGCAATTCAATACAAAAAAGACCCTCATTTATTCCTCCTAAATCTGAACTTCAGACCAGATCAGATCCATACCACATGCTTTTACTGACAGGAGTGGCTGTATCTTGATTAAAAAGATCCAAGTTGATCATTATTTCATCAAATAAAAATAACTGATTTAAATATATTTCTTTTCAGTAAAGAAGAAAAGACCTAATGTACTTTTAATTTACCATTACAAATATCATATGAATAACTTGTATCGTAATTGGAATGAAAGGAATAGGATACAAACCTTGACAAAGTTAATAAAACATTGATCATGAAATAAAAATTACCTGCTCAAGAACCATATTTTTAATTATATAAAATGATGCCAGCTGTCCTGTTGGTGGCGCCACAACAGCATTTCCACAATTTTTGTGTGGTTCATTTTGGTTTAGAGGTAACTCATCTGAGGTGTCCCTTGATTTTCTGTTGCTGCGATCTTTTGCATTGGTGTGTTTCGAGTCAGAGCCTGTGTCTGCAACAAAGCACAACAAAAAGGCCTTTAAGATGATGTACTCTAGCTCAAAAATATATATATTTTTTTTTTTTTTGGGGGGGGGGGGAACTCAATAAATTTCACTAGAGTAAATGGTAAACTATATAACTTTTCTCTTGAGGGGTTCGCTAGCAGCTTGTTTCCATGGTGATGATATTACTTTGACTGAAATGTTCCTCAGTATGGCATTAAACTTATCTATTTGGCATTTTTATGACATGTGTACAAATTTCTCAAAAATCCCTTAAAACATGCATTCATCTATCTGTGAGTGGTATGAATGCTCTCCACTGACCTGTAACATGGCCTGGTAGGGTCACTTTCTTGTCTCCATGGAGATGGATACGTTTAATGCCATACTGTGGAACAATCTAATCAAAGCAATAACATCTCCACAGAGACAAGCAAGAGGCACACCCTTCACCAGAAAAGTTATATACACCATCTTTAACAATGTGTCTGATCAAACTGTTGCATAAAGGGTTAGTCCAAATTGAAGTATGTCCTGAAATGAAATACCGAATCTGCTATTATGCAATCTGCAATTACGAAACTATGAATATCTGGATTACAGCTATTATTAGTTTTGACTCACCTGAGTAACCTGAGTCTTTCTCTGAGCAGCTCCTCCTGTTGTCGTCGGCAGCCCCATGCAGCGCCTGCATGGCCGTGCTGTTACTCTTATCTTTAGCATTCTTGGTGGATGAAGCGGACGAGCTGGTCTCATCTGAACTGGGCTGCTCCCTTGGCATTGTGGACCCTGGTGAAGCAAAAATAATGAAACTATATCTTAATAGGTGAGCAGATGGGTCTGCCCTTGTCATATAATCCCATGTAGCCTACTATATTATGTGAGCCTTAAAGGTGTACTATGCAACATCTCTGTAGGAGGGCCCACCACCTGCTCATCTTCAAGGAAATGCTATGACTTTTCCTAGAATGTTCTTGAACTTATTCATTTCCATCAAGAAACGCCGGTGATGGCACAAGGCCCAGTCACATGACAGATCTGACATATGAGGCTAGCATGCATTTTAAGGCATTTCTAACACCTGTAATTAAATGCACAAAAAAAGAACCATACTGTAGAACATTCTAGGAAAAGTAATGACATCTCTATGGAGACCAGCAAGTGGCAGACTTCACCAGAAAAGTTACCTAGTGCACCTTTAAATAAACTTGCATAAAACTGTAAATAGCAATGGTTGAAGCTAAATTTTTTTATTTTTAATTATCAGTGTGCCAACATTGTTACAATGCTGGGATGCAAAGAGAAGGAAACTAAGCATGTAACATTGCTTGGACAATTGTAAACATTTAATTTCAGTGTTCCTTGTTCTTTTACAGTTTGTTTTAAGTATTTGCTACAGTTTAGAGTTTAGGTGAAGGAAGCATATCAAACCAGCCCTGTCTTTTCCTTTCCAGCTATTATGTAACACTAACTTTGAGCCCAGCCCTCCTGCAAGGCTCACACTTCCTCTCATAGTGGTCATAAACAAAGAAAGATCATTTAAGGCAACGCAAAATGCAACAGTCCTTTCTACAAATTTGAATGTCAGAAACCAAACTTAAGCAAAGTAAACTGATAAACTCTTTATGCATTTCAGTTTCAAGTTGTATGCTCTCGCTGTCTATTCCAACTTACCTTCAAAACAGCTCGTCGATCATCCCCCTTCTATTCCCTGTTTAAAATGTCATATTTTCCATAAAAACATTTTAAATTCTAATTAATATTAAGCTTGAAAATGAATCTACAATATTCTACACGCCTTTGTGAAATGTGCCGTGGTAGGTTTGTGACAACAGAATAAAGAATAACTACTGTCAACAAACCTCGCGTTACAACAAACAACTTCCGGTCGGGAGCCATTTTAAAACTATAAAAATTTAAAATTCCACCTCTGAAAGCAAAAAAATGTGAATTCTTATTATCAAATTACGTTCTTTTAATACATCAGACAGTGCTTACCTACCAATCCGAGGCTGTAGAAATCTTTATCATAAGGGCGAAAAACACGGTGCAACCTTTTCTTTTGAAAGTCCCATCCACGTAATAAAGCAGCTTTACGTTTCTGCTTGAGGTTACGATGAAACAAAAGAGCGTGTAAGCAAAAACATGGCCATATAGTCGTCTATATTTCGTGACCAATGCTGTAAAGATGCATCCAACATGATAAATATTGATTTTTTTTCGCAAGAATTGCACGAAAGATTGTGTACGTTACCTCAGATGAACCCGAAGCGCCCCGACGCACCGCCTCCTGCCAGACACCCAACACGAGCTGCGAGTGAGAGCCGCGAGCGCATTGGCTTACACACAATTTAGAGCTCCAATCACAAACACGAGCACGTATAGCGCTGAGTGGTGGACCAGACACACACAAGGGACACTTTATGGGCTATACAAAGACAGGGATGGGGAACTATAGACCCATTTAAACGGGCGAAATAAAATACTAGTATTTTGGGACGTTAATAGATAAGATTTGAATGGTGAGATGTCGACTACTGCAGATTAGATTGGGAACCCCAAAATAACTGCAACTGATCCGGAACCCCACATCAAAATGAAATGGAAAAGAATGTAAAATCCCATTTAGAAATGTGATTGTTTTACCACATTATATTATTTATTCTAATATAGACCAAGTGTCATCTGCTTGTCTCCATGGAGAGATTACCATTTTGTCTTGATTATTCCAGTGTATGGAAATAAACTTGGCAGTCACAATGGATACAGGCTAATGGTCAGATCTATGGAGAAGGCAAGCCTGCACAGGGCAATAATTCATGTAATAAGTAAATAATAGTAATAATTCTATGCAAAGAAATATAGCCATGGAGACAATCAAATAGACCCTTCACCTTAGAAATTACATAGTGCACCTTTAAATAACATCTCTAAAATATCAGAACCCCATGTAAAGCATTGGAACAAAACAGAAGTCTCTCCATTTCAATATTCTAGCTTGTTTGTGCCAATATGCATTAAAGGGGATAGGTTACGCATTGTGGTCTACCTCAAAGTTGTCAATTATTGTACATAGATGACAACAGAAATCATTTCAAATTGCAGCATACACTTTATTTTAACATTAAAAAGGCTTTGATTTCATGACAACCCACTTAATTTCAGATCACAAAACAAAGAAATGGATACAATATAATGAATCAGCTGCAAGATAAGATCTTAAAACTGTATGCATTTAGCATACACATTCGACTTCTTCCTCAACCACGGTAATGGTAAAGTGCAACATAATACATGATTTTTAATAACGCGTTTACTGCCTATGCATCATTTGTGCACACCCAGCAGTAAGGAGGCATTCACGAGACCGGGATGCCTGCTGATGTGCATCATTTCAGGGGAGGAGAATTTAATGTAAGTGGCGCAGGTGTCTCTCTGAGCGCTGGCAGCAGCAGTGGCCAGTATATGCATTATACTCAGCAAAATGGATTCACTAAACAAAAAGAGACAGGAAATTACCTACAGTAAAATGCACACTTAACAGTGGAGGCAAACATTTGATCCTAATTTAAGCCAACCATGATCTAACAGTCAAAAAATAATTTTATGTCATAATTCTGAAAGATGTTGCAACCAAAAGGGACTTCTACAAGCATAACATTTATAAATTTGTAAAATATACCTAATTGGAATGAGATGTGGCCCTAAGTCCAGGTACTGTGCCATTTCCCCCCCACCCCCCACCACCACAAGTAGAAAAGTCTTGTGTTTTATATTATGTGCATTCTCTCCCCATATCATCCCATTTCTGCTGTACCCACTTGCCAACATGGAGGCTGGACACGAGGCACCATGCAGCCTCTCCCTCGGGGGTGGGAGGCTCCTTCAGGACGAGGCGAGCGAGACACAGAGCTGCTTCTGCCAACTGCACCGGCTGGAAAACCACACACTGCCCCTCCAAGAGACTTAGCTCCAAGAAGTAACGGGCCATCCAAGTCATCTATAACAAAATGATTGTAACAGGGCAAAAGTATAGACTAGAAAGATCAGATTTTCAAAATTCAAAACTGGGACACACCGAGGTTGGGATTGTTTGTATGAATAAAATAGTGAAAAGAGTGTAACACTGTCCATTTTCCACTCACTTGTGAGTATATAATCTCATGGATCCATAGGCCATGATACGATACACATCTCAATACAGTGCACTTCCGAATCGATATGATGTATTTCAAATCAATTCGATATGGTTCAATAAAAAAAAAATTGAGAATAAAATCATGTCTGACACTAAAAGCCTTTTGTTAAACCACTTGTATAAAGTTCATATGCAACAAATATTTAAATTCTCAAAACAGTGAAAATGTCAAATGTGTTGTGTAAACGAGTTTCCTTCATCTGAACAAGCAACAAATCTGAATAAAATCAACCAAAAAATACTCTAGGCAATATATCGATACAGCAGCCCACAATATCGATACACATCATATCATCACATTAAACGATACGATATATTGATATTTTTGCAGACCTCTACTGACAGCCCTTTATATTGTAAGAACTTTGATACAATATTCCACTTATTGTTACATCCCTACTCTTTACTGTTGGCAGGTTTGAATTTGGTCAAATATGGACATGTGGGACATTTTTTATCCAAAACTGTTGATTTATCTTAGTTTTATAAAAATCTGCAGGGAAAGTGGACACAGGGCTCAAAACTAACTGTCTCAAGTAAATGGGAATGTCTGGTCCCTGTAGCACAAACACATTTGTCTTTTCATTTTGTCCAGTAGTGGAACAAAGACCAGTTTTTTGTGGTTTAGTTCCGTTTTGCATTCGTCTCACCTCAAGATTTATTAGTTCGCAGATGGACTTGGCAAGAGTTAGTCAAACTGAGTTGTGAAGGTCACATCCAACCATGTAATACATGTGTAATATAAAAGTTAACATTAATTCTAAAATAAAATATAATAAAGATTGTATGTTTGATACATATTTGCATGTTACTCAGATCCAAGTTTTATGGACTGCCCACTTTTGCCATAAATGGGTGTAAACCATGCTTTATTTCAACTGAGAATTTGGAGTTTCACTGCCTAAATTTTAAAATAAAGCAAGTTAATTTCTGTCAAATGGTCAGTGTTCATATGCACAAACTCCCTGGGAGGCTTTAAAATGACTTGTAGTCTGTCTCATTTGTTATGAGATTTGGAAAACCCATGCAAGATAACACCACCTCAATGATGATGGCAGCGGCCACAGCAACTTCTGGAATAAGCCGTATAGGATGACCCACTTGCCACAGACTTGATTATGAAGCACCAGTGGATGGTAGTGTAGTCTCTGAGCTGGTATGCATGTGTTCATTCATAGTAAGGATTTAAGATGCATTTTCTTTTCAATTGTTAATTGCTATGGCAACATTATCAATTTTGTATCATCCTGAAATCCATGGATTGCCAGACACTTTATCACTTTATATCATAATTACTTTCTGGATAAACAGCTGCTCAATTTAAAATTAAAGTCATTATACAACCTTGGCACTGTAGCGGGCAACGGAGGCAAACAGGAGTAGGAAATGAAGAGGAGCGCAATACGACAAATCAAACTTCAGCCGACTGAGCACTTTCCGCTCCATCCGAAGCAGCTGTGATTTGGTATAGGTGTAGTCCATCACGTAGCAGAGGTCAGACACCTGGCACAAGGAACATGGACTGATAAACAACCCAAATAAGGCACAGTCTACAGAAGGTTTATTTAGAGTAGCTCTATACTTTAGACAGTAGTTAGGGGATAAGACCAGAGGAGAGCTCAAGATGTTGAATATTTTCAAAATATGGTTTGGATTAGCATTTGGGACTGCTAATGACCCAGGCGAATATACATATATAGACTGTTAAGGAAATGGTCTGATTATTTTCATATTCTTGAAAAAACATGAACTTATTGTCAAATGTGGAAGGAGGGAAATGGTTAAAGGTCATATTGCACTATACTCTAGTCCATGTTATAAAACCTGGAGTTATGTTTTGTTTCATTCACACATTTAACATACAAACCATGCATATTTAGGCTTAGTTCTACCTTGTGATGTCATGTGTTACAGGAAGTGCTCCATTGCATTTTTAAACTCCATACACCTCCCACTAGAATAATTTTGATAATTTCAGTCATGGAATTGCCAATCTCTACTCAACTGAAAAGGTAAAATGTAAAGATCAATTTGAAAACACTAAATGGCATTACAAGGCAGAACAGAGCATTCTGAGCTTTGGAGATGTAGACCAAGTGATAAACATGTGTGATTGAAACAAAAGTTACTAGGTAACAATGTTCTAACATGGCTAAAATCTCACAAGAGTCAATTCTGCATAATATAGGACCTTTAAACAGAAAGTTTAATGAGCATACCTCTGGAAGAAGGCTCTCCTCTTTCTTGGCAGCAATGAAGAGACAGACCATGCCCAGCAGTTGTAGGTTGGCAGTGGGCACCTTGAGGAGGCGGAGGGTCCGGTTCAGCAGGTGAATTGCAAGAAACAAGGTTTCATCCTGAAAGTGCATCATCTCCTTTTGAAGTGTAAACACATTTATGAAATTTTCCAGGTAAGCAATAATATAGAATGATTATAAGACTTACATGAACTTTTATTAGCCAGTCGACTAGAATGCCTCTTGTGGACTCAGTAAAATTAGCAGGAAGGTCTTTAGTGGAAAATGTACACAAGGCCTGACTTCTCTGAAATTTGTAATATTTATTATAACTTATCAACAAGTCACATTTATGTTTTAATATCTTACCATCATGTCCAAAAACATTTCCCAAGCATATGCATGGTCCCATATTAGGTCCAGTTTCTCTAATGCAATCTCCACCTCCCGGCGCAGTAGAGTGGGCACTAGTGCATGGAGTGCATCCTATAATTGTATATAAATATATTCAGGCATGATTCAGGCCTATAGCTAAATAATAGTCTATCAATGAAAGCTCAGCACAAACCCATCTGCACTCTGCCTCCAGGCTGAGGGGCACCACGCTTGAGTCCGTATATTTATCTGTGCACTGCCAGGATTTGAAGAGGGCCCTTCGATCATCCACCTACAACAGAATATTACAATGAAAAGCTTGTAGCTGGAGGACTGGCCATGAGCAAACGTATCATACAAAAAGGTCGCAACAGAAACAGTCTTACATTACACCTACTGTTAGAGATGGGCAGTGGTTGAACATAATAAAGTAAACGTAGCAAAAGTAGTGAAGTACGGTACTTAAGTACATTTTAAAGTGGATACGTTTTACTTGCTTTCTACACCACTACATTTTTAACAAGATTGAAAATTAATTATTTAGTTTGAGACTTGCTGAAAAACCTTATAAAAGATCCCAAAATCAAAGAAATACTTTTTATTCTTTAAGCACATACTTTTACATAAATAGACTTTTTTTTCATGTTTATATTTTAGTACCTGTACATTTACTAAACAAAATTGAGTACTTCTTCCACCACTGGCTATATAGGCTTGTTTTACGCAGATGCCACCGATCTCTATGGGCAGTTCCGGTAGACCTAATTGGGAAATGGTTGATTCTAGCATTCTTAGTTCTGCCTTAAGTTTATAGTCAGTTGAAAGAGGAATTGGGCAAATTCTATGCATTAAGCTTGTCTGCCTCAAACTGCACAAATGGCATGCTGCCCAGTGCAATGCATTTAGGGATTCGGGAATCTTTATAGCTTTGTTTCCTGTATTTGAGGAAAATATTGAGCAAATGCAGCAGTATACAGGAATTAAGGCGTTTTGTTCAAATGGGGGAGTGGAGAAGCAATAAATGTGTGTGTTTTTTCCCCCAACAAGATGTCCCTCATTTTCACGGTTTTTGGGTAATTGCCATCTGGCCACCCTACCTGCTTGACCAATCCCTAATACACTTCAAACTTGGCTACAATAACAAAGTGCCACAGTAGAGATGGACCCTGGAGAGGGAGGGGGGCTAACCTGTTGGTGTAAGTCCAGCAAAGGCCTGGAGTCGCAGAAGCCAGCCCCGGCCATGTCCACAACCGCAGAGCAGGCGTCTTCCTCAGGCCGCTGCAGCTACTTAACCACGGCCGATGGCGAAGGAAACCCGGGACAGCGAGGAGGACCGCCATGGGTCTGCACCGGCTCCTGCTAATAAAGCCACTGATTGGGGTCACACTGGGGTCAAGGTACACGCACGGAACACTCTCTATTTCCGGTTAAAATTCGTGAACTTTCATGATGAAAAAAACATGCAAGCAGGTGGAAGAGTCTGACTGCATTTAGGAAAGTGTATGCTGTGACGGTCTTTCACTCTCTCTCTCAGTATATATATTTATACACACACACTCTCTCTCTCTCTCTCTCTCTCTCTCTATTCTCTCTCTCTCTCTCTCTCTACATACATATATATATATACATATATACACATATATACATACATATATATACATATATATATACATATATACATATACACATACACACACACACACACATATACATATATATATATATATATATATATATATATATATATATATATATATATATATATATACATATATATACAACTATTACACAAAATAGACCCTTCTGAGCTTTAAGCCATGTCATGCTGTTGTTACCTCCTCAAAAACATGCCCAGAGTTGTGTTTAGTCGTTTCTGTCACACATGTTATTATTAGTCTGTCTACATCTCCAAAGCACAGAAAACGCTGTTCCGCCTTGTGATGTCATGAAGTGGTAGTTTTCAGTTTCTTACCTTTAGTTCAGTAGAGACTGGCAATTCCAGGGCTGAACTCATCTAAATGAGTCTATAATATTAAAAGGTGGAACCAGACTCTATGGGTGGAACAGGGTGTTTTCAATTTGAGAGAAAAACTCCGCCTAAATACGCAGGGTTTGTGCGGTAAATAAAACACAACTTCGGATATATTCCGGGTATATTTCGGGTGTGATGAGGAAACATAAATCAGAAAATGTATTACCGGCCCTTATTTTTTTTTTTGTTTCGTTTTTTATCTATGCTCTGAATCTGGCCTAGTATTTAAAGACTCACCATGACCATGTCTAGTCCCACCTTTTCTCTATAGCCACCACTTCTTCGATGAGAAAAAAAAATCTCAGACCCTCTGGTTTTTGTAAAAGGTTTACTGGCACATTACATTTGCAATTGCAGCAGGTCACCCGTTACATTGTAGTCTTGGGGGGGGGGGGAGAAATGTTTGAATAGTAGACAGACAGCTTTTTCCGAGCCATAACTAACAGAAAGAAGGGAAGGAAGAAAAAAATAAAACATCTGAATCAGGTGCACTATATAGGCATTCATAGGCTATAAGGCAGGGACTGAAGCTGCAAATCAAGTTCTAAGAAGCGGCAGGCCTCGTACAGTTTGCGCTGCATTCTCTATTTGGTATCTACACAATAGCGTTTAGTAGGCAACTACAGGAGAGGTCAGGGGAATACATTTCAAAGCTAAAGCCAGCTGCAAGATTCAGAGTATGGCTTAACAACCATAGAAAAGCCCAGCAGCGCCCCCCTATGGCTGAGACAGGAATCAATGAAGGCAGATCCACAGTAAAGAGTCCATCTGAATAGAAAGGTCCTGCTTCGTCCAAAAGGCAGAACACGAGGCTGTGTGGTGGCTGGGCCTGAGGCAGTGGCAAGAGGTGCTGCTGGAAATGTACATGAAAACTGATGGTGTCCACGTGCATCATAACAAACGAGCACGTGACTGGCATAACGTAGCCTACGTGAATACATTTTCTGACTTGCTCAAACTGTCACACACACTTCACACTTAACTCAATAGAACGTGATGAAAACAATGCCTTGATTTCTAGACCATCAAATTGAATAACTTTAAACACTTCTCAATACTAGAAAGAAATCTGTTATTTTTTGTCTGGGATCCAGAATGCACACTTCTTCAGTACTTAGATGTGAGTCTGGTCACTGGTGAATCTCTCCCGTTTACAAAAAGTAAACAAAAATCATAAGGGACTGAAAAATGTCGCGGATTTCTGAGGAACCAATGTTCCACCCAAGATATTTTTAGAATAATTTTGAAATCGGTTGAGTTAGTTATCATAACACACAATATTTTGTTGTATAATAGATGGATTCAATCGGATTATTTGTCCTGATTCAGTCTAATCTTACTCAATATTCTACCCACTATTGTAGAGGTAGATCTACTTGTCTAGCAAATCCAGAATCTCTATTTTTAAAACACCCATAATACCCTATTTTCTAATCTGTTACAATATTTCTCAAAAACATACCTTGAATATTGTTGTTTCATTCACATACACATACACATACACACACACACACACACACACACAATACAAGAAGTGCTCCACTAATAATAAAGCATTACTCAAACGTGTGGAAAAAACAAAACAAAAAAAACCCCAACAAACTCTGAATATGTTTTGAGGAGGACAGCGCATTAGAACACGACTTAAAGGTAATATAGGACCTTTAATACAGTTTGATTTTGAAGAAGTGTGTATTCTGGATCGCAGGCAAGTTATCTAGTACTCTTTTGCAATGTCTTTTGCTTTTGTTAATTTCTTCTTTTTCTTTTCTTTTTTAAACAAACATCTGAAATGCCACATGATGAAAACATTCAATGAAGAACTTAAATATGGAATGTTTAAAAACTTTTAATATAGATACTTTATATAACGTATACAGGTGTCAAAAGAATTTGCGAAATGGACAACAGTGATAAAAAATTAACATAATGAACAATAACAAATAAAAAAAGTGATATTTTTTTCCAGCAATATGGAATTTGCTTGCGTCAATATGAGCACTTCAGAACGCTGTCAAAAACCTCTAAACCTTGTGCGGTCATGACTCTAAAAACAGGTTTTTGTGGCATTTAAAAGGAACTCAGCTGATGTATGAAATACTTTCTAATTCTCAAGCGGCATAGTTTAGCTGAGAATTCAAGAATGAAAAGTGCTTTGTTGGAATGTAAAAATGGAAAACTGGTGCAGGTGCATGACAACGTTGATTTAAGAGCTTAGATACAGCAAGAAAAATAGAATAAATGTAAAATGTGGAATCACTTAAAGTGGGTTTTGACCAACAATAGCTCTCTCTCACACTTTAAATACAGGAACATTCAGAGGCTTAAATTAAAATATAATTTAAACATAAAACACAGTTAGGAATGGTACAATGGTGCCTAACAATTTACAGATTACTGAACTTGGAAGCGTGGAAAGCAATGGTTAGTTAATATTTATTAGAGATATACATGCTGCGGATTTGTGTCTTTCACAGAACTGGCCTTAAAAGTTTTGAAATGGCTGGTTTATCTTTATCCTGAGCACAACGTGAAACATTTGCCATGCAGGTTTCTATAGCAACCCATCGTTCAGGAACACATGGGAAAAAAGGAATGTTTAAAAAAATAATAATCATATTTTAGCTCTCAATGCAAATGTCAAACTTAATTGAAGTTCACTTTAAATACTTCACTTTCCAGCAGTACGCCAGGATTTAGATTAGGTGATTCTGGTTAGAATGTATTACATGCTTACCAGAAAAGTTACATAGTGCAACTTTAAAAAGGCTGTGCTGTGTAGTGTGGTCTCTTGTTTAAGATGTTTTGAAACATACATGCATGAAACACATAATGAGCCACAGTTAAAATGGTTGTTCAAAATCAACAACTCTCATACAGACTTTACAGACCTGCTCAGACGTGCGTTACCCGGTCTAGCAATTCTCCCACTTAACTCCTACTTTACTAACTTAAAACACATGATTTAGAACTTGTAAAGAAAAACCAATAACAGTGGTGGCAAAATGTATTAGCTCACCTGACATTATGTTAATACTTTAACTAAAATAAATTAAATCTCTCTAAATATCTTTAATTGTAGAATACTATCATTTCTAATTAGGAAATTTTGGTCATTTCTATATTATGAGGAACAGTTAGACCCATTTCACTGTGAATATCCTTGTCAAAACCAGAACAGCAGAAAAAAAAGCTAAAAAAGGAAACAACAATATTAGTCTTAAATATAGACCCAAAGCAGTAGTAATATAGAGGGGCATGCAGCCACATTAACCATATTTAATGTATGTTAACGAACATTTTACGTATTTAGCATTAACATAAGCACTCAGTTTTTAACTTTGGTGTTGATCCTTTGTCCTGTCTGTCAGGTGTACTAATAACTTTGGTCACCACTGCACATCACATATTATGCACTCGATGGCTTTACATTTAAAACTATTAAAAAACATCACCATAAAATGCTGTGTTTCTAAAGATGCACTATGTACCTTTTTGAGTGAAGGGTCTGCTACCTGCTTGTCTCTTATTGCTTTGCTTAAATGTTCCATAACATCATTGATCTATTAAATAACTGGATATTGTATTGCTAGCTTGTAGCTGTCGTGAGTTGGCATAGTGGCCACTCACTGGTACTTCAGTGAAAAAATCCCCCCGGCCCAGAAACGATTTTTCTCATAGAGTGCAATGTAAACACAAACTACTTGGGTTCGGCTGACAGGGCACCTACAACTTAACTTGAAAAAATGTCGGATTTTGTGATGATTTTTGCCTATTTTCAGATCATAAACGTTTTCTCAGCTCAAAATCAGTCTGCTGTTTTAAAAACAGCTTTTTAATATGTAAGTTATGGCTACGCTCTCCTCCACGCTAGCTCCTCTCACTCTGATTGGTCAAAGCAAATGCACGCAAACCCGCGCTCCTTGTGTGCACTTTTGTGCATTCGTGTGTGCCTGTGGGAGAAAAGAGCACTACTGCGCATGTTCAATGGGCAGGGAGCCACTGGAAAGTACCTAGCCAGGCTAGGCTAATCTGGAGACATGCTCCTTTGAGCTCGGCCCATTGACATGAATGGGCAGCCATTTTTAGATCCTGGGGCTTGCATGTTATGCATAGACTGTATATATAAATGCACATAGCTAACCCGCTAGCCAACATAGAACAAATAGGAAGTGGGCATGGGGGCACTTCCAGCTCCATCAACTGTATCCAGTCGACTTTACATTGGGAAAAACTGTCAACGCTCTCTCTGTAACTACTACAGTGAGACTCATCATTTGGTGTTAAAATGTTCATATTAACCCACTCTGGTTTTATTTTGCTAGTTTGTCCATAAATAAATTTCTAATATGGAACTCTGCTCCAAATTTGATCTTTGAACTGCTGGCCTCATAAGCTTCATTTGGCTGGAGCAAAACGCTATGGGTGACATCACACTACCTTAGTCCACTTCTTTATACAGACTGATCATATGTATCAACCTCCATGGGCACAAAAAGTGGCATGTGTGGGTGAAGTTACTGATCAAATCTATGGATGCAGCCTTGCTCTCAGTAAGTATGATTTAAGGGTATAACATTTCCATGGAGACAAGCAGGTGGGAGACTACACTAAAAAAAGTTACATAATGCATCTTTAAAGTTTATAAAACTAAATTGCTGGGACTGCTTCACACATAAGAGGGTAATGTATGGGTACAGCTGGTAAAAAGGTAAAACTTGCTGGCATAACCTGGTTCTCAAGTGTCAAGGCCTTAATGTGGTGTGTGTAGTGAAAGAGAGGATATCTTGACAAAGCTGCCAGTCTCCCACACACAAACCTTCTGCAGTCATTCACAGCCTGCGTCTTCATTTAAAAAGATCTGATGCCTAAATTGCCCAAATGAGACAGAGTGAGTATGTAAATTGTGCCAGTTGTGTGTTTCCCAGCAGTGCACATGTGTGTGTAGAAGTGGGAGGGGTTGCCTGCTCATTCTCGTATGCTGGCGGAGTAGGAAAACTGAGGGAAGTGTGTTCGCTGGTCGGAATCTTCAGCATCAAGGCTGTCATCTGGAATATAAGCAAATATGATACAAATAAGTTCACTTTTGACAAATATTGACCAGACTATTGCAGAACTACTGAAGAACTACTGAACACATTACAAGCTTATTGACCTTACCTGCTTGTCTCCAGGGAGATGGGTTTTAAGAAATGAAGTTTAATGCTACACTGTGGTAATTATAGGCAACAACATCTCAATAGTTCCCCACCCCTGACCACGGATGGTACATATGCTAGATATTCAATAAAAATCTATACTAAAGTAAATCAATAATAGCTCGACCCATGATCCTGGAATACGTCCCGTGATGAAGAGATTGAGATGTATTTTTTTTCAGTTACTGTATTGTGTCACCAAAAATCAACAATTTACTCACATTTATCAGGGGGTGTTATAGTGATGCTTTGTGCCGTGAATTCATCGTCAAAATATCTGGTGTCTGTTTCTGAAGTGACCTGGGGCTTGAAAGGTGGAATGAGCTAAAACAGATAACGACAAAATGAAATGTTAAAATACAGCTTCTACACAAATTTAATTTATTTTATTTCTCTGTAAAGACTATGGTGGTCTAACCTTTCTGTCAATCACATCTTGCCAGTTGATTGACATAAAGAACACGTGGCTCTTCACTTCTTGGGCATCGTCTGGTCCTCCTCCAAGTCTAAAAACAGCATCAGAGTTAACAACATTTCCTTAGATAATTGGGAAAACACTATTAAAATAAATAGACAACAAACACTTAAGACACAATGTTCTCTTTGGTCTTTTATTAACCGTTTTTAAACACATTTCCTCTGTAGCAGATAATGTTGTGAGCCTGCAGGCAGAACCCAGTGTGCTAATATTAGCCAACTGTGAGGACAAACATGGGGGGGTTCAAGCAAAACAACAGTCACTTATGTCCATGTTTATGCCCATTAACTTGAGCCAAACTGCACCCCAGGACCAAATGATCAGATAATGTAATAATTTTATAGAGGGGGAAATAGTGCCTCCAGGGATTGTGAGGACAAGATTATTCAAGTCAGAAACCACAATTGTAAAAAAATTATAATAATAATAAAAATTGAATAAAAAGGGAGGTAAAATGCAATATAGGTTAACTGAGGGCTTAGTTCTGGTTTAAGCCCACTCGGTTTAATCTTAATGTAAACTTTGCTTGGTCCTGTTCTAGTCCATGGCGTAATCCTCATGCCTCTGTTACTCTTGTATACATTGTAGATAGAAGTTGCACCAGTTTTATTTTAAATGTATAATTATGACTTATTTGACACAAGCCAAATTATTATTACCATTTATATTTTCTGCTCTTTGTCATTATAAAATATTGTGGTGTGTGAGCTACTGTGTTAAAATAATTTCCCTGGTTGACAATAAAGTTTGTCTAAATCTAAGTGATATATTGGTAAGGGCAACAACTGTTAAAAAGACAACAAAAAAATCATCATATGACAACAAATAAATCCAATATCAAGGTTTAAGTTAGAATTAGCATGACTTGAATTAAAAGTGAACTATAGAAAGATAGCACGAGCTGTGTAGCAATGGTGGGAGGTGGTCTACCTTTGCTTGGGGTCCTTCTTGAGCAGACCTGCCAGCAGGGACTTGGCATCAGGACCCAGGTTTTTGGGGAAGCGGATCTCCTCCATCAGAATAAGCTCAAATAGGAGCTCGTGGTCCTGGTTGTAGAAAGGCAAACGGCCGCACATCATTTCATACATGACGACGCCCAAACCCCACCAGTCCACCGCACGCCCGTAGTCATTGTCTTCCAACACCTGGGACATTCAAAAAAAGGACTGTCACACCATTTTTCGGATCTATATTTTAATGTTGTTTCTTCATAAAAAACATACCTGAAGTTGTGTTTTGTTTCATTCACACGTTTAAACAAACAAATCCTGCATATTTAGGCTTGAGTGCTTCCCATAAATCAGAAAGTAATCTGTTCCATCTTGCGATGCCATGTGGAAATACAGGGTGTACTCTATTGTGTTTTTTAAGTAATTTCAGCCCTGGAATTGCCAATCTTGACAGAACAAAGGTCAAAGGTAGCTGTTAACTTGAAAATTACTGCTACATGACATCTCAAGATGGAACAGAGCATTTTGAGCTTTGGAGATGTAGAATTACTCAAACATGTGCAAATGAAATGAAACACCACTCCAGATGTTTTTGAGGAGGTCGCAACATTCTAACATGACTTTAAGCTCACAAAACTAAATTTTTGTAATAGGGCCTTTAACAGCCGTAACTTGTATAAAGAATGAATGTGTGTGTAAATGGGTGAGTGGTCCCATACTTTGGTTTCCCAATGGAGGTAAAATATATAATATATATATATGTAATATATATCTATATCTATATAAATGGGACAGCAAAAGTGACTTAAGAAAATTTCTAAATACCTTATAAAAACTTGCTGTTCAATTCTGAAACCCAGTAAACTGTAAGTATTGTTACCTCTGGTGCTAGGTACTCTGGAGTCCCACAGAAAGTCTTCATTGTGGCTCCATCTGTGATCCCTTCTTTACAAAGGCCAAAGTCTGTAATCTTCATGTGTCCGTCCTTGTCTAGCATCAGGTTCTCCAGCTGAACAAGAACATTTAAATTGATTGAATTATTAACATGGAAATAAATGGTTAGTTAACATTATTATAATTCAAGTACCTTTAAATCTCTGTAAACAACATTACATGAGTGCAAATACTCTAATGCTGATACTATTTCAGCTCCATAGAAGCGAGCTCTGTCCTCAGTGAACACACGGTCTCGAGATAAGTGGAAGAAGAGCTGAGGAGAAAAGACGTGTAATAAAATATAGGATCACCAACAATTAATTAAATAACACGTAGTTAAAAAGCATACTTCTCCTCCATTTGCATACTCCATCACAAAGCATAGCCGGTCGTGGGTTTGAAATGCATATTTGAGAGTCTGTGGAAAACAGTAAAGTAAAAATGTTTATAATATAACATTAAATTAATTGGTTGTTACTTTGTTAGAAACACTCACAGTTAAAAAGGGATGTCTTGTATTTTGAAGTACTCTGCTTTCTGTAACAGTGTGGGCCACTTCATCCTAAACAAATGGTCATAAAGAAATTATATAAAATTTCCAGAGTTATTGTAACAATGAACCGTGTGTTGAGCACAAACTTTAGCAATGATGACGTCTTTGCGGAGGATTTTCATGGCATAGTACATCCCTGAGGCCTTCTCCTTCACTAGGATGACTTTACCAAAAGTGCCTTTACCGAGAAGCTTCAGGTAATCAAAATCACTCATGGTCTGTGGAGAGGCCGGGGTCAAAAATTAGCCATAGAAAACATAAGATCACTGACAGGTCACTGAAGAAAAACATTTCACTCACTCATTAATGTTAAACTCGCAATGTCTGTTTTGGAAAAATAAATTAATAAATAACTTTTCAAAAATGCCATGTCACTTCCCCAGTTTGCCTTAAAACACTTAAGACAGAGCTATGCTGATGCAAATAACTATAGATACTGCTACAAAAACTAAATCTAAAATTAATTTCAAATTTAGATTTTAACTATTCTGCGTCTTCAACAAAAACAAAAAATGGCTACAGTTAATGGCATCTAATCTGATTTTTTAAATAATAAAATAAAACAACCTATTGTGCCAATGGAGCAGGTTTTGAATGTATTTGTTAAATTCTTGCTTGACAGTTTAAAACTTCTTGCTTTCAACTTTTTTTTTTTTTTTCCCCACATCCCTAAATAGTTTTGTTGAAAGCGCACTATGTAACTTATCAGTTGGACAGTCCACCACGTGCTTGTCTCCATGGAGATGTTTGCCTGGAATGTTTCACTGTAAGCTTGTATATGTATCTTAACAGAGACAAGCTGAGTGTGCGATTGCCAAGTTACAGGTCAGATCTACTGAGAGTCGAGCTCATTTATGGTATGAATGTTTATCAAGGTGTTTTTGACCAATAAAAACAAGCAATAATTTAATAATTGAATGATGACGAACATTTGTAGCAAAGCAGGATCAAAGGCTTTTGAGAAATACGCTCTCAAACTTAAAACCACCTCATTCTGTTTTTAATGTTTTTCTACAACAGTGTTGCACACTACTGACCACTTTGTTGCGAGCCTTGGACACTGCCACCTCCATGTCCTCTGCTCCGCTGCTGTCGCTGGGAGAGCCGTACTTTATGACCATAGGCTCCTCGTCCTGCTGCTGGCTCTTCAGACTGTTGGCAACAGCCTGGATTGAGCGCATCCACTCCTCCCTGAGCAGCCCCAAAACATAAACCAGGTTTATTAAATCTGTCCAATGCCCTGTCAAATCTGTTGTCGATTTAAGCTCAGAGAAAATCAAATAGAGGAGGTTTGAGAACAGACACAATCTAGTTAGCAAGGGACAACAAAAGACAAATAGCATCACATTTATGTTGATAATATCCAGTGTTATCCACAGGTTTATACTACAAACAGAGACTATGGCGGCATAAGCCAGACATATTTGAATTGTTTGATTTAATAACATTTTTTGAGTATAAATGTCACTTTTTGCCAGTACAAATTAAAAAACAAAGATTACATATTAAATATATGTTTATAACAATACTACAAGCTTTAAGTATAATTTATTTTACACACATCTTGTTTATAAACTATAGGGGGCTACTATCTTTATCAACTGAAAACACAAATTCCTTATTCATTTCATTAAGATCAATATAAGAGATTTGAGTAAATAGCTGAAAACGATTAAATAAACAGTTGGTAAAAGGAAATGTTACCTTTCTTCATTGGTCTCGACGTGGAAGGTGCGCTCGATAACGGAGGTCCACTGAAGGCACCGAATGACAAATGTGTTAGGCTTTGGCCGTTCTGTCTTCATTATCTGACATTCTACAGTGCACAGGTAACAGAATAAGACCAGACTCAGGCTAAATAACACTTTTACACTTTAAAATATTTTTTACTTGAATGTTTAACAAACCTGCTACTGAAAAGTTATTTAGGGGCGGGAGGTTGTGATCGCTGGACACCTCAGGCTTCTCTTTATAGCCGATAAAAGATCCATCAGTCTTTAAAATGAAATAGCGAGGTCTCCATGTTTTGATATATTCACCTGGGAAAATATAAAGAGTTAATACAGATTTGTGGTGGACTTAATGCTTCTCACAGGTGCTCTTACCTCTCTTAAGGAGCCATCCCTCTCTCACAACAGTGACCTCATTCATGATGGGGCACAATACGGTCTGGGCCGGAAAAACACTGAGAGTTGTGTCTGTTTTGAATGTCTGCTGCCTGTGGTTCGGATTTACTACTGTAAAAATGCAAGATCATTGATCAAAACATTATTTTATTAAAGTGAATTTAACACACTGTGAGGAGATGACCCTTAGCCATTCAGGCAAACAGAAAAAGTTAGCAACAACAAACAAACAAACTGGTAGGTTCAATAAAACCAGGTACATATTTACAAACAGCGTACCAATGTTGAAGCATAATTTATGTAATTTACACATTATAATAAACTACACACATTTTATGACATGTTTAACATTAAAATACAGCCAGGAAAAACAGGACTTTCTCTGTAGATGCTTATCTCAGAGTATTGTCAGCAGTTCACTCATTCCTGTTTTCTCAGAGCTGAAAGTCAAAAGAATATGCTGAAATATGCACAATCGTCATGTCTTTCTGTTTAGTCTAAAGAGTTTTAACTTGAGTATAAATCATGTAGAGTCAGAGTTAGACCATTATTTACAGTGATGACAAGAGAGATAAACATTTGAGTTTTTTCCAGGAGGTTTAAGTGATAGTGATGGAACCACCTGTCACCTCTACAGGTACTTCAACTTCAGTACATTTTCTGGACAATTACTGCAAATCCAAAAATCTGGTCTGTTCACATAGATTTTCATAACTATATTATTATTTTATCCTTGAATTCTTTGGAATGGCATGGTAAGTGAGCCTGTATCAAGTTTTATTACCTAAATATTACTCGTTTCCTGAACAACACCTCCAGCTGTTGTAAAGGAGACATGTTTTCACCTATGACTGACTGTACTTTAGGTAGACACCACGAGTTTCTGAACAGCTCGTTTGTTGTCATAATAAGAAGCATGAAAATAATGGCATGGCCTACAATTACACACGATGGAGTCAAGAACAGCAGATTTTTGGCTGCGGCCCTGGCTGTTTTGGTAAAACCCAAGGCGCGCTGGACCTCAGAGGGGACAGAGGCTGACCGCATTACGGCCAAACAGGGCAGCTAGCCAGGGTTAGCACTTAGCATGTCACTTGGCCAGTGAAGCTTTCCATGCGCCGGTGCTTCCTTACCTCAGTTTCAGATGTAAGGGCTTCTTGTAGACGTGCCTGGGTTGGCCGCAGTCCGCTCCGAGCGCCCAAAGCGAGTGTGTATTGAACTCTGTCAATGATCACACCGCTCAGCTAACACTCCGAGCTTGTTTTTTCACTCACAACAACAGTAGCGGCGGCGTGCTCCTCCGCGCTGCTGCAGTGCTCCACGCAAGCCGACGCAAACCAGCCCAAAAGGAACGATAGTACACACGCCTCCGACCTCTGGATTGTGTGTGTTAATAAAACGATTGTTATTTGACTAAATGTTCATGTCTATATCCGCTTGTGTGTTGAATTGAGGGCTGAGCAGTCTCCTCCGTCCCACAGACAGCGCAGCACCTCGCGGACTCAACAGCGGAAGTGACGTCAGGCTCGGGCCGGCCCAGAGACAGTCCACCCACCGCCCCCAGACCATGTCCCAGACCCCCACAGCATGCCCCCCACAGTGCTACACGTCTATGAAACTGCTCTTGAATAGAGTGACAAAAAAACAAAAAAAAAACAAAACAAAAAAACAACCCAAAACAAAACTGGGACATCCCTGGTTTGGGTTGGTTAGTACTATTAAAATTGTGAAACGAGTATGTAATTGAGGAAAATTGTTATGCACTCAGCACTAATGCGAGTCAGTATAGTCAAATTTTCTTTTTTGTGTTTTGGTCATTTTTAAGCACGCTTTCCTATATTTTACCTGAAGAAATGACAATTTATGCTTCTCTTTACTGTTTACTGTCACTTTACTGACAGGTATCAGATAAAACTGGGACAAATCACTGGTTTTGGATAAATCTGCTAGGACTGGAGACGCGGGGCTCAAAACTGGGACTGTCCCGGGTAAACAGGGACACTGGTCACCCAACTCTTGAAGGAATCTGTGTGAAGGCAAGGGGGTTCAAGTGTGAATGAGGTCTTGTCACCTTTTCTAAAGTGCTATACAGATGTGTTTCTTCAAACACCTACCACACATCAAGGCAAGGCAAGGCAAGTTTATTTGTATAGCACAATTCGTACACAAAGTAATTCAAAGTGCTTTACAAAATAAGAAATACATTAAAATTATAATAAAAACAAATCAAAACATAAATAATCATGAAGATTAAAATTAAAAAAGAGAGACATAAATTGGAGAGAAGAGTGAGGTATGAAAACCGTTCAGTTATATGCACAGTTAAACAGAAATGTTTTGAGCCTGGATTTAAACAGCATCACAGAAGAGGCCTGTTTCACATGTTCAGGAAGACTGTTCCAGGTTTTAGCTGCATGAACCTGAAACGCTGACTCCCCTTGTTTAGTCCTGACTCTGGGCACCAGCAGGAGGCCGGTCCCTGAGCTCCTCAGAGTGCGAGATGGTTCATATGACACTAACATGTCACAGATTTACTTTGGTGCTCGGCCATGGAGAGACTTGTACACAAGCAGAGCTGCTTTAAAGTCTATTCTCTGAGGCACAGGAAGCCAGTGCAGAGACCTGAGCACAGGACGTATGTGCTCGTACTTCCTAGTTCGAGTAAGGACCCGAGGTGCAGCATTCTGGATGTTCTGCAGCGTCTCACAGCTCGTTTGGAGAGACCATTGAGCAGACCATTACAGTAGTCTAATCTACTGGAGACAAATGCATGGATAAGTTTCTCCAAGTCTGCTCTAGACAGTAAACCTTTGATTTTTGCTGTTTTTTAGATGGTAAAAAGCTGCAGATGTTATTGATTTGATGTGGCTGTTAAAGTTCAAGTCTGAGTCCATTATTACCCCGAGATTTCTTATTTCTTCAGAAACCTTAAAAGTCTTATATTACACAAAATTTACTCCTGTGAGCTTTAAGCTATGTTAGAATATTAAGTCAAAAAAAAAAAAAAAAAAAAAAAAAAAAAAAAAAATATATATATATATATATATATATATATATATATATATATATATATATATATATATATAAATAAATAACAATAATAAATATTTAATATAATAAATATAAAAATATAAATATATATACCTGGAGTTGTGTTTTCTTTTTTCACACATTTGAGTAACCCTTAGCCTGTACTCCAAATCTTCCACCTTGTGATGTCATGAGGCGGTACTTTTCAATTTAATAGTAACCTTTTACCTTTTGTGCAATGGTGCTAGGCAATTCCAAAGGTGAAATTATCCAAATGATTGTAGTGATGATGTATGGAGTTTAAAAACACAGTGGAGCATTTTCTGTATTACCAGACTCTTTGGGTATTACTGAGCAATTAATATATAATGAATGCAAGACAGATTAGCTATTTTAATGCCACATGGTGTAACATTCTAGGCAAGTACATGGAGACAACAGGTGGCGGACTATTCACCACATAGGACACCTTAACAGAGTGTGTTGATTATCACCGTTAAATACATTAGTGATGGGATTGGTTAAAAAGAGCTTTAAAAATAAATATGTTTGTGATGATGCCTGATCTCAATATAAAGAAATGAAAAGAAATATAAGAAAGTATCATTTTTATTTGAACACATAAAAAAACAGAATGTTTTATTTTGCTTTGCTCTGTTTTTGTTGCTTCCGCTGCAGGTATCGAGCACGAGCATCACTGACACTAGCGTCGTCATTTCTTTTCTCCAGCTTTTTCATAGCTTCCTCAGCTGCTGCCTCTGTCAAAGTAACATATTTATAGATTAGTAATTTAACATTAAACAAAAAAGACTATGGCTTATACTAGATGTAATTAAAAGGGCTCATATTACATTATTTTCTGACCTATATAATAGGGCTTAAAGCCCACAAAAATGAATTTAGTGTAATATAGGACCGTTAAACACTAAAACCTTGTTGTCTTTTTGCTGCTTCCTTATTTTCCCATTTGGCCATTTCTTCCTCAGTGACTTCTTCTCGTGCCACATTACTGAGTTCATAAACATCCACCTCGTGAAGCTTTGGCAGTAAATCCTTGACCCACTCGTATCGGATTGGGCACACTGTCCTGATGTAGACTTTAGAGGTCACCAACACGTCATAAAACATCACCCAGTCCAAATCCTTCTCATTTTCAAACAACTGTAAGAAAGAGAAATCATCATTATAAAGATACACGTATCCATAGCCGAACAAACATTAATTTACTAAAGGTGCACTATGTATTATTTAAAGTTTCCAGTTTCCAGTAGTGTACTAAACTTTTCCATCTCCATAGTGACAACCAGGTACAGAACACCAACTAAACACCTACTACACCTCATCAGAAAAGTTACATAGTGCACCTTTAAATTTAACTTACAGCTGAGGATGGGTGAATGTGAACCATGGAGCCATGGCCGTCCATTGTGCAGAATGCTTTTCCAACAGACCTGTACAGTGAACATTTTCATAATAACATTTTTGGCAATAACTCCTCAAATGTAATCTATGGTTTTTAATAAATCAACATGAACAATTAAAATACCTTCTGGCAACATTTGTGAAATATCCTGCACATAGACATCGTCTGAAGAGCTCATTTTTATTACCATCAAATGATTCAACTGGAAAATCACTCCTCTATAAACGAAAAACACACTTTGATCAGTGATAATTTCCTTCTTTTTTTTAAATTATTTTTTTTAAACTATTGTAAAATTAAACACCTGCTGTAGTCTGAGGAAGATCTCTCTCAGCTGTGTCTCAACACTAAAGGCTGACTTCAGCGCCCTCCAGTGGATCCAATTTTCTTTGCACCAGGCAGATGGCTTTTCACTATGAAATGCAGAACATGGTCAGCAATGGGCATTTCTTTACTTTACTTTTTATCATCCTCCAACAGTTTAATTACAAACCTGGATTTACACATTTGGAAAATACTCAAAAGTGTAGCAAAATCATTCATGCCTCCACTTTTTGAAGCCAGCTCTCGGTGTCTCTGGTCTGCTTCTTTCTGCTTTTCAGGGTGACCTTCAGGAGAAAAAATGATTTCAACACAAACAGATTCTGAACAAATGTAAAAGAGCTTAAATGAAAACCAGAAACTAATTATGATGTGCTTGTTCTTTATAGCACATTCTTAGATCTATAAGCATAAAATGATAAATCCTGATTATTCAGTTCAGAATATCATGTTAACAACCAAAAAATAATAACTTTCTTTAATTCAATGTTTAGGGGTGAAGGAAGCCTGGGAGTCTCTGCTTAGTTAGTCTCTGTTGCCCACACAACTTGGCCCCGGATAAGCGGAATAAAATGGATGGATGGATAATTAAATGTTTAATTCATAATATAATTTTACCTCTCTGTTTATGTCACATTACAGGTGCACTATGTATCAACTGCTTGTTTCTATGGATATGTCCATAGAGGGATTACAGGGATTACACAGACATATGGACATGTCATTACTCTGTCTGGAATTCTGACTGAACAGGGCTGCCCCTCCATAGATCTGGCCTGTAACTTTGGTGTCCATGAAGAAAGGTTTGATATCATACTGTGAAACATTCCAGAGAAAGAGAAAACACTGCCATGGAGAAAAGCATTTGAGAGAAATTTACACAACGCACCTTTAACTTTTCTTTTTCTTTCAAAAAATTTGATTCTATAACGCTGGCACATACTTAGGCAATGTTACTCAATTAGACAACAAGAGTGGAATAAAATTAATGATTTCACTGTTGTTTGATCATAGTGTCAATAATCATAAATTATCGTTAAGTTTCTTTTCAGTAACTATAAGACAAAATTTTGTTATCGTGACACCCCTACTAGGAACTGACCTGGTCGAATGAAGATGTTCTCTACCGAAAGCATGGCAGCCACTGGCAGCATCAGGTCTGGGCATCCATAAGAGGCAGCTTTAAGCACCGCCCGGGTCAGACCTGGATGTAGCGGAAACTCCACCATCAATTCTCCAAGTTTAGTTACCCGCCCTCTTCTAAAGTATAAACAACATAATAAGCAACTTTAAATTCTCCTTAAATTTCTTGGGAAGGTAAAAAGAATTATTTGTTCCACTGTTTAAGAATGTAAATCTCTACTTGCCCAAAATAAATAAATAAACAAACAAATAAATAAATACATAAAGAAAGAAAGAAAGAATAAACTGATAAACTCACCTGTCAATCGCATCAAACTGATACAGTTGTTTCAGTGCCTCAAGGATAAATCGTTCCTCTGGGCTATCCAAATAAGGGAATCTAAATAAATAGCCAAGTTAAAGATATACAGTAGTAAAAGTACAAATAAAAATGTTTATCCTATATTTTAATGATTTAATACAAAACAATCTAGTACTGGTGTTTTATATCGATCCTTAAAGGTGCACTGGGCTGCACTCCATGAAGCTGTTATTGCTTTGGCAGGAATGTTCCATGGTATGACTTTAAACATTTCCATCCAGCATTTATTGTCTTTTATGTCTGTTATACAACTGTAAATATTACGTTATTTGTATTAAATTAGCAAATACGTAGTTTTTGTTGACTATGAATAAAAATATATCAAACTATGAAAAGAAATAAAATAAATACTGACTTACCTGATAACATCATGGACTCCAAGACATTTTAAGGTGAGCACCACTGCAGTGAGACTGGTCCTCTGTATCTCTGGAATGGTGTACTCAGGCATACACTTTTCCCAGAATTCTTTGGTGTAGATTCGAAAGCATTTTCCAGCTGAGGTCCTTCCAGCACGGCCGGCTCTCTGCTGCGCTTCACTTCTAATCACAAAAAATCCCCCCAAAATCCAGTCTAAATCTGTCCCGGTAAGACTCTCATCAGGATAAACAAAAACACTTAAAACTAGAGTTTTAAAATATGATTCAAATATCTAATCTAATGAAAATCACATCAGTATTATTATTAAAAAGAAATTTAACATATTGCTGTAATTTGAAATGTAATATAAATATTTCATCATTATTAGCTCTATGAAGACAAAAGCCAAATAAAAAGTATAATTTGCGAGAATCAAAATACAGCTGTCCTAAATTGCAGTCCTACTCTAAACATCTCTCTTATTACACACTGTTACACATTACAAGTATTAGGTTCTTACTTTGAAATAGGCACCACCTCCAAGATGTCCAAGCCGACTCTTGAGTTGTGATTAAGTTGTTTCACAAATCCACTGTCAATGATATACCTGTACAAGAAGTTTTATTATAACAGTAGTGACTGCATTTATGCTAAATAAAGAGAAAAGGGTTTGAAATAACATACTTGATACCATTAATGGTCAGAGAAGTGGCTGCTATATTTGTGGCTACAACACATTTCCTGATTCCTCGAGGCGGAGGCTGAAAAATCTGTCTTTGCTGATCTATGAGAGACCATAATGCAAACAAATAAAAGTCTGTCTGAGTTCCAGTTATAACATACACATTTGGTCGAATGTATTGGCAAAATCTACCACCTTGGATGCAGCATCTCGATAGAGTTAAGACTAGCCAAATTATATTAAAACACAAATAGAAGATCTCTGCATCAACTCCTTCCTGAAGGACTGGTGAATACATCTAACACACCGTTGTGTCAAAATCAAAAACTTAAGTGAATGCAAACCCCATCCCCTTATAGCTTACAATTAAATTTATTTAAATTAAATAATTGAATTAAAATATGAAATAGTGTGAACACACAATTCCAATCTCTATAATTAGTCACGTTCATAGTATTATATTCACCTGTAGGCATGGAGCCGTACAGAGGCAAAATAAGAAGGCCCTCTACTGTCCGGTCGTGTACGTCATAGCGATAATCTATACTCTCTGCTTTCTCATAGAGCATGTCACAAGCTCGCTCAATTTCATTTTGACCTGTACAAAAAAAACTCAAACATTTAATGAAAATGTGCTTCATTCAACAGAGCTTAGGTGTTGCATGATCAGGTAAAGAATTTTAAGAACCCACCTGTTAAAAATACTAGAATATCTCCAGCTATTTCACTGGTATGCACATCGAGAGCTACCTTTACAACCTGGAAATCAACGAAAACGAAACAAATGAATCTAACTAGCAATCTGCAACTTGTTGAAAGAATGCAGAATTAAAACACTTCTCTAATTCTTGTGTAAATGTGAGTACCTCTTTAACATAACCGGTGCTCTCTGTGTCTTTAGGCCCAACAGCTAGGCCAAAAGAACATTTGACAGGAAATGTCCTTCCTGGAATAACAAAAACAGGACAGTTGCCAAGAAAGGCAGAGAGTTTTTCAGTTTCCATTGTGGCAGACATCACCACCATCTTTAGCGGCAGGCGACGACCCATATTGGCCTTATCAGGGTTGGAAAAAACCTTCTTTAATAAGCCCAGCAAAATATCCTATAACACAGAATGAAAATTTTGATGCATTGTATGTATTTTTTTTTACATTATAAGATGAATTAAATGTCCCATATTATGCAATTTCTGATCTAAAGTCCCTGACAAAAGTCTTGTTGCTTATCCATTTTGTAGAAACAAAAGCTTATAACCTGACTTTAAATTAATCGATTGGTTTTAGAAATGTCTCATATGAAAGCTAAAACCCTCCAAAATTATGCTCAATATACTAAAATAAATTTGCTTCACTGAAGAAAGATTGACCATTTAATGAACACAGAAAGGTCAGATTTTTGGCAAGACAAAAGTCTTGTTGCCTTGTCATATGATGCACCCAATCCTAGATTACAGCCTCACCTGTGATCAATTACTGATCAATCAATTAGTGGGTGTGTATAAAAAGAACCCCAGCACACCAGACCTTCACATCAACTGCAACTTGACCTCTGACAACATGCCTAAGAGCCACCCTGAGACCAAAGCCTTAATTATCAAGAGGCTGAAGACCAGATCCACTGCTGAGGTGGCTGACACCTTCAATGTGTCTCAGCGTCAAGTACAAAGAATAAGAAAAAGATCTGAAATGACTGGAGATGTTTTTGACAAGCCCACGTCCGGCAGACCCCGCAAGACAACTGCTTAGGAGGACCGTTTGTTGATTCAAAAATCCAAGGCCAGCCCCTTTTCCACTGCAGCAGAGCTCCACCAGGCCTGGTCACCTCAAGTCCCTGTGTCAACCAGAACAGTTTGTAGAATTCTGTCTCAAAATGGCCTCCATGGTCGAATCAGTGCACAGAAACCAGCACTAAACAAAAGGCAATTAAAAAAACGTGTGGAATTTGCCAAGGCCCACAGCCTGCTAAAAGGATGGACACTGGAAAAGTGGCAGAAGGTGGATTTCTCAGATGAATCCTCGATCGAATTACATCACAGCCACCACAAATATTGCAGGAGACCAACTGGAGCCGCATGGATCCAAGATTCACCCAGAAAACAGTTAAGTTTGGTGGCGGAAAAATCATGGTCTGGGGTTACATCCAGTATAAGGGTGTGTGAGACATTTGCAGGGTGGAAGGCAATATCAATAGCCTAAAATATCAAGAAGTATTAGCTCCTCTTACATTCCCAACCATAAAAGGGGTCAGATTTTGCAGCAGGATGGTGCTCCATCGCATACTTCTATCTCTACATCAAAGTTTCTCAAGGTGAAGAAGATCAAAGTGCTCCAGGACTGGCCAGCCCAGTCACCAGACATGAACATCATTGAGCAGGTCTGGGGTAGAATGAAAGAGGAAGCATGGAAGGCAAAACCAAAGAATCTTGATGAACTCTGGGAGGCATGTAAGACGCTTTCTTTGCTATTCCTGATGACTTCATCAACAAATTGTATGAATCATTGTCGAACCGCATGGATGCAGTCCTTCGAGCTCATGGAAGTCATACAAGATATTAAATATGGATCTCACAGCACCACTACTTAATTCACTGATGTTATGTAACATATTTTTGTATTTGAAGTAAATTATTTGTTCAATTTTCTGTAGGCGACAAAACTTTTGTCTTGCCAAAATCTGACCTTTCTGTGTTTATTAAATGATCAATCTTTCTTCAGTCAAGCAAATTTATTTTAGTATATTGAGCATAATTTGGGAGGGTTTTAGCTTTCATATGAGACATTTCTAAAACCAATCAATTATTTTAAAGTCAGGTTATAAGCTTTTGTTTCTACAAAATGGATAAGCGACAAGACTTTTGTCATCGACTGTATGTCATAATATTGTTTCCTCATCAGAAACATACCTGGACCTGTGTTTTGCTTCATTCACACATGTTAAACATACAAACCCTGCATATTTAGGCTGAATTATTCTCTCAAACAGAAAACACTCCACCTTGTGATGTCATGTGGTAATACAGAAAATGCTCCACTGTGTTTTTAAACTCACCTACACCTTCACTACAATCATTTGGATGATTCAGTCCTGGAATAAAATGTAGCTGTAAACATGATAACTTTACATCACATCACAAGGTCTAACAGATTATTTTGAGTTTTGAAGAGAATAATCCAGTAATACTCAAACATGTGTGAACAAAAAACACAGCTCTAGGTTTATGATGAGGTAACAATGTTCTCACTACCAATGACTAACAACCCACAATAATCTGTTTTGTGTAATATAAGGACCTTTAAAGTCTAATGTGTGACTCACTGTGTTAAGGCTGCGCTCATGAACCTCATCCAGGATCACAACACTGTACTGAGAAAGTCCAGGATCAGCCAGGACCTCACGGAGCAGACAGCCATCAGTCATGTATTTGACCTCTGTGTCCTGTGTGCACAAGCATTATTTTCAAATCAAAAAGGCCAAATATAAGATTGTGATTTAAACATACATGGTTTTGAATTTGTCTCCTTCACCTCAGTTGTGCAATCATCAAAGCGGACCTGATAGCCAACTTCTTTTCCCAATGTGTACCCCATCTCTTGAGCCACTCTCTGAGCCACTGTGATGGCTGCAACACGGCGAGGCTGAGTGATCCCAATTTTTCCATTTTTACAAAATCCTAAAACAGAAAAAAATATTACACTAGTATAATAAAAGCAAAGTTTCTCAATTCCAATCACAGGAGACAAAGTATTAAAGGTGAACTATATTTATCTTTTCTGGTACTTGTCTCCATTGCGATGTTATTGCTTTGCTTGGAATATTTCACATTATGGTGATATACATTTATCTTGCATTTATTAAATGTCAGCTCTTATATAGCTAAAATACCTTGAACATGCATTCTGCTGTGAGTAAGGTCGTCTTTCCACAGATCAGACCTGTTGGCGTCAGTTTAAAGCCATTCTATAGAATATTCCAGGCAAATCTCTACGTGTAGACAAGCAGGCGGCAGTCCCCAACAAAAATGTTATGTAATGCACCTTGAAATTACTTAAGAAGACATGCAAAAGATGCCAGAAGTAGGATATTTCCTGTGCATAAGAATTAAATATAATAATTTTCCACTTCACAAAATAACAGCATTGCATACGGTATAGTAAAAAAGTAAATGACAAAGATAAGGGAAAACCTATTGAAAAAGTAAAGAAACTAGATGAAGTAAGAGTAGCTACCTGCTTCGTGGAGATATTGAGGAAGTTGTGTGGTTTTCCCGCAGCCAGTCTCTCCTGTTACAACTAAAAATGTACTATCCTTTACAGCTCGAATCAGTTTAGACTTATGATGATAAATAGGCAGCGGTTTCGAGTCGCTTTCTTTGGGTTCCGATCTACTTGATTTAGACATAATTTAAGCTTTTATAAATATTTAAAAATCTGCACACAATATAAGAAATGTTATATTTAACACGCAGGCCAACAAGAAATCTACGAAAATGTATTTATTTACTGTTAAACGCTTCAAAGGGTTCAAAACACATGAGCGTCCTCATACTTCCGCAAACTCTAAGCTCTGTGCTCCCATTCGTCCAACTATGATGTCACATGACAAACAGGGTCAACCACAATAAAAGACAAACTGCATTTTTATCTCACATACTAAGGAGAAATCACAACAAACTACCACTATATATTTTTGTAATAACATATAAATATAAAGTGCTCGTTTTGGTGTGAGTTTTTGCATTGTTTTTTTATTCTTTATCAATAACGAAAGTCAAAAGGAGTGTTATTGTGAAAGGACATAAGTGAAACTCGGCTTACTGGAGAACACCGACGCAACACACCGAGCAGTCAGAAACATCACGTACATGACAATGTTCACAACAATTTGTCAATGAAGAAGGACTTACAGTGACTCCTTTGTAGTAATTAGACCAATAAAAAGGTTACATTGGTTGATGTGCAGTAGCTGTGAACTCTGAGGATAAGAATGAATGAGATGGACAGGTAAGTTACGTTGTTAGTATACCTTAGCTACAACAAAAATAATTGTAACTATAATATAATTGTTGCATTTCTGTTGTTGAAATTAAGCCCTTATTGACATTAAACCCTTAAAGGTCTTATATTACGCACAATTGTCTCATGTGAGGTTATTATAATGTTGTCATCTCAAAATTTTCCTGGAGTTATGTTTTGTTTCATTGACACAGTTTTAAGTAATCCTACATGATTATAACTCAAAATGCTCTGTTCCACACTGTGATGTCATATAGTGGTAGTTTTCAACTATCTTTTACTTTCAGTTTAGTAGAGATTGGCAATTCCAGGGCTGATATCATCCAAATCATTCTAGTGAAGGTGTATGGAGTTTAAAAACACAGTGGAGCACTTCCTTTATTATCACATGGCATCACAAGGTGGCAAGGGTGTTTTCTGTTTGAGAGAAGACCTCAGCCTAAATATGAAAGGTTTGTGTGTTAAACAAGTGTGAATGAAACATGATGAGGAAACAACATTATAACATAGATCAGAAAATAGGGTAATATGGGCCTTTTAATAGTAATGTAAGACATTACTAAGTTATTAAAGGATCTCAAAATAGGATGTAGCTTTGTTTAGTTTAGCGTTTTGGAATGATGAAAATTTAGTAATTGCCATAATAATTAACAATTCAAAACAATATATGATATCATTTATATGGTAAACCGTCCTCAAAATGGCACCATTTTACAGGAAGATGAAATTCATGGATAAGTTTCTGTTTCCATTTCAGACCTATGGACAGACTAAAGAGGCACAGCCCATGGGCCCTCCTACCTCCTCTGTTCTCCACCTGTGTCGCTGCTGGCCTTTTTATGGTGTAAGTAACCCATGTAATAACTCCACATTTTCTTTACTACCCATTTTTACAATATTTATTGCAATAATTATACTATATTTTGTCTTTCATTAACAGATATTTTGTGGCTGTTTCCCATGGTCAAGTTGTACCCCTCACCTCACAGTATCAGTAAGTAATAATTGCATCTGTGAATTGAATTACTTTTAAACATTCCTTGTTTTCCTTGTATTCACATCCTATGCTGTTTATCTCATTTTAAGGCCAAATAAAAGTGTCCTTCCTCCTTACATAAGGTTTGACTTTGTTCATTCATTATAATAGTTTATTTCATATTTATATTTATATTCAAATTGTCATGTAGTCTTGTATCATTTTTTATTTTGTGATTATTTTAGCATTGCAGGAAATTCCCCACCGGCCAGCTGCATTTTCAGTCAGGTGAACCTGGGAGCTTTTGCAGGTAAGTAAGTAGGTATACATGTTGAATGGCCATCTAAATAGGACAAGTTTTAAACTGACATTTCTTTTTCAGGGTTTATTATTGCTGTCTTCCGATACCTCCAGATCAAGAACACATTGTATAAGCCATGGCTGAACATTATTTGTGTCTTTGCTTTTTCTGTTGCCTGCTTTGGGATGACACTCATCGGAAATTTCCAAGTAATGTCCCAAAGAAATACTGTATAAACAAGTCATAATGTAATGGAAATGCAGTTTATTTCAGCTGTACAATTTAAAATTATATACTAGTATATGCCTTGGATTAGATTTTTTTTTAAGTATAGGCCTAATTCAGTCATAACACAGTCTTATTAAAGGGTCCATATTATGTTATTTTCTGATGTTCTTTTCTATGTTATGATGCTGGGATGGGTAACTCCATACACCTTCACTCAATTATTTGGATATTTTAGTAAAATGTAGCTGTTAACTGTTAAATGTAGATGTAGACAAATTAATAATAAAGGATTAGTGAGTGAATGAAACAAAGCACAACTCCAGATATGTTTTTGAGGAGGTGACAACATTCTAACATGGCTAAAAGCTCCTAAGAGTAAATTTTGTACAATATAGGACTTATAATTGTTTGTGTTCCTGTCTTTTTTGTTGTAGTTATTTGTTGAGGAAGAAATCCATAACTTTGGCACCATTCTGACATTTGGCCTGGGCACTCTCTTCTGTTGGATTCAGTCGTACATCACTCTGAAGGTGAACCTCAAGAAAGAAGGATTCAGAACAAGTCTTCTCCGCTTCCTTCTGTCGACGGGCATCACCATCTGCTTCGTACTGTGTATCCTTTGTTTTGCTCCAGGTAACACTGTCGTGGGTTCTTTTTAATGAAAAGAAATAATATGGCCGTAGTCAAAAATAGTGTTTGTGAATTTATTTACACAAGTGCACAAAACAGTGAAAAATTGAAAAAATTCATATTTACAAGTTATGGTAATCTTTCCCATAGTTCGTGAGCTGGTGCCTATGGTGCACACAGCTCTCCTCCTCAAAACACACACTGCCTCTGTGCAGATAGGAGTCCCCTTTTATAGTACGAGACCCCTCCCCCAAACGAAAACAGCTTTTTCTCTACTAATAGAAATAATTGGATTCCCTTTTTAATACAAAAAAATCACAAACATTACCAGAAACAAAAATATTCTATTAATAACTTTTAAACACAGACAGGTAAAAAATAAAAATTAAATTACAAAAACAGAAAGTCACCTGACGTTGTTGATGACATCACGCATGCGCGCCCTACATGACACAATATAATGCAGAAGCTTCTGACCCTCAGGTTGGCCGACAGACACGGGCGGCCCACATGGAGGGAAGTTTAATCCTCACGCTCTCCTCGTGGTCACATTGACCCAAAGCATTTTTTTTCCTTCCCGCTCTCTTCGGGCGGGTCAATCAGACCAAAAAATTTATTTTCAAATAAATTCTCGCCAGGCGAGAAACCCCCTAGAGAGCGGGAAGGGAAAAAAAAAATAAATCTTCGGGTCAATGTGACCTCGAGGAGAGCGTGAGGGTTCAAAACTGGAGTATGGTTATGGAGAAGGGAATGTATGTGCAACAATCAAGTGTGCACCCATGACTGTTGCCATGGAAATGTGCGGGAACCTCAGGGATAGTGGCAAACGGGCAGGTAAGGGAAACATCGCTGTGTGTGTGTAGGTGTGTGTGTGTGTGTGTGTGTGTGTAGGTGTGTGTGTGTGTGTGTGTGCGTGTGTGCGTGTGTGTGTGTGTGTGTGTGTGCGTGTGGGTGTGTGTGTGTGTGTGTGTGTGTGTGTGCGTGCGTGTGCGCGTATATGAGTGTAATTGGCCCCACGCGGCTGACGGGTCTGCTCCGTCACACACTTAAATATATTGAGTGATGGGAAGAATACTTTAAAAGTACATTAAAATGTATTTTGTTACAAAATACTTAATACCCAAATTAAAATGTAGTTTGTAATGTATTCTGATTCATGGCCGAATCAAAGTACTGTATTCTGAATACTAGCATTCCCTTTAATTTAGGAAAGTAATTGTATTCTGAATTCCACTAGTACCGGAATACAGAATTAGTATTCAGAATACGTATTTCTGGTACATGTATTCAGTTACTTCCCACCACTGAATATATTATACATTTTGCAGACATTAAATAGATGCTTTGTTGTTTGCAGAGAAATGTATGTTATTTTTTGCAGCCTTTGCAATTTGCTTCTTGTGAACTTATTGCGATTCTGATTTGACAGTAATGAATTTAGCCTCCTAACTCTTTGCAATATTTACATGTATTTACAAAACAGGTATGCTAAGCACAGTTTTTGTTTAACCTTGACCTCTGACCTGTAGACTCCACTTTAATGGCACAAGAGCTCCACATGCACGCGGCCCGAGGACAGTGGTCTCTCGTTATCCTCTTCCTAACCTTCATCGGGACGTTTTGTGTTGAATTTCGTCACTACCGCTTGGACTTCCAGGTCACAGACATCAGTAGAGAGCCTGTCAGTATGACCTTCACTGAAATGTCCACACACTATGCAGATACATAGTAATCCTACAGGAAAGCTTACCATGCTGTACTAATGCCTTATTTAGGATTGTCAACATGTGGCATTTGATTGCTGGAAGCCATGGAGATGTTGTTTTGTCTGGAATGTCTCGGTATGGCATTAAACGTATCCATCTTGCCAGAAAAGTTACACAGCACACCTTTAAATACACGGTTTCAATACTGTGTTTCCACATATTTTATGTGTGTATATATATATATATATATATATAATGTAATTAAGTTCAGGTAAGACAGTTACGCAGGACAATTATTTAGAGATTATACAATGCTATTAGTACGCTATTATAAGCAGTGATCATGTTTTAAGAAATAAGTTTGTGTAAGTTTATAATCTTAGTTTATTACAAAGGTAATAAAAGGTAATAAAATACGTTAAATTATAGGTAAAATGTAATAAAATACATTTAATTATAGTAGAGTATATTGCACATTTTGACTAAATAGTAAATTCAGCTTCGGTTATGTACTTGAAAAAGAAATAAATACATACCAAAAAATCTTAAAGTGCCCATATTATGCTATTTTCTGATCTATGATATAATGTTTCGTTATCAAAAACATACTCTGTGTTCTGTTTAGTTTCATTCACAAACCCTACATATTTAGGCTGAGTTCTTCTCTCAAACGTAAAACACTCTGCTCCACCTTGTGATGTCATGGGGTAATACAGAAAGTGTTCCATTGTGTTTTTAAACTCTACACACATTCACTAGAACCATTTTGGTGTTTTCAGCCCTGGAATTGCCAGTCTCTTTTGAACTAAATGTAACAGCGGTTAACTTGAAAACCACAGCTTCATGACATCATGAGGTGGAACAGAGCATTTTGAGCTTTGGAGATGTACACAGACAATAATAAAAGTGATACTAAAATGTGTGTGAATGAAACAAAACTAGAGCTATGTTTTTAAGGACGTAACATTATAACCTGGCTTAAAGGTCACAAGAGTAAATTTTGGGAAATATAGGACCTTTAAAGAACAAATATATAGGGTATGTATAAGCTATATTTTTTTTTAATTTTTCAGTGATAATTTGCTTTAAAATGCACAATGTTTTCTTTGTCAGGACTTTGACATGTTGCTGATATGACTACTGTAACACTACACTTCTTACTACTACTACTTCTTTCAGGTAAGCTGTTATTTTATAATATTATCTGTGGTTTAATGTCCACAAAATCAGTGTTGGCGAGGCAAATGCAGTCTCAACTGCATGACTCATTTTGAAATTCAGGTGTTACTTGTTACTGAAGTTTTTGATGATGGAGAATTGTAGTTTCATTTTCACTACAATTGTCTTCTGTGTTCTCACTTATGTATTGATTATACACTGATTAAATGAGTTTATAATGTCTACCAATACTATCTACGGTAAATATGAGATAATGAAATTTCAAGAGTCTTGAAAGATTTTATAGATTCATTGACAAAGTCCTTTTTTTATTTAAAAGAAAAAACTGTTAATTCAGTTGGGTCTACATTTGGTCAAGATCTTCCGCACTCCTGTTATATATTGGATTTGGAAACTGACGATCTACAAATCAAGACAAAATTAATGAAGTTTTGATACTTAATTTTTACTTTGAAATTATTTTAAAAGTACTCACGTGATTTGTCTTTCTTCTTTTGGGCACCTGTTTAAAAACCAAGTCATGGTAACAAGAAAACAAAACTGAAAATATGATGAATGAAATTTATTTAAAACTGTATAGACTCAAACCTTTAGTTGGTCCAGTATCCCGCTGCTTGTGAAGTTCATCTTGATTGACTAGAAAAATAATAGATTTTTATTTTTTTTAAGAATGCACTTATTATTATCTAATAGAAAATTTACAATGAATAAATCTGTTCTTACCGTAATAATGTTTGCGGATACTTGCCTGTCGTAATCGGTTTATTAGTTCTGGAGAGGCAAATATTGAAAACTTACCATACTGTACTGCTGTAACTTCAAATCATTAAAATATTTGAAGTCTTTTGAAAAATAAAATGAATTATTGTTTACCTGTATGAAATCTTTGCTTGTTTCTTTGACTCTCCATTCTCACAAAATTAAAATGGCCACGTTGGCTGGCTTCATTTCTGTCCATTTGACTGCGTTCTGGTATTTGATTTAGATAATCTGGTTCCTCTTCAATATCATCATTTTCTGAATAAAAGAATAAAAACTGTTAAATTTAGCAGTGGGAAGTAACATCAGTTCTCAAAGCAGTATGAAATATAATATTCGTAGTGGTATGCTGTAAGTAGCATAGTTAGCACCGTAAGAGTAGGTAGTAGTTGGAAAATTTTGCTTAATCAAGTTAAGTAATTCTTTCGATACTTTTGTAAGAACAGATTTTGGTATGTTTAAATATTATGTGTCAAACTTACCATACACGGTGTTATTTACGTATGCAGCTTAAAAAAGAAACAGACAATTGTATTTTAAAATGGAATTCAGATTATCTTCAAATGGCAAATGAGTAAATATGACACTAACGAGATCTGGGCTGAGGCGTGTCCTGGGGCTGTCCGTCCCCTGGCACTCTCCCACTCTCCTGGGTTGGATGGCTTAGATCTAAAATGAGAAACTCTACTTTTATGTTAATCAAGCAAGTCAACACAGTATGGGCATTCACAGTAAGAGTACATGCTTTCCAATGCACTTGTTTTAGCAGTAACAACTACTGTACTTTAATAAATGCAAGATAGATTTAATTTTTTTTTAAAGCCATACAGTGGAACATTGCAACAACAAAGCAATAACATCTCCATGGAGACACACAGGTCAAAGACTCCTCACCAAAAAGTTGCACAGGTCCCCTTTTAGTTACCTTTCTGTTATCTTTACACATTTTATACACTTACCATCATTGGCATGATGGGCAGTTACACTGTGATTCTCCTCAGTATCTTTATTTCCTACTGAAATGAAACAAAACTAGAGTTCACAGCATCCCCATTACATAACACTAAAATAAATAGTATAGTACTTACAAAAGCGGACACAGAGGAAGCATCCCACACCCAGAACAATGAAGATAGCCAAACCACAAACTATATAAATGTAAAATGGAAACAGCCAGGTGTCGGCCTCTGAAATACAAACATGTTGTGACTTTAGAGCAATGCGACTGACAGGAAACCCAAGTTCAGTCTTTGGTGCCCTAGACCTACTTAAATGCAATCAAAAGTGAAAAGTACAAATCTTTTCCTGTAAAATGCTGTATTAAGTTGTACAAATACGCATAGATGCATAGAATAAGAATTAGGGATGCACCAATAAAATATTCATATCAATTACCAATTATGTAACACTAAAATAAATAGTACTAACAAAAGCGGACACAGAGGAAGCATCCCGCACCCAGAAGAAGTGAAGATAGCCACAACATAAACTATATAAATATAATATGTAAACAGCCAGGTGTCTGCCTCTGAAATATAAACATGTTGTGGCTTTAGAGCAGTGTGCCTGACAGGAAACCCAAGCTCAGTCTTTGGTCATTTAGACCTACTTAAATGCAATCAAAAGTGAAAAGTACAAATCTTTTCCTGTAAAATGATATATCCAGTTGCAAAAATATGTACAGATGCATAGAATAAGAACTAGGGATGCATCGATACAATACTGCTATCAATTACCAATTATGTAGCGCTAAAATACTAGGACTTCTTATAAAAGTGGACACAGAGGAAACATCTAACACCCAGAACAATGAAGATAGATACAACATAAATTATATAAATACATAAGGGAAACATCCAGGTGTCTGCAGCTGAAACATAAATATATTAGTATGTATGCATTGCGCCAACATAAGATCCAAGATACTGGTTCAGTCTATGTCCATTTTAATGTTTAATACTGGCCAATGTTCTTAAAAAACATTTCGTAATATTAAACTTTTTTCAAAGCTGTTCTGTAATTACCTTAAATTTAAATGATAAATAACCGTTACAAGACATTGAACATTTTTTACCATTAGATGTCTGTGTTTAAAGGAAATACAATTATTTTCAGTAACGGATACTTAAAGCAAAGTGTCTGTGTCTGTATTGGGATAGAAAATGCTGAATGGGCGCATCACTAATAAGAACATTATAACAAGCATGGACCCCTCTTACCGAAGTGTTGCTACCCACAGGTTGCAGAATTAAGAAAAATAGGACAGTCATAGCAATTTACAATTTATAACTAATCAGGAAGAGAAGTGGATCATTATCTGATTTGTGGAGTTATTATTATTTATTGTAGGTTTTTAAAAAATGTGTTATTTTAATATATACACACAAACACACTGACACAAAATGCCATCTTCTTTTTCCATTTATATTTATGTATTTAAAGGTGCACTGCGCAACTTTTTCTCCATGGAGATACAATGGTCCATTGTATGATATTAAACATATCCATCTAGCATTTATTCATTGTGTTTTTCTTTTTCAGCAATAACATTTCAGTGGAGACAAACAGGTGGAAGACCTTCCACTAGAAATGTTACGCAGTACACTTTTAAGTATTTTCCCATTTGATTTGATGTACCTGTTTTGAGAGCCAACCCCACTTGAACACATCTTTCTTGGTTCAGGCACTGGTAACAGCCCAGGTCACTGTGATTGACATTGATGATGGAAATGGAGTAGTTTCCCTGTGAGCCCTGATTTGGAAATACGTGTATTCTGCCAAATCTGGGGTCAGAGAAGTTTACTTGTCCTGTTGAAGTGATGGTTACCACGGTTACAGCCGGCGAGTGGATCCAGGAGACGATGTTTTGGGCATGTTTGGTGAAATTACAAGGCAAAAGCACAGAGGTGCCCAACTCAGTGCTGAGGTGGTGGGTCTCACAGCTTTGATTCTTCAACATGCAGCTCTTCTCAATCTGAACATCATCTGAACAAAAAGAAAGACATTTAAATCAACCTTAATTTGCATTTCATATAGAGTTTTCAAAATTCAAAACTGACACACATTCGGGCTAGAACGGCTGGTACAAATAAAACTGTGAAAAGAACACGTAACATAGTTCCTTCTTGACGCAGTTGTGTCTCTGGGAATTTTTTTTGCCTTATGTTAATTTTCAAGCATGGTTGTCTGTACGTCTGCTAAACAAATAACAACATATACTGCTCTTTACTGTTGGCAGGTATCAAATTGGTCAAAAGTTGGGACTCCTGGTTTAGTCCTGGTTAGTCTTGGTTTAGACCTGGTCTAGATCAAATTGGTCAAAAATAAGGACACATGGGACATTTCTGGTATAAAACTGGAACAAACGAGTGACATTTACCTTTTAGTTTGTCAAAGTCTAAAATGAATTACTGATGTTCAGAGAGAACATTTTGGTGTAAGAAGAAGTAGAAAGAAATCATCAGTTAATGAAGCATTTTGGTGTTTCTATTTAACAACTGAGAAGGTTAAGCAGTAGAAAAAAAGTACATATATAGTACACAGTAACAACGAAATATTTTCTTCTTTGGTAAATCTTACAATCACGTGCTTTCCATTTCTAACCAATAATCTTTTCTGTTGAGCTTTTCAAGTCAGCATAGACTATAGAATAATAGACAACAAAACAGCTGTAAGATATACTCACCAGTGGCTGATGCACATGTGAAGCACAAGGTTAAGAGGATAGCAAACCTGCTCTTCTGCATGTTGCTCAGTATGTGAAAGAGAGTGGGGCTGTTTCGACTAATTTCAAGCGCAAAGCATCATGGGAGAAAACCACAGAGACTCCCAGTAGAGAGAGACACCGGAAAGCTGTTTAAGTTTCACATGAATTGATTGTCCCACAACAATTCAAGTTGCACTTATGCCTATTTGCAGTATACTGTCATTAAGATAATCTGATAAACAAATAATGTAAAAATGTACTTGTAACAGCAACAAAGATTCAGATCACTTCCTGCTCTATATTAAGTTAAAATAAACATTAATAACTAAACTAACCCTCACTAACATTAGCTGCTCTCTCTGTTTGACCTTTCTCTTGCTGTTATAATGGGACAGTTTATTTGAAACAATGTCTTAATACATGCTATGTTATATGCTATATATGCTAAATTACATTAACATTTATGGTGGGGGGTCGACTACTGCTTGTCTCTGTGGAGATGTTATTGCTTTGGCTGGAATGTACCAATGGCTTTAAATGTGTCTGTCTAGCAGTCATTTCATACTGGTGTTTATTGCTCAAAAATAACCTGGAAAATAAGCATTCTTCCTGTGAACAAGGTCTCTCCACAGATCTGATCCGTAAGATGGCGTGGTGGCATCACCTGTATGTTTCTACAGAGATAAGTTTAACCAATCATTGATTGAATGTCATACTATACATTTCAGGCAATAGTAACAACTCCACGGAGACAAGCAAGGAAGTTATATAGTACACCTTTAATTACTCAAAGTATATTTGACAACTGGAGTTTTCAAATGACGGGAACATGAGAATGACATCTATTTTTAAACTAACCCTTGAGCTGAATCGGTTTATTGTTTATAGGAGCCATTTTGAGGATTTTGACCATTAGATAGATATATTTTGTTTTGTATTTTTAATTTCTCTGTATTGTTTCTATAGTTTTTCATCCCTCTGAAACCCATAGATATGGCTGCTGCCATGCTCCTAAAGGTTTATGCCCATACTTTACATTGGCCCTGACAATGATGTATGGATGAAGTCCTCTTTCTTCCACAAAAGGACAGGGCTCTGGCTCACACTCAGGGATGGCTGGGAGCTGCTCTAAGGCTCGTCTCCTCTCTTTGTTCGACTATAAAACGGAAAAATATATTGTAGCAAAAAACAAAAAAGTAGGTGTTTTGTACAGACTCATTCAGCTGACAATTATTGGATACATCATTGGGTAAGTTCCATACAGTAAATATTTATGTGGATACTTTGTAGCCAGTATATTTTCTATGATAACAAGAATAATTCTTATTTTGTTTAATATGATGTTAATTCAGTAGTCTAATATTAGTCACTATTATTACATTTTTGTTATTAAAGGTCTTATATTGACTCTTGTGAGCTTTAAGACACGTTAGAATGCTGTTACCTCATCAAAAACATACCTGGAGTTGTGTTTTGTTTCATTCATACATTTGAGTAATCCTTTATTATTTGTCTGTTTACATCTCCAAAGTTCAAAATGCTCTGTTCCACCTTGTGATGTCATGAAGCGGTAGTTTTCAAGTTTAACAGCTACCTTTACCTATAGATCAGTAGACATGGGCAATTCCAGGGCTGAAATTATTCAAATTATTGTAGTGAAGGAGTATGGAGTTTAAAAACACAGTGGAGGGTTTCCTGTATTACCACATGACATCACAAGGTGGAGCATGTTTTTTGTTACAGGTACGAGAACTCAGCCTAAATATGCAGGGTTTGTGTGTTAAAAATGATACAAAGCACAACTCAGGGTATGTTTTTGATGAGGAAACAACATGATAACAGATCAAAAAATATTGTAATATTGGCCCTTTAAACTTATTCTGACAATCATTTATCTGTATTATTCAGGTCACAAAATAATCACAATTTTATAAGATAAATCAAACCTTTTCTATCTGGCTACATTATCTTTACTTTTGGTAGAATGAATTAAACCTTAGAAGATGAAGATGAAGGATTTCACAGTTGTTTTGTCATGGTGTAAATCAGTTCAACTTCTCTTCATAAGAAATTGTAACAGTAAAATGTGATATTGTGACATCCCTAAAAACACTATTGTTTTGCACCAGGTGGGTATTTGTGAGTAAGAAAGGCTACCAGGAGACAGATGAGGCGATCCAGAGCTCTGTCATCACTAAACTCAAAGGCGTCTCTGTCACAAACACCAGCGAGTCTGGGGTCCTTGTGTGGGGGCCTGAGGATTATGTCATTCCTCCACAGGTAAAACTACCACTACACTAGGATATTACTAGTACTACTGGGATTATTATGAATAGAGCTCACTATCTGAAAATTAAATCAATTAATCAAATAATTTTTGCCAAACTGAGGGAGACATAATATTACAGCTTCTTATCATCATAGTGTGATGTTATATTAGACAGTTTTTAAAGGAGAGAGTAGCTCAGTTGGCAGAGTGTTTCTCCACTGATCCTTGGTCATTGATTGAGCTGCCGGATCCACTGACCGACAGCTTGGCGGTGTGATTTCATCTCCTACAGATGAATGCTATTGTTGTGTCCTTGGGCAAGATACTTAGCCCACTTCACCCAGTGTCTACATACATTGGTGTGTGAGTATGTGTGTGAATGGGTGAGTGGTTTCTTGTTGTAAAGCGCTTTGAATGCCTTGAAAAATGCATTGGAAATGTGCTATATAAAATGTAGCCATTTGCGATTTTGCGAATCAACTTAAATAGGGTTAACCTATACTGTGGAACATTCTAGACAAAGCATTTCCATGGAGACAAGCAGGTGGTGGACAATCCACTAGACATTTTACGCAGTGCACCTTTAAATTAGCTTATAGACTTGTTTTAGCTGTGTCATCTTTATCTTATTCATGCATGCTTGAATAATCATGTATTGTCTTGCAGTGGACTGAATGCACAGAAAGTGCAGTGCATTTGAAAAGACTCAGACTTAAAAATACCCTATTTTTGAACCTGAAGTCAATAGATGAGTTTCTATAATTATTATTATTTTAGATCCATATTGTGATTTTTAATGAACAAAATGTAAAAATTATGTTCTGCGTATGTTATAGTTCAATACGAAGTATCTGGAAAAAACACATATAACACATGATTATTATTTAATGTTTCCTCAGGGAGAAGCTGTCCTTTTTGTTGTGACTAATTTCCTAGAGACACCAAATCAGCAGCTTGGATACTGTGCAGAGGTAAGTTAACACATGTGGTAGTAGTATGATATATTGTGGAAGTAAATATACACAGCAAACCATAATATTGAAACCAATTTATGACATTGACACAATCCTAACAACATTAAAGCAGGATTACCCCCCCCCAAAAATTATTTTAAATGTACAGTATTGTCAAAAAAAACATGACCTGCAATAAATAAATAGCAGAATGAAACCCTTCAGTATTTTGTCTGAGTCATAGTTATTAATTTAACTTCTACAACTCAAATCTTATTATAAAGCCAAAAAATAACAAAAAATTGCATTTCTAATGCAAAGAAATGGTAGATATGATAACTACTGAAAAAGTAATTGTTCCATCTTTCATACTTTGCACGGCATTCTAGTATTTATAGTGTCAGGCCTATAAGTTCACTCTGTAGCCATCAATTTATAGAAATAAATGTATTCTAATATTGTGCTGACAAATTTTGCACCACACATTAATGTTGTAATGAATACTTTTTTCCACTACATAGTTAATCATTGCAATAAATAAAGTTTGTAGGTACATAAACCAGGCCTCTTATGGTCACATACCTTGCTGCACGTAAGATGTAAACCATAAACCAAGGCTCTGTACACAGAGCGTTCAGTGACCAATGGGGCTGTTCTTTGAAACTAACACTCTTGAGTCAGAGATACAAACGGAAACTAAACAATCATCACAATACCCAGCATGCACAGACCACTTACTCATGCAAGAGAGAGCAGAGCTGATGAAATGTTTTTACTAGGGGTGTCAAATTATCGCGTTAATTGCGATTAATTAATTACAGTCATATTTAGCGCGTTATGTTTTTTAATCGCGTTAATCTCATTTTTAATCTCTAACTTTACTGTTTCTGTATGCGAGTTGCTTTATTATAAAATCTGTTTTTATGCGTTGCTGGGACAACAACACACACACAAAAACACATTTATATATTTTTTTTATTTCGGTAATTCCACTCATTGCCGGAAACCCACACAAAACGCGCGCAGTAAGAGCGATGTAAACATTATGGTAACGTTGGCGGCGTCAGGCACAATGGACGAGGTCGAAGAGCCAGTAGAACAGAGTCAGCAGTGCACAGGTAAAAACACATTCGTGTCTTGGAAATTATTCTCCCGACGTGAAATATAAAAGAAAATAACAAATATAATATCGCCTGAAAACAACCTGCATAGGCTCATGATGTCTGCACTACTGTCCTATAGTGACCTGCCACATGAGGGGACACGCACACAAACACACACAAACACAAACACACACCTTCATCATCGTCATCAACCTGAGAACGCGCGGACCACGTTTCCTTCCGTAGACACTGCGTGGACACCGACGTGCTCCTGTGAGCCGCGTGTGGATCGTGTTTTCTCGCGTACGCGGCGTAAACCGCGCTTCCTCCTGTGCGCCTCTAAACCAGAACTAACACCAAGACTAAAACCAGGACTAATCCAGTCCAGGACTAAACCAGAACTAAACCAGAACTAAACCAGAACTAAAACCATAACTAAAACCAGGTCTAAACCAGGACTAAACCAGGACTAAACCAGGACTAAACCAGGTCTAAACCAGAACTAAAACCAGGTCTAAACCAGGACTAAACCAGGACTAAACCAGAACTAAAACCAGAACTAAAACCAGGACTAAACCAGGACTAAACCAGGTCTAAACCAGGACTAAACCAGAACTAAAACCAGAACTAAAACCAGGTCTAAACCAGGACTAAACCAGAACTAACACCAGGACTAAAACCAGGATTAATCCATTCCAGGACAAAACTAAGACTAAAGTAGGACTAAAGCAGGTCTAAACCAAGACAAGGACTAAAACCAGTGATCTCATATATAAAGCATTTCTCTATCAATAATATTTTTAATATGGTTAAGGAAAGACTGGACTTTTTATTGTCTTTAAGTAGACAAAAGTTATTATGTTCAGATTTCCTCGTCTTTGCTACTTTACAGCAAACATTTTCTTATTCATGGAGACTTGGGCTCAACAGACAATTTGGAGAGATTTGTTAAACAATAAATGACTTTATAAAGTCACTTTATTTGTTCTATATCAGTGTTTTGATCTGCCACAATAATGTAATAATGAATTTAAATGAAAATACCTCAAATTGAAGCTTTTCTCAGCAATTTTAGATGAGATTAAAATTAGATTAATTAGATTAATTAATTACAGATCATAATTAATTAATCTATAAATTTTTTTAATCGCATGACAGCACTAGTTTTTACTAGTCAGTTGCACTTGAAATTAACTACTACTTAAAGTTACACATGTTATACAAAATTAACTCTTGTAAGCGTTTAGCCATGTTATACTGTTGTTACCTCATCAGAAACTTGGTTATAATACTTGGAGTTGTGTTTCTTTGTTGTCTGAGTAACCCTGCATTATTAGTCTGTCTGCATCAAAATTCTCTGTTCCACCTTGTGCTGTCATGAAGCAGTGATCACGTTAACAACAACCTTTTACCTTTAGTTCAATGGAGATGGGTAATTCCAGGGCTGAAATTATCCAAATAATTGTAGGGAAGGAGTATGGAGTTTTAAAACACAGTAGAGCACTTCCTGTACAACCACATGACATCACAAGGTGGAGTCGAGTGTATTTAGTTTGAGAGAAGAACTCTAAATATGTGTTAAACATGTATGAATGAAACAAAACACATCTCCGGGTATGTCTGTGATGAGGAAAAAACATTACAGACTAGCATATCAGAAAATAGTGTAATATGGGCCTTTAATTACCATAAGTTTCTTCTCAATTTGTTAATTTGGACTATACCTAAACATTATAGAACACTTGGCATAACAACAAAGTAACCCAGACCAAATTTTTATGTTTTCAATTCAAACTGTTCCATGGGCTACAGCCATGAGAGAGGTCATGTCTCACTCTGGCCACTAGAGGGCTCAATGTTTAGATAAGAGTTGTATTGCTCAGTACAGAACTATGGGTGAATTTAAGGAGCATCCATGGATCTTATTATACTTCTATGGGAGCACCTGACAACAAAGTATTAATAATGGTTTCAATGATTTGTTTTATTTTCAGAGCTCAAAGGTTGTGGATGGTCACTGTGCATCTGATGCAGACTGTAGAGAAGGACACACAGTTGTAGCTGGAAATGGTAACTTTCAAATAGGATTGACAAAAGTCTTTTTCATTTTATTTACCATTATGTGTTTTTCCTTAGGACTGATGAGCGGTCGGTGCATAAGCGGTGATGTGAATTCAACTGGGACATGTGAAATCTATGGCTGGTGTCCTGTTGAAAAGAAATACAAACCACGGTAAGCCTAAAATATATTTTAAACAGTTACTTCATATTATATTATGTTGTGTTTTACAGGCGAGCACTACTGGCAAATGCAGAAAATTTCACTATTTACATCAAGAATTTCATACAGTTTCCTAAATTTTCATTTTCTAAGTAAGATCTTTTACTCTTTTCTAATCTACCTAACTTATTAGTGTCTTCAAAACAATAAAATATATGTATATTAATTTATTACAATATCTTGGTGCATTTAAGGTCTAATGTTCTGGAAACTAGTGACGAATCGTACTTAAAGGCATGCCAATACAATGAAAAGGTCCATCCTTACTGCCCCATATTTCGGCTTGGAGACATCACCAGGAGAGCAGGCTACAACTTTCAAGACATGGCTATATATGTAAAGACACATCCTAGTATACTATACCTGCAAGTTTACCTTTGGTTATGTTCAATTAAATCATTACATAAATGTCATGTTATGGATTGTCAAATGACTTTAGAATTATCCGTCAAAATTCTTACTGACAGTGTGTTTTGCAGGGCGGGTCAGTTGGCATTATGATTGACTGGGACTGTGATCTTGATAAAGGATACTCCCAGTGCCATCCACAGTACTACTTCACGCGCTTGGACACCAGCGTCTCCAACAGAAGCATTGCAATGGGGTTCAACTTCAGGTAAGGTTCATATTTGTTTTATGAGATGAATATAAGTGCTATTGCTTTGTTTCTCCTTCCACAGACACACACGCTATTTTAAGCATCACACTGGTGAGATACACCGCTCCCTGTTCAAAGTGTATGGAGTGAGATTCAACATCATGGTACATGGGAAGGTAATCATGTGAAATTAGATTAGATCAACATTTTTGAGGCCAGGGACTCCTTATTGGTATGAAAATATCATTCTTCAGAATACAATTCAGATAAATTTCTCATGTGCCTAATCTTTTGGTGAAGTTATTACCATCACAACATTGTATTTTTGGGATTGTGTATCATAAGAAATTGTAGTATTTAAATAATGTTCAGTGTTATCACAATATTTGGGCACCCCCGACACATGGCCCTGAGACTCCCAGGGGTCCCCAAACCCCATCTTGAGAACCACTGGATTGATATTCTATTTGTATTTGAATTATTGCACACAGGCAGGCAAATTCAGCATCATCCCAACAGCAATTAATGTTGGCTCAGGGCTGGCTTTGATGGGCGCGGTAAGTCATCTCACTTAACATATAGTAGTCTACTTAATAATAGTTAAAATATTTGTAGTAGTAGATTAGTAGTAGTTGCGGGCAATAGTATTTTATATTAAATTAATTTCTTTTCCAGGGAGCCTTTTTCTGTGACATGGTCCTCCTCTACCTGATGAAGCAGAGCACCTCATATCGAGAGAGGAAATATGAGGAAAAAAGGTAATCCACATTTGTACGTGTTTACATTTGATACTGTAACTGCTAATGTATTTCTTAATAGAAAAGCAAAAGGCACATCTCAAGACAACAGTATGGAGGACAGGAGGAATAGCACAGACCCAACCAAGTTGAACCAGTAAAATTATATCTTAATTTCAATTTATGTATTAAAAATAAAATTTACTAATTTGCTAATATATTGTATTTTATATCTTCTTGTGTTGTATTTACCCATTTCCCCTCTAGAAATCAGAGGAAATTTTTTTATCTTCAAGAATAAAGAGGACTATAAATAAATATAATTATTTTGGGTAAAGGGGTCCCTTTCTCATTTGGTCATCAAGTTGCTAATACTTTTTGTTAAAGCTACATTGCTCAACTTTTCTGGCAGAGGGTCCACCACCTGCTTGTCACCACGGAGATGTTATTGCTTTGCCTGGAATGCAACATGGTATGACTTTAAACATTTTCATCTACTATTTATTCATTACAGGTGTTTGTATTGCTCAGAAATTCTATAATGCTCTCTGTGAATAGGGCCGTAATGCTGTAACCTGCTTGTCTCCCTTGTGATAGGTAGGTTTAATCAATACTGTGGAACATTCTAGACAAAACAATAACATTTCCATGGAGACATCAGGTGGCGAACCCTCCACCAGAAATGTTGCACAAATACAATGCCTTACTACTTTTACTTTGTTACTTTCCACCACTGAATCTAACAGCATTTAACCTGAACATGACTATTCTGCATTGTAATTCACAATAACTGACTGTATAAAAACATGTACATTTCAGGTACTTCTACAGGTACATTCACTGACACAGATACAGTGAGCTAGAGCGGAGTCCGAATGAAAAGTAGTGTCAGAGCAGAATTTCTTTATGTGTATTAAAGGTTTGACACATTAGAGTGAAAATGGGTCATACATGTAATCTTTGCAGCTGTTTGTCTGCATATTAGATAGAAGCAGACGGATTAGACTGATACTGCTGATGCCCTCACACACTCACACCTATTCTTAATCTGGGCAGGGGCGTTGGATTCAGGCCTGGCATTACAGGGATGCATAAGTGTGCATTGCAGATTCAGTTAAAAATTGCTGCCCCCTAATTTCAGAAGTCTAAAATAATGTCATTTAATGGGCCCGTATTACGCTATTTTCTAATCTATGTTACAATGTAGTTTCTTCATCAAAAACATACCTGTTGTTGAGATTTGTTTCATATATCAGAATGCTGCTGGATATAAAACAGTGTTTTAATTTGACCAGAACTGCAGAAGCCGACTGGATGAGGCGCAAAACGTCTTAACTCAAAAAACAAAAAACTCAAAGGTTATTACATGGGGAAAGCGACCCCTTGTGGACCAATTACACTATAGCTATCACGTGTTGCGAGCCAATGTGGCAATTAAACTAATTATAGGCTAATTATAGACTAAACTAAACAGAGACGAAAATCAAATCAACTAAAAGCGTTGTTTTCTTTCATTAAAACGCATGCACAAGAAAAAGGTTACAAAGGTAAAGCTAGGCTATTTAAAAAGTGAAAATCCAAGTGGGCCAATTATCTTCCAACTATTTTTATGGATTCCTTGGACACACTATGGGAAAAAGCTGATTCACTTGAAGTCTGACTAAATCAAACAAAACAAAAAACAACGCGTAGCCTACCTATAGTGGGCGTGCTGTCGACAGTGAGCAGAGTGGTGGTCCATCTATTGGATTAGCGCGGGGATTTCACTGTGGTATTAATCTGAAAGACAGCAGCAGGCGACCCGCGCGCCACTCACGCAGGCAGCCGCTGTTGTGTCTCTGTGTCCGGTCACCGCTCTGTCCTGCACCCGTGCTCTCCTCCAGAACCTCCAGGACCGCTCCAACATGAACCTCTTCTGCTTCTCACTGGTACGTGTGGCTAAAGCTTCTTCTGCACTGGTCTGGTACGGGTGCGCAGGGTTCGGTCACGTAAAGCAACAACTCATGTAGCAGATCCAGCTGGTAAAGTTACTGTCCAGCCTTCTTTATGGGGCATAGTGATGGCATTATTCTGCTATAGACTATTCAGGCTTATACTATTAAAGTTAAAATCATTTACTCTATATATGTTAACTTTGGTCATTTGGGTATAGCCTATTCTACTCAATCTTTTTTTTACATTGACAAACGTGCATTCTTACCATAGATTATCATGATTCTTACTGTGAGTATAATATATCTTCATGAAGATGACCTGAAAGTTACGTAGTCCATATTTTACCATTGACTTTTATGCTGTGGTTTTTCAAACAAATAAATCACAATTTTCATTGCCACATTTGAACTAGGTTATAACATTATGGCTGTTTATAAGAGATATTTGTTTGTTGTGGTGTGTAATAGGCCTATGTGCATATATGTTTGGATCACTATTACACACTCTTGACTTTCAGACTTTTAGGGTTAGGGTTTGTTGTTGTTGTTGTTGTTGTTGTTAACTTGTTTGCACATATTGCTCAGTATTTACAAAGTTTCATAAAAGTCTAATAAATGCACCTAGAGAAAGTAAATTGAAAGTGAATAAAGTTGATGTTTTGAGTTGTGTTGGACATACTTGCAGTTTGCGTAGGAAGCCCCATATGGCTGTTCAGATGCTGCAGCAGATGCACAGCTCCACGTGGACGGGGCGTGAATGTAGAGACCTGTCTTTGACCAGATGTCGATCACTGACAGGATTATTAAGAGCCATCCAGCCATAATAAACAACACCAGTGCACTCATCATAGGGCGCTGTTCCAAGAAGAGTCATTACTACATTGCAAAATCAAGTATTTGTTAATGTATTTGTTTTGTTAGCAGAAGTGTACCACAAAATTCTGGGCCTTCCTATGTATTCTAGGAGGATATTACTCCTAGAATACATTTTCATCTTAAATACAAAATCTTATCTGACATATTTCAATCTGGCTTTACATGCACAGACGACAAGCAAATTTAAACCGTATTTATTTACACATTGTATGAAAATATGATGTAATTTTCTGGTGTGGCTTCCATTCATAAACTTCATATCATGGAGGACTTTTATAATCAGATTCATTTGTGAACCTTTGACAGCTGGGCCCGGTCAAGCAAAAGTATACAGCAAGACCAAAAATTAAAGTTAATGCATCTGATATAAAAATGTATTCAACAGATAGCATGTGTACTCTAGTTTATGAAACTGTTTACCTTTTTTCTGTACCATTTTTGGTTCTAAAGTTACATACGTTTTAAATATACCTGGATGCAATATGGAACAAAATTATTTCCCAAATTTCAAAGACCTGCAAATCATGTAAATAAATTGATGTATTTAATCATATCTTGTGTTATTTGATCTTTGAACTGTTGATGAAGGTACATGATTTAAAAAAAAAAAAAAGAAAATCTATTTAAAATGATAAAAATTTGCTTGGAAGGACTGACATATTTTATAGAAATAGTTTCCATTCATTTTGAAGTAATATTAAAGTATTCGGAAGAAAAAAGATGACAAATTATGCAAAATCATGCACCTTCTATTTGCTTGCACAATTTTCCCTCCGTTACTTTTCCCTCCGTTACCATGACCTTTCTTAATAAAAAAATCTCATTACTCAAAAAGTAACTGGTTTTTCAACCTAATCTTGTACCATATTGTAGAACAGTATATTAAGCAAATATTCAAACCAGTTTGTTAAGGATATGTAAGTGAGAACCGTTAGTTATCGCTGTTTGTATTTATTGCCCAAAAAGTGCTGCATATTTCATTCCCTCCGTTACTGACATGAGTTTTAAAAATTTTTGTCAACAACTTGAAAGAATATCGCAGGGTTAACTTTACCCTATTGGAGTGCTAACTTTCCTACATTCTAATACATTACTTATTTCAATAGTCCCTCTAGTTTCTGAATAAGAGCTATTTGAATGTAAAAAATCTGCCCCTGTTTCCCTCCGTTACCGCTTGACTGGACCCAGCTGTGTACTGCATTTGCCCAAAATTATTACATAAAGCATAAAAAATATAAAGCACAATATTAGATTCATGTTTAACCTGTGAAGGAAACAAATCACAACTCCTGGTATGTTTTTGATGAAGTAACAGTATTATAACATGGCTTAAAGATCACAAAAGTCAATTTTGTGTAACATAGGCCCTTTAAACCTTGTCAAGTCCTAATAATTGTATTGCAAATGTGTGTATCAGGAGGGGTCCATGGACAGCTTGTATGAGGCGGTGCAGAGTTCTGGAGACCCTCCACAGCCAGTCCCGAACAGAGCCTCCAGTCGCCCCTGCAGCCGGACCGTGAGTCGCTCCGGCAGCCCTGCAGTTCTGCTTGAAGACAAGAAGAAATGGAGAGGATCTGGGAGGTCTATTTCTATGGTACCTTTTGTTTATTTTTGAATGCTTTATTGTTTCATACAGTATTTCACCAGTATGTCAATTTTGACATTCAAGTTTATTAGGGAAACACTGATACAATACTGGTGTTGGATATCAGTGCCAGTATTGCAAATTTTCCATGGATCAGATATCAGTTCCCAGAATATCAGTTCAGTTGAGGTCCCATTTTGGTCTATAAACTGGTGTGATAAGACAATTTACTGGACAATATTGGCCCAAAAAAAACTTGTAATAGTTTTAAATGTTGTTCTATAGTTACTTTAACTGATAAACAACAGTTACAAAACTCATCTGGATAACTTTTACCTCATGCTGTTTGTGTTTAAAAGAAAGAAATTATATTTTCAGTCTTTGCTCTAGTGTGGGATGATATCGGGGATTGACAGATATTTAACGTATTGACATCGATATCAGAACAGAAAAAGCTGGACTGGTGCATCTCTAAGATACAATATGTCATTTTTTCCTGTGGTATGGTTTATTTATTGCATGTATAAATGTGGTTTGGTCAGAAGTTTTTTCATTCTTTAATCTTGTATCATTGGGAATTAAATTGCAACAGATTTCTGACTTAAACCCCATCTGTTCAGGATAGCTTTCCCCTTCAGATTTCACTGTTCATTTTGTCTCTGTATTATTGTTTTTATGTGTTGCCGATAATTTTTTCATGTCTTTTAATCCTTTGTAAAGTGTCCGAGTGCCTTTGTCCTGATTTGGTTCTGGCTTGGTCCTGGTCTAGTCCTTTATTTGTTTCGTGGGAGTCTGAATTTGAATCGTGTCCTCTATGTTCTTGAAAAATTTTTTCTATTCACTGTAGTCAGCTTGTTTTGTTTTTAAGAATGAGGAGAATTTATAATTGTTTGTGCTGTAATCATCAAAGTCAGAATTTTGTTTTAACTTTATTAGCTTGAAGTTGTACATGCACCTGCACACTACTGTGAGTAAGTCTACATCTCCACAGATCTGACCTGTAACTTGGCCTGGTGATGATGACCTGCTTGTCTCCATAGAAATAGTTAAATTAAATGCCATACTGTGGAACATTTCAGGAAAAAAATAACATGGGGTCAAGCAAGTGGTGGACTCTCTACTGGAAAAGTTACACAGTGTGTAACAGAGTGTTTGATCAGTATGAATGAAATAAATATTGTTGTGGAAGTGGGGAAATAGATGAAAAAAACTGAAAAAAGTAAAAATAAATAAATAAATAAATCTTGCAAATTACACACTGTTGTCACTTCAGAGCAAGTTTCTGGTTATGCACAGTTCAAGACATGCCTGTCTTAATCAACCTGGTATTTGATGTTATTGTAATTTAAACATTTGTTTCATTTCTGGTTTCTCATTTCATTCAATTAAAGACAATACTAAAAAGGCATTGTAAAAGAAGTGGCACTAAATAATTTTATAAATGGAGTGACAAAATGACCAGATTGGACTAAAAAGCTGCTTAAAAATCCTAATGATGGACTGTTAGACAGCTGCTGCTAAATCCAAAGATTACATAAATTAAATGGGCCTAAATCTAATCTGGACAATTTGTTTATTTTTTTGTTTGTTTTGTGTCCAGGACATGCCTCAGATGAACACTGCCACCTCCAACAAAAAGAAAAGAAGGTGAGCTAGCACGACCAGTAGCTGTAAAATAAATAACAAATAACTGGTACCATTTCATCTTGGCACCAATTTGTGGGTGGTCTGGAATGTTGGTCTAAAAAGCATAAAATATGAAGATATGAATGAAAAACAAGGTTAAGAATTTACATTTTGACAATAGGGTCTGAGCTGAATCATTTGAGAAAAATATCTAGTAGTATTAGTACTAATATAAGTATTGTAATTTCAATGTTCAATTATGTTTTAATAATATGATTTAGTTAAAAGTTACGTTTTAAACGTGTTTAGAATTGACTAAATATGGCCTAACAAACGAATACAAGAATCACATGCGTTTTGCTTATACAGCTCTAAACTACAGAGTTAGCAGTTTATATGTGAAAAAGGCTATTTTGTTGTTTGTGGAAGAAATGGTACTTCTCTAAAATTGCAGCCTTTGCATCCATTCAAATATTAATATTAATAATGTTTAGCATAAAATGTTGAATTATCAATTTACATTCAGGAAACTCTGAATGTGTTTGTTGTTTTTAGATTAGATCTTATTCCCAGTCCCACTCTAAATCTATGTGTTGTTGAATGCATCCAGCAGTAATGAAAATATCCTATTTATAGCAGTGAAAGGGTTTTCCCCATACACTGTAGTAATACTATGGCTTGAAAGGTTCACTGTTTAATTTCACTCAGGGTTAATCCTTCTGACTGCTGCTCCACTGAACTCCATCTGTACTCTTCTTTTAACAGCAGCAATTACAATACTGGACTATATTTTCTACACGTGTCTTTGTGTAATAAAATTAAGGATCCTATATTACACAAAAGTGACTCTTGTGAGCTTAAAGCCATGTTATAATGTCGTTACCTAATCGAAAACATACCTGGAGTTGTGTTTTGTTTTGTTCACTGATGTTTGAGTAATTCTGCGTTATTAGGCTGTCTACATTTCCAGAGGTCCAAATGTGCTGTTCAACCCTGTGGTGCCATAGTGTAGTACTTTTCAAGTTAACAGCTTCCTTTTACCTGTAGTGTAGTAGAGATTGGTAAAGCTGAAATCATCCAAATTATTCTAGTGAAGATGTATGGAGTTTAAAAACACGTTGGAGCACTTCCTGCCTAACCACATGACATCACAAGGTGCACCAGAAGTCAACCATGTGAGAATGAAACAAATGATGAGGAAACAATAACATAGATCAGAAAATAAAGTAATAAGTAAATGTTTAGAATTTAACTAAATGAAATTTTAATTGTCAAATTTCAGTATTGACAAATTTTAGTAGTAAAATTGAACTGGGAGTCTACATTGGGAATGTCCATGGAAGATATTAGTTGAAACTGGTGGATGTTTAATCAATTTATTGAAGAGAAGGATTGTGATGCAATGGACCAGTTCAGATTATAACACAGGACGAGCTGATGTAAGAGGATTCAAAGCCCACCCACTAATTCTGAGCTGTCAACACCTTCACTGTTTAGCCTATAGCCTCAAATGCTAAGTACTAGTATAGCTATGCAATACACAACATACAGATATGAATGATGAGCTGGGATTGGATCATTAAAGACTAAACAAACCAGATTTAAATCTAATGTGCTTTATGTGCTTGTTTCATTTTTATTTCAGCACACAAATATCCAAATCCGCATCAGACAATGAGGCTTTTGGTAAGTGGATTGACTAACACTATTAATATGGGAGAGATACAAATATATAATGAAACAAATCTTTTTCCACAAGATATTAAAAGCAGAACATGCACATTATTGACAAGAACATGTACATTAGTAACAAGAAATAAACTGACTATTTTCCTTGATTTTAGTATCAATAAACACTCATTTCTCACTTACACTGCCAGCCCCCCAAAATTTGGACACACTTTCCCATTCAGTTTTTTTTTTAAATTTTTTTTAAACTCCTTTCTGCATTTTAGACACATACAGAAGACATCAAATACATGAAGCTGAAGATGAATTATGTAGTAAAGAAAATTACATAACTAATTGTTCATGACAAAGCAAAGGATTTGAATATAAAATGTAAACATAATTCCATATGTCTTGTTTCATATATTTGTCTTCTGTGTGTATGTAAAATGAATAAGAAAATAGTAGAAAATAGTAAAAATAAAGACAAACACTGAATGAAAGGGTGTAATAAAACTTTAGACTGATAAATCATTCTTTTGCATTTTAAATTACAGATAGTCCAGGCTGTAATAATGCATCTGCTTGGCAACCAGCCAGAAGTCAAGAAGATTTAAACCAAACCCTCCACCATCACAATGAAGGTGAGTGGGAATGTATGTAGAACTCATTACAAGTGCTATATTACATAAAATTGACTCTTGTAAGCTTTTGCCCATGTTATAATGCTGTTGCCTCCTCAAAAACATACCTGAAGTTGTGTTTTGTTTCATTTACACATGTTTGAGTAATGTTCACATCTACAAAGCTCAAAATGGTCTGTTCCATCCTGTGATATCAGGTTAAGTCAAGTTAACAGCTACATTTTACCTTTTGTTTAGAAGAGATTGGCAGTTCCAGAGCTGAAATTATCCAAATGACTTTAGTGAAGGTGTATGGAGTTTAAATACACAGTGGAGCACTTCCTGTGTTACCAGTTTGAGAGAATTCCTAAATATGCAGGGTTTGTGTGTTCAACATGTGTGAATGAAACAGAACACAACTCCAGGTATGTTTTTGATGAAGAAACAACATTATAACTGATCAGAAAATGGTGTAATATAGGCACTTTAAATATTTAAATATAATTTTTGTCATTTGTCTTTTAGAAATGAAAAGGATAAAACACAGAACAGAAAACAAAAGAGGAAAGGGAGCGCATCATACCGGCTCAAAGAAAAAGGAGAAGCCTCCTTCAAGTCAGGTAGATGAGAACACTTTTTGGTATAACCATAAACACATGTTATCGAAAAATGTAAGTTATTTATTTAGTGATATTTCAATTGTAACTGTACTATGACAACTTTTTCAGAGCAATGGTCACGATTCAAAAAATACAGTCAAAAGAGGCCAAAAGAGTGGGAAGAAGCCAGTTACAAAAAATGGGAAGGATGGGACGAAGAAGCCACAGAACTCCAGAGGTATTCAGCAGAAAATCAACTCTACTCTGAGCTAATGTGGAGTTTTTACAGTGGTGGAATATAACAAAGTAAAAGTAGTACTGTACTTATGTAAAGTAAAATGTATACTTAGGTACATTTTATAGTATTAATTATATATATCTGTACTTTCTACTGCACTACATTTCTGAACAGGGCATAAAAATAAAAGTTGTTTTTTTTTTATTGTTTGAGACCTGCTGAAAAGGCTGAGGGTTTATTTGTAGTTTGAGCAAACAAACAATAGTAATGAAAACAGCTAGAAAAAAAAATAAATTCAGTTATTTTTTTTATTTTTTTTTATTCTAAGCCTTATAAGACCTTGCAAAATACTTTTACTTTTTACTCTTTAACAAAATGGATACTTTAATACTTTTACTTTTTACTTTTACTTGAGTACTCCGGTATCTGTAGTTTTACTTAGGTATAAAAATTTTGTACTTCTTTCACCACTGAATTTTTATGCTTGTTTTAAAGTTCTTATTTTGGTGGCATGATGACTAATATGCTACTTCTGCTAATGCTATTGCTCATACTGTACAGTTAATCTCTTCACACCCATTAAGAGTTACTTGAGTTCATTTATTTTATTTTTTTTTTAGTGCAATCTCCACCAGGTGCCATGAGCCCCCTCACTGGGAACTTCCTGGATGTACAGTACAGGTGCGACAGAAGACCATATTTGGGCAAATGCTCCACACTTCCTGCTCAGGAGAATAACACCCATAAGCGAGGTCTGGATAAAGTCAGTCTTCCCGGGGGAGCAACACCCACCCATGCCCAGCGCTGGAGTAACCCCGGAGATGCCAGCCCCCTCTGGAGCAGCGTCCCCCACACCTGCCACAGGCCCCTCACAGAGTACAGGGCTCTATCTCAGGACCTCACTGTACCACCAGAGAAGGACTGGGACCAGCGCCAGGAGAAGCTCGGACTCTCCCAGGACAGTAGCCTCAAACGGGACAGTAGGCCTCAACTTCCTCCCAGAGTGCCACGGTCCAGTACTGATGTGGAACTGACCCAAGGAAATGTAAGACTGCACCTCTTATATAATACAGTTCAGTACTGTTTTTCGGTTATAAGCAAGTCAAGCAATATATAAACAGAAAGCACAAACAGGGAACTTACCACTGTCCCTAGAAAAGGAACAGTATATTAATGTCAAGACTAAACTTATAAAAAAACTTTATTGAAAGGAAATTACTGATAAACAATAGCTCACACATTACAGTACAATATCAAAGATCAAATAGCTGGTAATAAAAAATTCTGAATAATTAAGATGTCAAAAATACCTGGCATTGTGTCCTCACTGAATCAGTTACTATATAAACAAATGTGATATGAATCAAACTCACAGGTCCTATATTATGCAAAACTGACTGTTGTGAGCTTTAAGCCAGGTGATAATGTCATTACCTCTTTGAAAACATACCTGGAGTTGTATTTTGTTTCATTCACACATGTTTGAGTAACTCTTTATTATCAGTCTGTCTACATATTCAAAGCTCAGAATGCTCTGTTGACACCTTGTGATGTCATGTAGTGGTAATTTTCAAGTTAACAATTACCTCTTATCCATATGATTCTAGTGAAAGTGTATTGAATTTAAAAACACAGTAGAGCAGTTTCTGTCTTACCATGTGACACTACAATGTGGAAGTGTTTTCTGTTTCAGAGAAGACTTCAACCTAAATATGCAGGCTTTATGTGTTAAAAACATGTGAATGAAACAAAACACAACTCCAGGTATATTTGTGGTGAGGAAACATTATAACATAGGTCAGAGAATAGGGCAATATGGGTCCTTTAATCATAAAAGGGTGCTGTGGTCATCCTATTTCCTGCGGAGGCTGATCTCATCACAGATTGACCATTGTCTTTCTCTCTCTGACCCGTTCAGAGCTTATGGGCATCACGTGCAGTGCAACGACACAAAGCTCAGGCTTAACATGAGTTTAGAGAGAAGCGCCCAAGATGAAAAGGATGATCCCTGTGAGATTATAAGAGTCTATAGATGCTGTAGAGAGATGTGCAGTGTCACAGGACAGAAGCCTCTTAAGACAGACGGTATGACATAGAGTTAAAGACCTCTGGGTAACTACAATAGAACCTTATATTTAATGTGCATTTTGAACTATCACATATTACACTGTCATTTATAGTATGGTATTCAGAATACAGTTACTTTTCTGAAATCAAAAGAATACATTGCACTATTTTATTACAAAGTTTAGTCTTCAAATTGCACCCTATCAGTGAAAAAAATAAGAAACACTGAAACATATAAAGCTATTTGTAATGCTATAATGTGTAAATATCGTATCATATAAGTTTATACGCTCTATTGAGGTATTTTTTGTGTGTATATGCATAACAGTTAATGCAAATTTGAGAGGTGGAAACACATTTAATGACTTTAAAGCATCCACTACATATTAACAGAAGATACCAAATGAAAGGTTTTATTTCAAACTAACATATTTTTGACATTAAAATAATAATAATAATAAAACAACAATAAAGCTCCCAGTTGGGTTATTTGTAGAAAATCAAACCAAGTCTTCATTTCAATAAATACAATTAATTAATATAATTAATACCACACTGTGAAACCAACCAGACCAACCACCAGAAAAGTTACACAATGCACCTTTAGAATTATACATAATAAAAACAAAAAAAAACTGACCCAAATAAATATTAAGAGTCAGTCAAGTCCAAGCCTGTCAGTATGTTAGTTTGACCTGTTTGACCTCATATGGCAAATCCATTTGACTAATTCATATAATACATTGTATTGTAATTGTATGTAATCTCTTAACTATGATGGTCAGAATATCATATAGGTAAGTGTGAACTCTCTGAAAACAGGCCATTGCAGTAAAATTTATGGAAAATGTAATCTGAATTGAGAGGAGCATGCTCAGATTAAGCAATGGCTTTTGTGCAGAAGTACCTTTTGTGTCGATGACTAAGTGAAATCTGCCACTGTGTAAACACTGTGGCAACTCCAATATGGCCTCAGCGTCGTCAGCACTGTCAAGCCAAGGCCAGTGTCTTTGTTTCTTTTTTTTTTATGTCATACATTTTGAAGGTCCTATATTACATAAAATTGACTCTTGTGAGCTTTAAGATATGTTATAATGCTGTTACCTCCTGAAAAACTTACCTTCCCACTGTTGTGTTTTGTTTAATTAGAACATGTTTTTAACCCTTTATTATTTATCACTATCTGTCTGCATCTTCCACCTTGTGATGTCATCATGTTTTCAAGTTTACAGCTACCTTTTACCTTTAGTTCAGTAGAGGTTTTTAGTTCCAGAGCTGAAATTATCCAAATGATTCTAGTGTATGGAGTTTAAACATACAGTGGAGCACTTCCTGTATTATTACATGACATCACAAGGTGGAACAGAGTGTTTTTCTGTTTGATAGAAGAACTCAGTCTAAATATGCTGATGAATAACAAAGGAGAAATTCAATTCTGTCAACTGGACAAAAATGTCTCCTTTGCTATGGATCCTATCTGGCTGACTGAGGGATTACACAAATAACATTATAATATAGATCAGAAAATAGGGTAATATCAGTATTGGCTGTGATTTTAAAGAAAAGAAAATTCATCCAATTAATCCAATTAAAACTTCCCATTACATTAATATTTTACAAATTGGGAAGTGGTAAAACAAGAGAAAGCAAAATTCAGCATAGCTCTATATTTGTCATACTTAAGTCAGCACTTCCCCAAAAGGTCCTCACCCCAAAATTAAGAAATAAATGAGAAAAAAAGAAAAGAAAACTTGTCCAACGTCACTTACCAAAATGAACTTCCTCATTGGTATTTCAAGGATTGAAATGTACTATTTCCATCAAAAGAAGGATTTTTGTTCTTTGATTTGAAAAGTTGCATTTAATTTCATAGATACCCAAGTAGTTTTAATACTTTTATACTAATTTGAATAGTTAACTTTATCATCATTTATGTGTGTTGAAGTAATATTTTTGTCACCTGCCTACTTCTGAAACTCTCGAACTAACCACATTTTAATTGTGAGACGCAGTAGCTGATACACATTTATATAACCAAAACCACAAAATCTTCAGTCTTATTACAGAGGTTACTGGAACTGATTCTTGATGTTTTCTTCAACATGCCACAAATGCTCAGCTAAGCAGTATTTTCCCCTTCAAAGCGATACTGCTCTGAGCGCACCACCATCTCTATTGCCTCACATCCTGTTAGCACAAAGGAAGTCAAGCAACTAGAGCCCAGAACTCAGTCAATTCACTGTCTACTGTAATTAGGGCCAGAAGAGTTAAGCCAAGACAGTCTGAAGTAGTAGTAGCAGTAGTAGCTGTAATAATTATAGCAGTACTCGTAGAAATAGTTATAGTATAATACAGAAAATGTTGCATAGGGCAGCATCCAATGTCTCAGATAAGGCAAAGACCTGCAAACCCAAGGTATGTACAGTAATAATTAATATAATATATGAGAAGGAACAGTTCAAAGAGAAATTACAACTTTTATTTGTAAAGTATTTGAATTTAGGCTGTCAGTGATCTGTAAGTCCTAGTTTGGTTATTTTAGATTTTTATTTCACATTTTAAATATTTCTTGCTGTTGTAAAGTTCAATCTATGAATACATTATTGGATTTTCTGTTTGCTAATGCACTGTGACTTTGACAAACATAGTGAGTGTATTATATGGAATTTATCAGACTTAAGTTATAATTATATAGTAAAATGAAACCATGAAGATCAAGACTAGTCTCATGACTTCAAATATCTTTTCTATGTTGCTATGTTTGTTTTGAATTTCCTTTGGGGTCAATGAAGCATCTATCCAAAATGTAAATGTAAATCTGTTAAAATGTGTTACAGCTGATTACTGCTATAAAAAGCCTCTGTGTCACAAATGGTACCTGATAGAGTCTTGACAATAGCTATATTTTAATTGTGACAAAAGGTATAGATTTCTAACAGGAAGCAGAGCAGAGGCTTGTATTTGTGCACTGTGGTAAACCAGAGACTATCTAGGAGTGTAGCTCATATTTAACCAGGCTCTCCAGGGATTATTCATTTATATGATTATGTTGTGGCTCGGCTGCTGTGTGGATGGAGAGATTTGGGAGAGATTATAATTTTAGTTTATGAAAAAAATGTGGCGGCCGGTGGATGGGGAAATGGGGGGTGTATATCTTGTACTCACAAAAACTGCATTTTGTCTTGTCATTTAAGTCATATATTTTCTGCATAGATTCATTCACACAACAGTTTTAAAATATATATGTATTTACTTTGCTGACTCCATTTTTTTTGTTTCCTTTTGCACAGCGCTCCACAAGCTTTGGTAGATTTGACAGACACCATTCACCGTCCAAAACAGAAGAAAATGGACCAAATGGGGTTGGTATTTATGAATATAAAAAACTGTGAAAGTGTTTAAAAATCTGGTCTTCTTCTGTCAGATCAAATCTTGTACACTATCAGACTTCAGGAACATAGACATCATCTAGTGGTGTTATGTGAGAATACAATGGGGATGGGTCAGCCTGTCAAATAACTAATCGTCGCTTTAACAAAGTATCAGTTCATAGGTTCAACTTCCTGAGGACCTTTTCCCATTCAAAATAAATATAATTTGTTTTAATTTGTTGCTCACTATGGCAACAATCATAAGTTTTCATCATTCTGAAACCCATGCATATCTGTATCACAACTGGTAAGGTTGAAATAGTGCAACTCCACAGTAGTAAAGAATCAAACTAATGATAATTTCATTGTATGGTGATTTAGCTTTTTTTTGTGCCTCAATCATTCTATGGAAATTTTGTGCTGAAAAGTATTAAACTTTGAAGCAATAAAATCCCCTTCACTGTACAGGATGTTACACATTTTCCAGGTGCTAAAATCTTTTTTGGTTTCATTTTGTTTGAATGAACTTTCTGTATCTTTGTAGATGATAGAAGAGAATGAAACTTCAGACTCAAATAAATCTGCTGGACTTGGGAAGAAAATAAAAGTGATTTCTCTGACCATGCGCAAAAGGATGGGCAAAAAACACAACAAGTCCCTCTCTGAAGAAACAGTGAGTGACATCAAGGCTCATTATTATAAATTTTGATTTTTTTTTGTTATGTCATTAATTTAGTTTCTATTCTTATTTACTGTTTATCTAACTTTTATTTTTATTTTATACAGAATTGACAGAAATTATACAGACCACATTATCCACACTCATAAATGTAATAATGATTGTATTTATCACTAGATTTATTAGGAACAGAGTATTTTCGAGAAGCTCTATCACTTTCTCACATCTCTAACAGTCCACATCCTTGATCTGTTTTTCACAAACTTTCAAAGTGTGGAGGTGGTTTTCACGATAAGATATGAAGAAGGGGAAATCCGCAACTTTTGTTTTTTTGCATTGGCTTGCAAGACTTTGAATGAATTAAAAATATAGAATCAATTTGAGTGTATACTAGTCTATAGCAATGACATGATCACTCTTTAAAAACATAAACCATTATCTGCATTATTGAACTGAACTGACTGTATGAAAGTAATACATTTTTAGTTAGTAAATCATGTCTAATAAAAGAAAAATGATCTAAATATTTATATAATTTGGTGATACTAATGCTGCATCATGGGTCAAAAAATATAAGCACACTTTCCATTTCACAAGATAAATAAATGTATGCAATGTGTGGATTGTTAAGATCCTGAAGTCAGCTTTTGTAGTTATATAACTGTTTTTGTCCTTTTGCCAAGTCATCAAGTTTTCTTTTTAGTAAAGTTTTTATTTCATTTTATTCAAGGGGAATGACACAGACAGAGAGGCAGAGGCAGAAAGTGGAGCTCCCATTGAGAAAAACTCTGCTCGTTCCTTGGAGAGTCTCTACAGTGCACAGAGCTGCTCTAGTAAGTACCCAATACTACTTACATAAACTATATTAAAAAATAACAGAATACAAACGTTTTAATGAGGGATGCAGTATTATTTCTTTGAGTTATTCCTTTTTAATATTACATTGGTCAATATTATGGGTCAATTATTTTGGGGTATATCTGTGGACTGTATGAAGTGGATTAAGGGAGTGTGACGTCACCCATAGTGTTCGGTGCCAGTCAGATGAAGCTCTCGAGGCTAGCAGTTATAAGTTTCATACTAGGAATATGAATTTATTTACACACTAAACTGTGAAAAGAAAATAAAAACACCCGGATCATGCAGAGAGGGTTAATATGGACATTTTAAGATCAAAATGAGGAGGCTCACAGTTATAGAGAGAGGGGTGATAAATTTTCTATGTAAAATCAACTGTACCAGAGTCGATGGAGCCGGAAGTGCCACCATGTTCACTTCTTATTTGGAATGCAGCAGCTAGTTATGTTAGTTATGTCAATTTATATATACAGTCTATGGGTATATCCAGATATTTTGATCCCACTGAAGATATTAGTGTAGTTATGAAAACTATATAAAACCATTTTTAGTTTTTGTATATTTTTAAAAATTGCTGTACATATTGATTCACTCTTCTGCGTTACAAGCTCCCTCAGTGAATACTTTAGTTTGAGTTGTCCTATAGTAGTTCATAATAGAGTCTTGTATATTGACTGTTGCTGTGTTTTCAGGTGGAGTGAGTGAGTCCGTGGCCTCTGCTCTGCGGGACAGTGTGAAGCTAGAGGAGGACGGTTCATATCAGGGACAGTTCTGTGGAAGAGCTCGTGTCCACACAGACTTTGTGCCCAGCCCCTACGACACAGACTCTCTGAAGTTGAAGGTATTATTAACTTTTATTATTAGGCCTGAACAAGTCAAAGCACAGTTATAGTTATCACAGTGTTTACAGTGAATACAAAAAGCAAAAACACTATAGAGTAACTGTGTAGACTAGTAGTTCTTCGCATATCTGCAAAATTGTTTTCAAGTCTGCACCTGTTTAACAAAAAAATTCTGTTTGGACTGATCATTACATTTGTCACTCTTATATTTTAGCTATTAATTAAAACTACATGAGATGGCTCATGTCATTCCAAATGACTACATACGGTAGTTTCAAGGTGTTTGGTGTATCCATTGTCCATGCTACTATTGTTCCAGCCAGGATACAGTGTGCAACTCCAATGCTTTGCCAGGTACACCAACAGAGTTAGAAGAAGGCTTAGCTTTGACAAATAGATAAAATTGCAGATAAACTAGTGACTTGGTCAATTTGGTCACTCCTTGTTTTTTCTTCTTTTTATGTTTCTGCTTGCACAATCAGTTTAAGTTACTGTATTTTCCGCACTATTAGGCGCGCTCTTAAGCCTCCAACCCCATCAAAAAACGACTACGTGTCCGCAATCCAGAGCACCCTATACACAACGCTTATACGCTTCTAGACACAACTGAACAACTGAGTCACTGCAAACACGCCAAACAAAGTCCCACTGACCCATCTAACTGTTGTGTTTCGTTTAATGTCCGGTGCGGTTTATTTGTGAAAAAAGTTTGAAAATAGACCATTCTATGACAGTGCGCCTTATAATCCAGAGCACTTAATAGTATGCGGAAAATACGGTATGTCAGTTTGAAGAATACAGCAGCATGTGTAAAACAAATAAGTGATACTATACTGTGGTACTTTGAAATTGTCACTATGGCTTCAGCCACTGCACACTATGTAGTAGACTTTGTTGTAGATTAAGATTGCTGTGGTTTAATTCCCCTTAAATGGCAGTTTAGATCACGTTCACCCTGGTCCACTTGTAGACCAGACTTAATCCTGCAGTGGGCCTGGTTAAGAGTGGGTGTAGACCTGGCTCAGACTAACTGAAAAAATACTTAAATTTTAGTAGTCTTATTGTTTTTGCAACATTTAACACAGATTCACATATCTGCTTTAATATAAAACAGAACAAATAATAATGTAAGTAACCTGCAGTAAAATAATGCATTTGTCTTTTGTTTAGGCTGGTGACATTATAAACATCATCAGTAAGCCTCCGATGGGCATTTGGACTGGCATGCTCAACAACAAAGTGGGAAACTTCAAATTCATTTATGTGGACATGTTAGTGGAAAAAGAGGAAGAGAAGGAAGAGGAAGAACCTCCAGTGATCCGACAGCAGAAACTGTGTAAAAGGCCACGTCCCAAAACTCTGCTGGAGTTACTGGAACGGCTCAATCTGGAGGTGAGGTCAAAGTTCACTTGGTATCAAACAGAAAATCATTGTCAGTAATACAGACAAAAGATCAGCTGCCATCAATGAAGAAAATATTGATGCAAGATGGATATTTCAAACCAGAAAAAACTATAATAAAATGAGATCCTTTGGACACCAGGTTCCCACCATTAGTATTATGAGAATAGAAAGAAAATAATATTTTTAAATTGATGTATTTAGTGACATTTTCCATTGCATGGTTGCCTGGCAAATTCTAAATGATATCTCTATATTTTTTACACAGAATAACACAAGTTTGGCCCCCCTCCATTCTTTTCGTCTCGAGCTTGATCAAACATGATCGTGCATCAGATTTGTTTGTTTTTCAGTGACGCATGTGAACTGAATCACCTTTCATAGACAGATACTTAATTGATCTCAGTCAGCAAAATGTTCATACTATATGCTACTTTAACATATGCCATGATGATGATACTCTTCAGTGGCTATAAAGTCATGTGTAATCAGTTTAGATACATATAATGCAATAGGTCAAATTATTTGTTGTTATTTTTTGCAGGAGTATGCCTCTGCCCTGCTGCTGAACGGATACCAGACTGTGGAGGACTTGAGGCACCTTCAGGAGAAACATTTGATTGAACTCAACGTCAAAGACCCTGAGCACAGACTTAAGCTGCTGGCAGCTGCTGATCTCCACTACACTGAAGAAGGTTAGAGGAAAATAATCATGTCTGAATGTGCATCTGTTTTTTATCTTTACAGCAACAATAAAGGTGCACTATGTCACCTTTTGCCTCCATGGAGACGTTGTTGCTCTGCCTGGATTGTTATATATAGCTGAACATTAAACTTTTCTATCTGTTTCCATGAGAAAAGATTAAGGTAAAGGTCAACTTTAATAGTCATTGTAGGAAATTTGTAAGTGACGCCACCAGGCCAAGTTAAGGATCAGATCTGTGGAGAGAATTTTCAAGTAGTAGACGATAGATAAGTTTGATTCCTTAGTGTGGAACATTCCAATAAAAGGGATAACAAAAATGTCTCAAAATGTTACACAGTAAAGTTAGTAGAAGACAAATCTAATCTGTCAGTTCTTTTCACAAAATTAAAAAGGGCACTTCACTTTCCCAGAACTGCAACTTCATATAGTTTTTTCTTTTGTGTTAGCTGAGAGGATATATTTCTTAATACTTACTACTGAATAATACAGTGAACCATGTAGCAGGAAGTGGTGAGCTGTACTAACATGAAGTTATGGCACAACCCACAACACTACTGCTTTTTGAGCATCACATTTAGTTTACTTTCAAGTAAGATTAACAAATACAAATGAAAACAGTGGACAACTTAAATGGGATTTAGGGCTTTGTTTCAAAACTGGGTGCCAGTCTGAACAGAAAAGCATTGTGCCTACTGAGAGGAGCTTAGCAATGATTTCCTGTGACTCAGACAGAAAGTGCTTAAGAGACAGAAGCTGTTCCTGTAATCTGAATTAGACGTCTGTTTATTTTAAAGCTTTAAAGTCTAAATAAAAAGTAAACTCCTACAATCGGACACAGTTAAATTGGGAGTGCAGTTTCAGTAGTATTTTGTGTAATATATATGTTTTTAATATCTTTTTTGCAATTGATAATCAATGTATTTAGCAGCTTTACAAGATTAAGTAAAGGAATAACTGTTCGCGTGATACCCATGAAATGATTTTGCATAATATAGTCACATTTCAATAGATTTTTAAAATAATTTTGCCTCATGTAGCATCAGTCCCTGTGTCAATTATAACCCTCGATTTATGTTGCCTTCATATTGTGAATAGTTTTTTTTAACAAAATATTAATTTAATATACCCAAGTTTGATCAATTTCCATTTTACTTCTGCCCTATGTCATGTGTGCATTGCAGTTAGTTTGTTCATTGTCATTTTCCTGTATGGGCTGCTCTGTGACTGGCAGATGGGTAGGCTGCAGTGTGCCAAGCCAAGCGCATGTTCACTCATAACACTGCAGTCATTTAATCAGGCTCTACAGACACCATCCAGACACCATTAGTTTAGTGGTTTGACAGTAGTTTCAAGGATTAGTGCTTCCTATTTGGGAATTATTAAAATCATGCTTTTTGTTGCCTGCCTGTAAATATATATTTATATCTATTGGTTTCTACATTTTTATTTATTTTTTTGGCATATTCCCAGATCATATGCTTTTCATATAAATATATACCACATAGGAAGTGTTTATCAAAAATGAAATGGATATATATATATATATATATATATATATATATATATATATATATATATATATATATATATATATATATAATTTTTATTCACTTATCTATCTACTGATGCTGATAATTTGGTGACATTTTATAATTTTATAATTAATAACCTCATCTCATTTTATAATCTCATCTCCACAGACGATGTTGTGGACACAGAGGAGGATAAATCGACCCACAGCCTACAGGAAGAGGACAGCGACTGCCCCCGAGACTCAGGTTGCTTCATCCCATCTGAATGCTCCGACACCAAAGACGATACTGAAGGGCTCACGGAGGCAGTGAGCTCATGAGGACTCAAAACTGATTTGTTTACAAGGAAAACTGAATACTTTGAATACCACCGAATAACATGACAGAAGGAAGCAAGTGGCCCAAACCGCACACAAGATTTGGTAGAACTGTCATGTTTGTGAATTTAAAAAATGCTACTGATTGGAATCAATTGTACATTATAATTTTTTATTTTACATGTGTATTTATCTGTATAAATCCATGTTTCTTATATATTATATATAATTTATCATACTTACATAACATGTCGCCCATTTATCACTGATTATTTGTTAATATTTCTTTGTGAATTTCCTTTTCGCTAACTATCATATTAATATTGGGTGTAAATATCTTTATAAAAATACGAATGTTATTTTTTTTAAGTCTGTGAACCAGATGTGTGTGTATCATTTTCTGTACATTTTGTAATTAACCTACAAAATAAAATAAATTATAATGCAATAATTATGTTTATTGCTTCTGTGGGAAATATTATGTGTTGGTCATGCTAATTCACCCAATATTATGGACTTTGGAATGACAACACGGTGGAAAACACGTATGACTATCTATAGGTCTATATAACATGTTTTTTCTGTACTTTGAGTGCCATAAAGAACATGTTTTTCTGTACTTTGAGTGCCACGAAGCAGAAAAACTGACATATGTGGACCCAGTGGCATGTTCCCACCCATGATAAGGTGTACTGGGTCAGCAGTATTGTTCATTTTCTTGCTGTATATGCTAAATCAACAAGTTAATGTTTTGTCAAGATGTAGTATAAAGCTACCCCTGATTTTGAGTTGGTCAGAGACGTCGTTCCGGGGTGGCAGTTGTACTTGGTAATCAACTTGAATCTCTCTCAATGGAAATGCTGAAATAAAGTGGCCTGTTCTCTCGGATTCTCCATCTCTCGTGCTTCTTTTTAGGACACGCATTGAACCTTCCGAAAAAACCCACACTTCTGTTCAATCCAAATCTAATAGTAGTAGTGTATGGACCGAATGCCTAGTAATGTTATCAGACTCGAGCGGCAGAAGCTGGCGACGGGTTGGCGAAGGGCCTATTAGTATCTCCAACATAGATCCATGATCTCAAAGAGATGCGATGCTAAGAGTGGCCAGGAAGTGAATTGACGTGAAGCCATGATGTTCGAATGCGACAGAGGTTTCCGAAAATTTATAATTTAAGACAAAAGTGGAACATTGTTCTCCTAACCAACCCACCCATTTGTCACCTAGTGAACAGTGGCGAAAACTCAGGAAAATTTGCCCCAATAATAAAATTCGTGGTTCTCTCATTTTTGGCTATTTCCAATTTCCAACCCCCACACAAGAAAAAATTGCATTAGGGCCTGGCCACACTGCACGTGCCAGCATTTATATGCTTAATTTCGAGAAACCACAGTCGGACGCCAGTGCAAAAGGCGGTCACACCGGCAGCACCAGCAGTACGTATGCGCGTGGCACGGGCTCTATGGAGGAGCACGTCATGAGTGCGTACATTTCAGAAAATACAGGATCCAACCTATTTGTTGAAACTCTACGTGAGTGTAGGCACGCGTGCTTACGCTCAATAGATGCATGCTTTCAAAATACATAGAGAGCATGCATCTATTGTTGTATTTGTGCATTTATCATGAGCACAATGTAGTGTATTTCTGGGGCAGAAAGACTGTTAATTAGTGCTTTGAAATGTATATTTGAAATCCTCACTTTTGCCGTGATCAGCTGTTAGTTTCACTGTAGAACTGTGCAAGTGGCAAGTCGCCCAGTCAACTTTGGCAGCATCAATGGAGATAAGTTAACTAAAGTCAAGACAATGGCGAAAACAAGGAGCAATGCATCCAAGGCAGAGTTCTGTACCGGGTCGGGTGAGAGGGGTCTGGATGCAGACACATGGGGAAAGTGGAGCTCCACTCCAGACCGGAAACACGTGACCTCCACCGGATACACGTCATATCTACGATAAACTTTTATTTTTTATTCGTATTAGCCATTTTAGCCGTGTCCCAATTCAAGGGCGGCAGCTTTCGAAGGCTGTGAAGGCTGTAGCCCTCACCGTAGCTGAAATGTGACCGGTATAGCCCACGGAGCCGCCCCGTCGCCTAGCAACCGAGACACTTTGCTAATGCTAATGCTAACAAAACGTACCAAGCAGATTACGCACAGGTAATCAAACTGTTGGAATTTCAGACCAAGTTATTCTAATAATTCTCATCCAAATCTTATTGCTAAAAACGAAAACTTATGTTTAATATTTATATATATATATATATATATATATATATATATATATATATATATATATATATATATATATATATATATATATATATATATTTCTGGGATACATCTAAAATAGACTAAATTACCTTAAAGTTTCAAAAACTGATGAGATTATTAATTATTAATAAAGTATTCTTAAATTGATAAAGGATTACATTTATACCGGGGATGTATTTAAGTGAGTTTATGAAGAAAGACATCACTCCTTTGAGAAAAGATGGTTTATTAAACAATCAAAGGATTGTAAATACTGTAAATATATATAATGTGAATAGTCAAACATTAAACCCATTACACACACACACGCACACACACATACTGCATTAATAGGTGAGTACAAATAGCTGTATGTCAGTGTACTCTCAAAGAGTTGTTCCCATTTTGCTGAAGCAGAAAAAAAATAAAAAAATATGGAATGAATAAGAACTGTGGAGGAATTCAGATTTGGACCCATTCCAGAGAGATTATACACACAGAAGTGCAACAATTTCAGTACCAAATGCGCTATTAAGTCAAAGCATTAAATATTAAAACAGGACCGAACAGAAGTGGAGAATCCCAAACACAAACTGCACCAGGGAAACCAGAGAGGAAACCAAACAACAAAAGATAGGATTCTAAAGTAATTAATACAAAGAAACTTTTTTTTATGGAATTTGTGCACAAAAGTGAAATCTTTCTAACACCTCACTCATGTAATGTTGATGGGAGCCCAAAGGAAGTAAAAACCAAAGAAAATGGAACCAAATGGAGAAACCCACATCTTTTAAAAAACAGATCATTTGGAATAATCTTAAGGTACAGTATATTTTAGTAATCCTTTTTGAGGGAATTTTGTCCTCTGCATTTGATACATTCATCAGGAGCAATGAACTACTGCCATACACCTGTGCAGAAAGGAACCTTCTTACTGTGAGTGAGTGCTCAGCCACTCATCTTCACTTGAGCTTTGTTCCAAGGGTTGAGGCCCTTGTGTTCTGTCACTTTTTTGTGGTCTGAATGTAATAGTTCTGACCCTTTGATGTTGCATTTGTGACCGATATAAGCTTACAGGGATCTCTTCTTGCTGCAGGTTTCACTGGTTTTATTGGTCTGTTTATGCAGACTTTAACTCAGGTAGGTGACATTTCTGTGTGAATCATCATCTCAAAACAAGGCCTGAATATGCTGAGGATTTTATGTTTACAGTCTAAGGCTTTAGTTTTAGGCCTAAACTGGTCCGAAAGCAGGCCATATTCTAAATGTTGGTGCACTTTTATGGAGACTGCTGGTCTCTTTTGGTCTGATCTGGTCTAAATGTGGGCCAGATTAAATGTTATAATTATAAAATTATATACCATAATTTCCACAGGCTGCATTTGGGCTTTGGCCCTTCTGTGTTTTTGTTGTGTGCTTCGACTGGTCTAAATATGGGCCAGATTTAAACAGGCTGGTAAAACATGTTATGGTTGGGTGAAACTGAAATTACTTGTTGTAAACTAACCCTTCAACAGTTTCATTTGGAGTTAAAAAGGTCTGAAAACTGACTTGATCTTTGGATTGTGTGTATGTTTTACATTTGGTTTGGTCTGAACTGGTCTAAACGTGGGCCAGATTTGGACTGCTTTATAGAGTGTGATGGCTCTGGTTCTAACCATTACACTAAACTGAAAGTCTAGTTGTAGTATCCTAATCCAACTCTTCCATAGGTTTGCACAGGGTCTGTTCATTTTAACCAGTTTGAAATACATTGACATTTCTGTTTAAACACTGTATTAACTTTACAGTGCTAAAGGTTAAATCTCATGTTAATATTGCCATTGTGTATGTTGTAAAAATTTTTGGGGGTTTCTTGTGAAATGACAATTCTAACTAGGGATGGGCATGATTAGTCGATTATCGATAATTGATCATTAAGAATTTCATCGATTACGTTCATTTTAATCGACAAACCAAATGTAGGCTGCTGTGCGTAGCGTGACCAAACAGGGCTCCGTACATGTAGCTCTCTGCACTCAGAAGGAGCGAGACACAAACAGAAACAGTCGGTCAGTCTGCAACGCACTGAAGCACAAATGCGTATTTAACATGATTTGTACAAGAAATTCTACGCGTTCCGTTGCGTTCGGGACAAGTGGGAGGCCATGCGCACAGTGTATGAAGCAGCACATATGTTTCGGTGTCCAGTGGGAAAACGTTTTGCCAGGTGAGAGTCGCGCAACATCGATGACAAGTCCCCACCTCCTACCCCCCGTACGGTGTCCTGGATTTGACAAACGCAAATATGGTCACACTAACCTGTATTACACTGAGTCATGTCTTTTAATCCGACAGAAATTGACCGCATCAGTGCACAAGAGCTGTAGTTTTGTCTTTGCTTAGTTTATGCAAATTAGCGATGCGGTTTTAAGTTTCGTTTCTGTGAGAGTTGCGCAAAACTGCATTAAACACATTATAATGTCAAACGGATTGATGTGGCTCAAAAGTCGTTACGGTTTATATGTCGTAAAGTTGAATTTATTTATGCAGATTAGTAGTGCAGATAGTAATAAAAATGATGATCATTTTAATATAAAAACTTTAATGATTAATCGATAATCGATCGTTAATTCTTCCGACGATCGATTAAGAAAATTTCATCGAATGCCCATCCCTAATTCTAACCCAAACTCTTCTGACTCCTCTCATTGTAGATCTACACTGTTTTACTTAACTTTTTAACTTGTCTTCACAGGTCCAAAGGCTGCTGTTTATGGTGAGTATGTCTGCATGTGCTTACTAACACACGAAGTCTATACAAGCATGGGCGGTGGGTCTAATCCAGCCACAGAGGACGCTATGTGTGTCCCTCTGTGCCAGTCCCCAGCCTGGATAAATGGAGAGGGTTGCTTCGGCATAAAACCTGCCTTTTTTATCCTGAACTTAAAGTGAACGTAAAGGGATAATTGAACTATTGTGTAATTTTAGACACACCCTTTTTTCACAGTATGGTTGCAAGGTAAAAGTTATGAAATTGGCTCTGTATCTAACAAAGTACTCCACATAGCCCAGTGCATTGGTGTCATCTGCTGGAGAAGGAATACAAGAACCAGACCTCCGGATTTACAATATTCAAACACAGAACAAACAGAAATCTCCAGTTACAAAATACATTGCATCCAGGTGTCCTTTTTTGATAACTGACCAAATTTGTGATTTATTGAAATTTCAGATAAATTTAAATTGCCTCTGATTTCACTTTTGAGTCACATTCCCTTATTTTTAAATAAGTTGAAAACAACAGAATGAAGGTTTTCTTTAGTCCCACTTGATTGTTTTATGGGATAGGCTATTTAAGAGTTGTTTTTTTTTCCTGAAAAATTTTAAACCTGTCCTACTCTGGTCAGCTGACCCAGACACCGTTGCTATGGTAATTGGTAGCTTGTCTCGTTTTCAGGTTTTGTTAAACGTGTTGTGATATTCAGATAATAATCTTTTTAGCTTTTTAATACTCATTTTTAGCTGAGGTTTGTACTTTTGTCTCATGAGATCTTAGTTATTGTCTGTGAGCCCAGGCTCGTTGTCCGCAGATGGGCCAAAAGCAGAAAGACAAGAGGCCGAGAAAGAAGCGGAACTTTCACCCGAAGCACCGCAGTGGAGCTACAAGACACAGGTATAAGTACATGGTACAAACACAACCAGAGCATCGTCCTCCATCTATGGAAGGGTATGATCTTATTGCAGATCCATGCCTCCATAATGTTTATCAGATTATTAGACTCATACGCAGCTGTACTCAGGTTATTCTCGGTTCTGCACAAGTTTTATTACCCAATGTTTTGTAGTTTCTATTAAGTTAGTGGTGTCACAGGAGCAGCTCTGTTGCCTCAGGGTAAAGTGAACCTCTTAAAAGTATGTTTGTATTCAACTCTGCCCACATTGCATGTCGCTTACACAAAATTTATGGAATTTTGCATCTATACAAATGACTCAAATTTTCGCATATAAACTCCGATTTCAGTGAAAATTTACGTTTTCGGAGCGGGGCGTAGCGAGGGCCGATCATTGCCGCTTGCGGCTATATTTAATTATTACGCTCTTTTCACAAATTTATTCTAACCATATGTCCCAGTTTTTAATTTTGAATATCTGATCACCCTATATTAATAGTAGTAATAGTAGTAGAATATAATCATATTAATAGTAGTAATATTTTATTAATAGCGGAATAATAGGCTAGTAATAGTAGAATATAAACAATAAACAGCGCGTTATACTTCAATTGGTTGATAATTCAGGCATGGCGCAGAGAATTTCTGTATGCGATACACCGCAAGCGTTCATGGGAATTGAAGTAAAATTGGAAAGGCTAGGCACATTCGTGTTGGAAAAGCAAGCCTACTTTTACTACATTACCCAGAATGCACCGCAGCGCATGTAACGTTGACGTGTAGTTTATTGGTGGTCAGAAAAGTCTCATTTGCTTCATCTTACATCCTGGTACGAACTTTACGGCAAATATATTGATAAACTGTACATGTTAGCGTCAGTCCTCTTGAGGATAACGTAGTGCGATGGCGGGTGAAATATCTATGATCGGTAAGTGCCAGAAACGTCTCTTTCTCTCTCATGTTGATGTATTTAGCTTCGCAATGCTAGCCGGTTTGATTATGGTTTGATTCACCTGCGTATTTTATCACAGGTTCCGTAATACTGGCGCTGTTTCTGGCTGGTTACTTGGGCCAGCAGTACTTACCACCTCCTAAACCCAAAGTGATCGGCTTGGACCTGGGTACTACCTTCTGCTCCGTAGGCGTTTTTCACCCGGGCAGTGGAGAGGTGGAGGTGATCGCGGATGAAGAGGGCAGAAAGAGCATCCCCAGCGCGGTCTCCTTCACGACCACCGCGGTGCTGGCGGGACACGAGGCTGTAGACCTGGCAGACAGCAACCCACAAAACACGATATACGACGCGAAGAGGTTTATAGGGAAAATATTTGAGTCTGAAGTCTTGGAGAGGGAAAGCGCCCGGTATCCTTTTAAGGTAAGACTGTTTTACATCATGGGGAAATTACCAGACAGGAGTGTGCGAAAGGCGGTTTAACTTGATTTTGTTGTGTGACAGTAATATTACAACGGTCTACTGCAAGCAACACTGCCAAAGTAACCTCTTGAAATACAGTGTCATTTATTAACCATGAGCAAGGCTTGTACCATTGCTAGACCATATGGTTGCTCAATTCAAATAGTTAAGAAACTCAGTATGTTCTGGAGAGGTTAGACCTGTCATGATACAAATTTTTAAATATGATATATTGATTAAGTAAATACTGACGATAAACTATAATATTAACACTGACACTAATTTATGCCACTGACACAATAACCCAAGAGCAAATTTAAACCACAAAAAACTTTTAAATACTTTAAAAAATCATCAACTGCAATAAATAATTAGCCAAATGAAACACTATAGTTGTTTGGATCAGTAATGAGTCATAGAAGTTTATAAATTAATTCAACCCTTTTTATGACTTAAATCTTATCATATAGCTAAATAATAACCAAAAATGTCCCAGTCGTGCAAAGAAAATGTACACAAGATAAATATTCACCCCAATTAAATATTGTTCCAACTGAGTTGATATAGTGATTGAGTTATTGGGACAGGTAGGGAGAGGTCAAAATGTTATTGCTATTGCAAACAATTTTGTGTAACACTTCCAGTAATTTTATATTGTATATAATATTCAACGTACCACTTTACTTGATTGTTGAGAATATTATTGCAATTAAATTTCATTAGAATGTATGATGTAATGTGGTCTGTGCAGATTCGCTGATTGAAGTGTTTGCTATACAGTTGCTATACAGTTGTTGATCCTTAACTATGCAAATTTTGCTCATTTGTTAATAATAATGATTCTGATTTGTCCTCAGGTGATAAATAACAATGGCAGTGCTGAGTTCGAGATCTCCACTAACCACACGTTCACTGTGAGCCCGGAGTTCATCGGCTCGAGGCTGCTGCTCAAGATGAAGAAGATGGCAGAGCGACAGTTGGGTGTCCCCATCCAGAAAGCAGTTATATCTGTACCTGCGGAGTTTGATGAACGCCAGAGGAATTACACCATCAGAGCTGCTAACCTCGCTGGTCAGTCCCTTTTATAATGTAGCAGGCTGCAAAGGAGATTAAAACGTGCAGTGTACCAGCTTTGGGGGCTGAAAGAGTGATATGAGTCATGATAGGCCAGCATAGGGTGCTCCTGGACTATTTCCTAATGATATTTAAAATGTCTAGGCTATTACTACTACTTCTGCCTCACAATTACTAGAGATGTTTGGATCTGGAAATCTCAAGCATTCCTCTATCTGTATTTTTCCAGTTGTGTGACTGTGTTGCAATCCAAATTGAATTACATTGTTTGCCTTCCTGGGGATGTCCCACCAGACGGAGGCCCCAGGGACGACCCAGGACACGCTGGAGGGACTACGTCTCTCAGCTGGCCTGGGAACGCCTTGGGATCCCTCCGGAAGAGCTGAATGAAGTGTGTGTGCGGAGGGAAGTCTGAGTCTCCCTGCTCAGACTGCTGCCTCCGCAACCCGGCTCTGGATAAAGTGGAAGAAAATGGATGGATGTTTGTGTCCTCAAGTTATATATGCTGATTTAACATACCCTTTTAAATTGTATTACTACTTTTATTTTTACAGGTTTGGAGATCTTGCGAGTAATAAATGAACCAACTGCAGCTGCCATGGCGTACGGTCTGCATAAGGTGGATGTATTCAATGTTTTGGTGGTGGACCTGGGGGGTGGGACTCTAGACGTGTCTCTGCTCAACAAACAGGGGGGCATGTTCCTCACCAGAGCCATGGCCGGAAACAACAAACTGGGAGGTCAGGACTTCAGCCAACGCCTGCTTCAGTTTACAAAAGACCGTGTTACACAAGAGTTTGGTGTCACCCCTGCCCTTAAAGAAGATATTCACCATCTGCGCCAGGCTGTGGAAGCTGCTAAACTCAACCTCACTGTCTTTCCAACAACTACTATCAGTGTACCACTTCACCTTCAAATCCAGGCTAGCTCTGCCCCTCCTAAAAAGGTTGTGTTTAATGCCGAAATAACTCGCAGACAATTTGAAGAGCTCAACGAGGACCTTTTCCAGAAAATCTTAACTCCCATTGAGACTGTTTTAGCTGAAGGACATTTGGAAAAAGAGGAAGTAGATGAGATTGTCCTGGTTGGAGGTTCGACCAGGATACCGCGCATCAGGAAAATTATTACAAAGTTTTTTGGGAAGGAACCCAATACATCGGTAGACCCAGACTTGGCTGTGGTCACTGGTGTAGCCATTCAAGCAGGGATAATGGGTGGATCCTGGCCTTTACAAGTGAGTGCTTTAGAGATCCCTAATAGACACTTACGCAAAACGAACTTGAACTGATTGATTTTTATTATTCAGAACTTGCATTCAATACTGTTAATGCTTCTCTAATATTTAATACTGGAGCCCCATTTGCACAGCATCACCAGGATCCTCTGGATTTCTGAAGAAAGGGAAGTTATTAAGCTCAATACTGCCAGGGGTATAATGTCTAATGTGAAAGAGAAATATAGTTGTTTATCTGGAAGACCAACCAACCAACCACCTTTTTAAAGAAACAAGTACATCTATATGTATTTATTTTATTAATTTATTTTGTTTACCATATGATTGTGAGAGCGAATGTGCCTTTTTCAAAAGAGAGCTACTTTTACATGTCCAATTAAGCCAAAATTATTCATACTGTAATGTAAAAAATTAGCTTTTGTCTATTATAAACACATGACAAAGTGGTTAGTGTCAATTATTTTAATATTTAATAACAAGCTTTTTTGTGTGGACACACATTTGTGAATTTTGGACCATTTTTTTTTACTTTTTTGCATTTCCTTGACAGTCAACTACTGTTCATGCAGAGAGGCTGTAATGGCCATTATTTTTCATTTCCAGTGCAATATGAAATAGAAAAAATAGTGTCAAATGAGATCCTTATTGAAAAGTCGGTACTTTAGAATTTATGCTACCAGTCTGGACACAACCTCAAATGTATGAAGTCTGTATAAAAAATGAAAAAAATTGTAAAAATAAAGAAAGAAAAAACATTGAATGAAAAGATATGTCCAAACCTTTGACTGGTAGTGTACATTTTCCAATAGAGACTGAAGAGGAGAGAGTTGCACTTTGAGGACTTCCATCTGTTGACCGGCTCAACCTCATTGTTACTTTAGTTTTTCCATCAAAGCTTTGTGCTTGTCCTGCTGTAGATGGGCAGGTCAACTGTGGTTGTCCAACTGCAGGACCAAAGGCTTATAGTGCCTTGTGTGTTTTTTACAAATGTATGAACTGCTATTTTTTTGCATACACTTTGTCTGGTTTGTCAAATACAGATTAATGAAATATGAAGTATACTGTACTGTTAGCAAATGTAAATTTAAATTGAGCAGTTTATTTAGTTTGTTAAAAATACTTGCTATTTTTATTTTACTTGCTATGTAATTTCTTTAAACCTTGGAATTAAAAAGCTTTGATATAACTGAATTGTTTAGTATTTACTTGTGGCACAGTTTACATATCTGTAGTTTCTTGTTTGCATAAACAAATAACTTATCACCATCTTAGAATACATTCCATTGTTGTGTAAGGAATGACTAGACTTAATTTTATCAATGACACAGTTTATTACTGTCATATTGTTCATTGGTCACGCAATTCAACTTTACAATAACACTCAACGGCACTGCAGCCAAGCTTAAAAATACATTCCCACCAAAAATACATCGAACATATTAAAAAACTCAAACATTCACATTAAACATAAAATACTATTAAGGCTCATTTATGCTCCACTGCCGTGTGTAAACAGATCCGTGCTGCCTTTATACTTCCAAACGTTTGTAATGTCGAGGCTGCATTCTCTTAAACAGCCATCAGAGGGCGCTAAGTCAGTTTGACAATTGAACAAAACGAATTAAATAGAGCAACAAATAAACAAACATGGAGGTGCCCAGGCAGTTTTTGGCATCTGTTGGAAAAAAGGTAAGACAATTAAGTCAGAGAAGAATTTATCTGTTTTGCAGCTGGTTGTAGTCACCTTTGAAAAAACTAGCTTCCTCTGTCGAGCTGTGTTCACTACTGCCCCCAGCGGTTAGCGCATGTACAGCTCCGTGACTAAAATTTCACATGTTCTGAGGAGACGGGCCAGATTACAGACAGAACAACGCAGAGGACATACAGAAGAAGTCTCTATGCGTTTAGAAAGTAGAGCATAGATGAGCCCTAACTCATCATCTATCGTGTTACAGTCTTTGAACAGCTCACATTTAGATATGCTCATTACTGTTATTCACATGCACTGATCATCAGTAATTATCTTACATTGACGGTATTTACCTGAAGAGGAAGGCAGGGCTTCTGTAAACAGCTTAGTTTAATTTTAAATATTTATGTCAGTAATAATAATAGTAGTCTCAAGAGCAAGAACAGTTTATGTCATGCTGTAAAGTCAGAAATATAGTGAGGATCTCCAAGGCAGTGCTTCAATAGAAAACAACAGATATCAATGTTAAGCAAACATAAAACCAAGCATCAAGTAGCAACAAAATATTTGGTGAATTGAATCAATAAAAGTGCTAGTGTTTTCAGTTATGCGCAAAACATGTTACACAATGTACAGGGAGCTACAGTGTCCTTGTCATTGGCCGATCCCCTGATTGGTGTAGTAGTTGTAGCCATTGTTGGTATACAGCTCCTCAGCACTGGTCACACCATTCTCCACCTCTAGAGGGCAACACAGAAGAGGATATGCAGTCAATACTAGGACAGTTTTACATGAAAAAGCAAAAAAAAATAATTGCAATTACTTCATCAAGGACTAACATGACTGCAACGATTCCTCAGTAGCCATATTTGTAAATGGCGTCTACATGGAATGTATGCTCAATTTCAAAAGTAACCTTAATTCAAATGCTTAACTTGTGTATAGGAAGTCTATTTTTTAAATGATCACTGAAGTGTAGGCTGAATATCCTTAAAGAAAAAAAACAAAACAAATTTTTTTTTTTTTTTTACATTTGCAGTACAGGCTACTACTAATTTATTACACTGGCTAACTTCTTGTCCTGTAAAACTGAAAATCTACTTCATTGCTTCTTACCTTTCCCCCTTCAGGACTAACACAAGTCCATTTTGGGGTTATCTTAGACTCCCCTACACTTGAAGATATCTTGAGCAGAGCAAATGGAGGGGAGATGGAGACAGGGCGAGGGGTGGATGGGGGCATAAAGTTTAGGGGGCAGTGGTTGTGATGGAGGTGAATGGGGTAAAAGGCAGAGGCGATGCTGGTGGAGATGAGGAGGTGAGGAGGCACACAGCTACAACACGGCATGACCTTTGACACAGGAAACAGGAAGTGGACAAGGAAGCAGACATTGGTGGGCACTCAAGAGATACATGCTCAGACCATGGCTGTATTAAAAGAACTCAGAAAAGAGCCAGTCAGTCAACAGTGGTTCTCAAAAATGTTGCTCAAACAGCCTTGTATTTTGTTTTATATTTATACTGTGTTTTTGTTTTATATTAATGAAATGGGACTGAAACAGGAGCACCCCAACTATAAACTAAGAAGGAATGACCCTTAAAAATGTATTACCAAAAAATAATAAATAATCTTTTGCTACTATATCAAGACTAAACAAAACCAGGACTAAACTGGGATCAAAACAAGACTAACCTTAAGTAAAAACAGGACAGTTATTCAAGTCTACGAGCCAGGGCTAAACCAAAACAAAACTAGTATTTCCCCAGGATGAAACTGGAAACTAAGTCAGGATTAAACCCAAGATAATAGCAGGACATAACAGATTATAAACTATATATAAAATGAAACAGGACTAAGATTGGTAAACCAAGACAAAAGTGGATAGTGAGGTCTAGACTAAGGAATGCTATACAGCCACTTCAAATTAATGATAATTAATGATGACCAGAACAACTTTTATTTTGAGAACCAACTTGTGTTAAAGATTAAATGAGCACATCACAAGAGGTAAACTGTAGAATAAAAGTGACCTACCAGAGAAGATGAGTTTTTCCTTCATCACATTGACTTCATGGCTCGTCCTCCTCACTGCAGCAGCACTCAGCATGATCTGCTCAGGGTTATAGCTGTGAATGCCACTGGAGCGATACCTGCAGGATTAAATAGGACACATCAGATAAAGGACGGTATGGGGAGGTGATTGGACATGTTTGACCAGGTTGCTTTAGGTCAAGAACAGATGTATCTCAATAGATTTTTTATTGGTGAGAATGAGAGATGACTAATCAATTCCTCAGCATGGCAAAACTCAGCACTGTAACACCACACTCTTATAAGATATGATAATATGATAATTATTGTGATATTGTGGAGATGCTAATAGAAGAGAAGAAATGCAATTTTTTCCTCTTATTTGGCCTGGAGGAGGGTTTCCTACTGCTTGTTTCCATGGAAATGTTGTTCCTTTGACTATATAATATTCCAGCATGCCATAACTTATTTTTAACTATTTCTAAGAAATGATGCAGTTGACCTTCCACCTCCAGAAAGTTACACACTATCACTTTGCTCTGCTCAATTCAATCACCCACAGTTCTTCTCAGGTTGTAAACACAAGGGGAAGGGGCATAAGGAAAGTGAATGAAGTGAAATGGAATTTAGTGGAGGAACATGTCTAGACAGTGAGTTTTATAATGCAATTTTAAAATGCATTACTTCGCCATGGCTTTGAGTGGGAAAATGGGAGAGTAAAATAATGCGAAGGGATGTTAAGACTGAATGACATTATGAATTAAAGAATGCATCTGAAAGGACAGACTGATGGACAATGCTGTGTGTGAGAAGATGTTGGGTAGGGTAGATGTAAAGATGAAAGGATCAGTGGGACAGTTTTTGTTTGTTTTTTTGTTTGTTTTTTGTTTGAATATCACCAGTCTCATAGCATAACTTGCCACGTAATTTTGTTGCTAAATTCAGAACTCTCCAGACCCTGCTGTAAGTGTAACTAGGTCTATCCTTGTCCAATTAGAAAAATTTTTACAGCCAAAAACTCCCCTCAAACCTCCCTAATCATATTATTGTTTATTTTTGTATTTTCTCGAAAACCTTGAAAATGTCACAGCAATTATGCAATGAGGCTACTGATACAGTAAACTGTATAAAGTGGACTAAGGGAGTATGATGTCACCCATAGCGTTTGGCTCCAGTCAAATGAAGCTCAAGTGACTTTGGAGCCAGGTCCATATTAGAAATAGCAATTTATTTACAGAGAACATGGCTAAATAAAATACCATGATCATGTACAGTGCATTACTATTTTAAGAACAAAAATGATAAAGCTCATTATAGCAGTTACAGAGAGAGAAGTGTGACAATTTCTCAATGTAAAGTCAATAGGAAGCGCCCCCATGTTCACTTCCTATTTGGAACACGACAGCTATTGGGTTAACTATGTCCATTTATATATACAGTCTATGATTGATAGTATATAAGTGTTGATTCGGTTAATATAATGAATTTGAATAATTTAGAGAAAAGAATGAAAGAGACAGGGGAATACGCAACAAAGGACAAAAATATACAGTAAAATAAAGATTTCGGAGGGAGTTAAAGGTGAGGGACCCATTACCTGATTGTGTGATAGCTGAGAGGCCAGAGTGCAGCCGAGAGGGGCATGCACATCAGGCAGAGCAGAGAAGAACATAAGCAGGACAAAAACAGAGCAGGAGACAAGAGACAGAGTCAGTTCAGACGCAGTGCAAAGTTAAAGGGACAACAACACTTTACACACTTCTGTATAAAGTTTATCATAATTTTGGCCAATAAATTAAAGGATAATAGAAATAAACTTAGCAGGTAGATTGCAGTTTTCACTTGATCTGCAGTGAAAGCTTGGTTTAAATTAATCAGAAAGGAACACAGTCTACTTGAGATGTGTTCTAGGGAACAGGACGGAGATACTGATGGGTACAAAAAGACTTGTACTTTGTTAAGGTCTCAGAGTGTGAAGTAAGATATGGTCAAATTTGCTGCCAAAAATGAAAGCAATTTGACCCCCAAAATCGTGAATATTTCTTTAAAGGTCTTATATTACGCAAAATTGTTTCTTGTGAGCTTTAAGTCATGTTAGAATGCTGTCACCTCATCAAAAACATATCTGGAGATTGTTTCATTCACACATGTTTGAGCAATCCTTCATTATTAGTCTGTCTACATCTCTAAAGCTCAAAATGCTCTGTTCCATGTGATGTCATGTAGTGGTAGTTTTTAAGTTAACAGTGATCTTTTACCTTTAGTTCAATAGAGATAGGTAATTACAAGACTAAAATTACACAAATTATCCTAATGAAGGTGTATGGATTTTAAAACACAGTGGGGCAGTCGAGTGTTTTCTCTTTTCTGTGAGAGAAGAACTCATTAGGCAAGGCCTGTGTGTTAAGCATGTGTAAGTGAAAAAAAAAAAAACTCAACTCCTGACATGTTTTTGATGAGGAAACAACATTATAACATAGATCAGAAAATAGCGTACTATGGACCCTTTAACATCTGCAAATGCTAGCACAAACATCAATGTCCTTTTCTAAGAAAAAAGTACTTTATTATCTCTTGTGACTTGTGAGAGTTACAATTATCTGTACAATTGTCCCTTAGTCATTCAGGCATGTTCGGTGACCATTTTTTTTAAACTGAAGTTGCCAACTGCAAACTAAAAATCTTCATCGTCATCTTTCCTTCTTAGATATTCTTGAATGAGTGCAAACTGTTCAATTAAATGTTTACGCTGACTTGTGCAATCAAGTGCAATATAAAATTTGTATTATAAAGAAACCATTGGACTGTACTTACTTCTGGAATATGAATATTGCTATGACTACAGCAAAAGAGACCAGCTCCACTGACACCCACAGCACACAGTACTCATCAGGTTTCTGCAAATACACAAATCCCTACGGTAAAACAGGTCTTTGTCCACTAGAGGGTGCAAGAGATTAAGTAACTATACACCACATCAATTAAATATGTGGTCAACTCTGCTACTTATAGACACTTAATAGCATGTGCACTGTGACTATGTATGTTTAAAACCACATATGTTTATATTTGGGACACTTACCATGAGCCAGATGGGGTAAGGCACCTTATTGAGAATATGCGGAGCTTCAGAAGAGACAGAGGATACCCCACTGCACCAGAGCACTGAGTACAGCCAGGGCTCATTTACAGTGTAAAGAGTAAGGTTGATGTTGTTTTGAGAAAAGTCTCTGCAAACACATAACATGGATCTTTATCATTTATATTGTACTATGTTACATAGTCAGTGTTGCAACATCATTATTATATCTGGCAAATCATGCTAAAGCTAGTCTAAATAACACAAACCAGAAATGTGTCTACTAGTTGGAACTGTGCTGCAATCAAACTTTAACTAATAATCACAGACTGTATAAATGGAAATAGCTAGCCCACTAGCTGCCTCTTTCCAAATAGGAAGTGAACACGGGGGCACTTCCGGCTCTATCGAGTCTGTTTCCAATTCTGTTCATGTTCATATTAACCCACTGTACCTGACCCTGGTGTTTTTATTTCACCATTGGCCGTAAATAAATTCCTATTCCTAGTATGAAACACGGCTCCAATTTGGCCCCCTTTTTTCTGATTTGGGTGTAATGAATTTGCAATCTACTGATCAGCCTAGTTGGTAGAACAGTTTTACCTAATTTCCTGTGTGGTGGCTTGATTGTACCGGAGCAGAACCGCACTGATCCCCTCTCTCTGAAGTGGCGCTGGAGTCTCAGGTTTGACCAAAGAGGTCTGGATCAGGCCAGGTGCCAGCTTTCTCACCTCTGCTCTGTCCTCTTCAGGAGTCCAAAACACCTTATGAGTCAAACAACTCATTTAAGCAATATTTTGTTTATAGGTAACATTTTGAGGACTTTTGACCACTGATCAGATAGAAACTCCAATGGCAACTACAATACTGTATTTTAAAGCTGTCATGAATGGCATTTAAAAAATTGAAACTTCAGAAAAATTGATGTTAACAGAAGATAAAAGGATGCATTAAGACGCATTCAAGCAAGAAAGAAAAAAAAAAAGTTTGGTCCATTTAGGTTTTCAGTTTAATTTCAGCATAATGATAAATTAATTATATTCGTGGATAATCATTCAGTGATTGAATATTAATCCATGTTTGAATGCAATGATTTTTTTAAGGTGTGTAAATGTGTTTAAGTCATACATGGCTATAATGTTCAGTTTCATGTATTCATAAGGTGGAGGCTTTAATATAAGTCTTTTTGGGTTTTTTGCCTCTTCCTGCACCTACTTTTTATCTAGGGTGCATTTTACAAACCCCAACAACAAAATACAATTTTCATGTTCTCACCAGACTTTGTTGAATGCCTGATTTGAGCACTGCTTGCAGAGTATCGTTGATCCAGCTGTAGTGGCTGGGGTGCTCAGGGGGCGGTCTCCTCAGTTTGAAAACCACTGTGCAGTTGTTGAAGGAGGCCAGTTTTAGGAGCTGCTCCAGACTGCACACGGTCTGGTTCCCGATCAGCTGTTTCTCGTGAGGGGAGAGGGTCTGTACTGTCCCGAACGGGTCGTCCTGAGGCACAGAGAGGACAGGGAGGACAGGGGGGTCAGAGGGGGGTCAGTGTGGGGTCAGGGAGAGCAGGTGTCTTCAACAGGCTATCGGCTTATTTACTGAGAAAGCACTGACATTTGGATTAGACAATCTGATGCCACACTGATCCTAAAACACATTTTTCAGAATAGATGGTATGTTTAACACAAATATTAAGGTCTAATATAATCCTATAGTTTTGTATGGTTATCTAGTTCTGATAATTGATCCAAGAAAATATTAAGGAATGGTCCAACTGTTTTTGAGATCATACTTGTAAACTGAGTATTCAATTTTGATCAGTTAGCATCCTAGTAACAATTTTTTACCCTGACAAAAAATAAAAATATACCATTGTTTACTTTCAGACACCAGATCTTATTGTTTTATATATATATATAAATATATATATATATATATATATATAATTTTGGTCATATTCTTCTCCACATTAAACAGTTCAATCATTGTATGATCTGGAATTGTCTTAACTAGACCCAAAAGTAGCATAGCAACACAGACAGACACAATGGGAAAGACTAAGAGTCAGTAATCCTGATGCAAATCAGAAGAGACAAACCAGGAACAGAGCAGCCATGCAACCTTGTCCTTTACATGAAATGTTTTGGTGTCAGTAAACCCTCTCAGCTTTTAAAAGGTGGAAGAACTGATATTTGAAACACAGCTGAGCTGAACAATTTTTCAATTTCAACAATTTATGAAGTATCTAAAACAATTATCTGAGATCATTCAGCGAGAACAAAGTGCTTATGTTTCAAAAGCATGTTGACATTTATTCCAGCAAAATGTGACCATAAAGAACATGGGGAAATTATGCATGCGAGTACCCTGAAGCCATTAGACAATAAGGACACAATCCAGTCAAGCCAAAATTCGATACAATTCACAAATATACACTGACAAAGGCATTGTATGGATGCACAACCTATGGATGACATTTTATGATTAAAAGAATAAGCACTGTCTTAAGTCCATTTCAAATTGGATCATTCAAAGTTCCTATATAGTGCAATGCATTCTTGTGAGCTTTAAGCCATGTTATAATGTTGTTACCTCATCAAAAACATACCCAGAATTGTGTTTTGTTTCAGTTTAAAAACACAGTGGAGCACAGTGTTTTCTGTCTGAGAATAAAGCCTCAATATGCAAGGTTTTGTGTTTTGTGTCAGTGAAACAAAACAAAATTCCAGATATGTTTCTGTTGAGGAAGATCTATAACATAGATCCTAAAAAGCGTAACAGAAGTCCTTTAATACAGTTCCTTCTCTGATGGAAAGTGACTGTGTGATTGTTTAAACAAGACAGCCAAATTGTCTATATATTTTAAAAGGGATTTCAAGATAGACATTTTAGTTTACCTTAAGAAACCAGTGTCCCGTGTTGAGTTGGCGCAGGTCTGTCCAGTTGAAGGAGGATGCGTCGTCCCACTGTCGTTCTGGAAACACCTTCTGTACATCTGTGGTACGGCGCAATGTCATGTCATGCATCAGGAAAGGCACTCCATCCAGACTATAAACAAACATTAATTTACAAGTAAATTACAAGTTGTTTTTTTCTATCTGAGGTTGCCATAACTAAGTACCAGTTTAAATGCATTGATATGATTTTGCTTAGCTTGACCTATAGACCGTATATATATATGGACAAAGCTAGCCCACTAGCTGCCATGTTCCAAATAGGAAGTTCGCATGGGAGCACTTCCGGATACATAGACTACAATTCACTTTCACCCCTTTCTCTGTAACTCCTGCTGGTTACTCCTGCTCCATTTTGGTCCTACAATATGCATATTAACCCTCTCTACATGACAACACATTGGTGTTTTTATTTTGCTATTTTGTCTGTAAATTAATTCTATTTCTAATATGAAACTCTGATCCTAATTCCCTCCCATAACTGCCAGCCTCGTGAGCTTCATTTGACTGGAGCCAGCCACTGGGTGTCCTTCAGTCAAATGTCTTTAGTCCACTTCTTTATACAGACTGTAGTTGCCCAAATGTTCTCTTATGCAACTCTCTTTGTAGTTTCCATGTAAGGATGTTAAGATGGTTTAACAATTAGTAAATATAATCTTAAAAACTACAAAAATAATAAGAGAATTAGCAAATTTAAGCCATTAGTCACATCAATCACATCATTCAGACCATTTGATTTCATAACACTGGTCACATATTTGAGCAATTGAGAGGTATCAGAAAGAAAAGGCTTTCACTGTGGCTGTTTATGGTCTTAGCAATCCTAACAGTAACTTTTATTATTTTGACACCTTTACTCCCCTGACTTGAATAAAAAGTTGAAAAAGCACACACAACAACAGCTACACACCAAGCACAGGTGTTTTTTGCCATTCAAATCATTGCCCCATCTCGCTGACTTATTTGCAAACAGCAGAATCTGGAAGTTGCAAGTAAGTAGGGCATAACTCTATTAGCTAGTCCATTTTGTAAGTCAGCGCACTGTAATGCCGGAATGGCGCTCCCCGTCTCTCTGGCTGTCATCAAGTCTAATTAGGCAGGAGTTCACCTGTCAGCAGTCCACACCAATAATATACCGCTAACCTCTCCAAAGACTGACTAACACACATCCATAAGGCAGTTACTAAACCAGCAGAGACGCATGAGGCTAATTAACATGAGCATTGTCAACAAGCTTCATAAAACATGTAGCAAACAACAAGCTACACATCAAGCATTAAAAAAACACAGTAAATTCAATATAGAAGTTTTAAAGGAAAGTGCTCCACTGTGTTTTTAAACTCCATACACCATCACTAGGATCATTTGGACAATTTCAGATCTAGAATTACCAATCTCTAGTGAATAAAAGGTAAAAGGTAACTTGAAAACTACTGCTTCATGACATCACAAGGCAGAACAGAGGATTTTGAGTTTTGAAGATGTAGACAGACTAATAATAAAGGATTATTCTTATATGTTTGGGTATGTTTTTGAGGAGGTAACAACATTATAACATGACTTAAAGCTCACAAGAATCAATTTTGTCAAGTATAGGACCTTTAAATTGAATATAGAGGTGTTAAATCATGTTTTCTCTTCACAATTTTATTCACAGTCCTTGTACACAGTTTAGACTGTTGATTGCTATATTCTGACAAGTCACTCATCACTGAGAATGTTCAATCTCCTTGTCAATCACTAAGGCTGACCAATAGGAGGAGTGGGTGGGTAAAAGTAGACATTGTGCCTTTAAGTTATTACTCCAAAATGGATCAAAAGGTCAGAACACAATTATTTGGTATTGTTATATTACCTACCCATAATATAAAACATTGTCATTGTTACAAAATATGTTATTATTCTTTTTTTTTATTATGGCCAAAGAGTCCAGGTCTGAGACAAATCCCATACTATAAGAAAACTAAGATTTCTCTCCAAGTCTATTATAAAAGGACTGTTACAGAGACTAGACAGAACACGCACAGTGAATCCATGCTATCTCCACATCACAAAGTGCAGTGTCTTTTTCCACCACTTCCTCTGCCTTTGTTTAAGTGTCTCTGAGCGCAGTCTGTCATCTCTCATTAGGTTATCCATGTCCTGCCTCAATGTCTTTGCACTATGCACAGCTCACACTAGGGTTGCTCAATTATAATCACTATCATTTGGGTCACACTGAAATTACACTTGTACAATTAAGCTTTATTTTTTTGTGTCTTGTGGCTACTTTTTGGTATTTGATGTCCCACTTGCAGATACTAACTGTCATTGCACGAGTACATTTCTAAAAGATCTAATCATAAAAAATGGATTACGCTTTTTTAAATCCACTGGATACAAAGCTGAATTTATTTAATTGTATTGTTATTTTTCGCAATTGAAGCAATGTTTGTAATCACAGTTAGACAGTTGTGGATTTACAAAAATAATCTTAAATCATCTTTTAATCTAGATGTATACATTTCTAATTGACCATCCAAAATGCTGTCCATTTGATAATTTAGCACAAATCCTTTGCACTGGGAAACAAGCCAAACCTAGAATGACTACAGCATGCCAAAAGTGAAATTTTATTCTGTCAACGGGACAAAAAAACCCTGTCTTTTTTAAAACGACAACACAGTATTGATCTAAATAATAGTGTATGTAATTGGCATTTACACGTTTTGCGTCATCTTGGAACAGACAAAAACAATGACTGGAAAACAGAAGCTGTATTTGAACATTGGGGTCACAGCTCTGATTCTGTTTGACTTTGGGACATGGGCAAATCAATAAGATAAACTCTCCGTGTGAGTATGTGTGAGTATGTGTGCTGTGTGCAAATACCTTATAGTTACATCAGTCTCTAGTCCAGTGACGTTCATCTGCAGAGCTCTCTGGAAAGACCACATCGTGTTCTCTGGAGCAAGCTGGGAAAATGATACATATTATAAAAACAAAATAAATAAAAGTGCTGCAAAAAGACCTAATTAATAATAAAAATGGAACAAACTTATCTTTAAGGTTTCAAAAATGTATATGAAATTAATTATGGCCTTTACATCTATTGATACTTAAACCTGAACTAATACATTTAAAGGACACATTTTAGCACAAAATATTAAGATATTCATTTAGATATAGCTAAATATTAGCTCCGGTACCAATATCAATTCTTTGGCGATCAAGGTCTTATTTCATCAAATTAAAAGCCCAACTAGGATATTGGCTGAACCAGTATCATAAGACCAATACCCGATCCAGCAAATTTTCCTGGATTGGCACCAATATCAGTTGCCAGTATTGGTATCAGTGCAACCCTTCTAAAATAGCCTGAATTTAAACATGATGCCCTCACCAAATGCATTTAGGAAAATCAACAGAATCATCAGAAACTCAATCAAGTAAACAATATACTAAATTAAGGAAAAATGTCCATAAAGCCAGAAGATGTCATCTAAAATAACATTCCTTTCCCAAAAATTAAGTAACAGAAGTGAAGCCAAGGTCGCTCTCTGAATTGCTGGTTTCATAAGGCCGAAGGTTAGAACACAGTAGAGGGATAATGCTTTAATCAATACAGTCCTTATGGGAAACCAAGTGGAGTTTGTGTAACCCAGTGGGAGCCTCTCACAGCCTGTACAGCCACACCTAAATTTAGACTAGAGGTGATTGATTACACAAATACCAGGGAACGGAGCAGAGACCGTAACCGGGCTTATAATGCTTATGAATAAAATATTATCACTTTTGAAATACTATGTTTTAGAAGGAAAAGGGCAGAGATGTTATAGGAAAGAGACTGGGTAGATGTACAACTATGGTTTTAGCAAGGTGTGAATTTATTCTTATACACTTTCATTTTTGTTGTTTATAATTGCATTAATTTTATTGGGAATGTCAGGGAAAAGAAGGGTCAAATAACGTGGAATTTGATTTGGTCTGGAGCTTGATTTTTTTGCAGCAACCATTTTGAGATTTTGATCTAAATACATTTGGTTTAAGTACAAATCCACAGTGAAAACAAGAGTAGCCTTTCGAAAAAAAAAAAATCTTCACCATTACACTCTTCCTCAATGTCTTATTTAAAGGGTCCATATCACAGTGTTTTCTGATCTATGTTTATAATATTGTTTCCTCATCAAAAACATACCTGCGTTGTGTTTTGTTTCATTCACACATGTTTAAACCCTATATATTTAGGCTTAGTTCTTCAACATTCTAACATGGCTTAAAGGTCATAAGAGTCAAGTGTAACATAGCGTAATATACAGGACCTTTAACTGTAACTGTCAAAGTGGATGCAGCAAACTATAGACAATGCAGTAATAAGAAACAATGCAATCCAAGCAGTTGTGGAGCTCTGTATGGAGGTGCGGCAAAGTCAATTTAAACTGTAAACTGACTGTCAGCTGACTCACCATGGCTGCTCCTTGGTGGCCAATGACTTCTGGACGTGGCTTGAGGTTTGAGGGGTCCATGATGCACGGAGAGGTAATGTACAACGGCACCATGTACAGGGTCAAGAGGACAGAGAAGTACAGCAGCACCACCACCACCTGGAAAACTGAGAGAAAAAAATTTAATTAGTTAAGAAAGACATATATTCTTTCAGGATTTAAAAAGGTCTTATATTACACAAAATTGACTCTTGTGAGCTTTAACCCATGTTGAATGCTGTTGCCTCCTCAACAACCTGGAGCTGTGTCTGTCCCTGCTCTGTTCCACCTTGTGATGTCATGTAGTAGTATATTTTAAGTAAACAGCTACCTTTTACCTTTAGTGCAGTAGAGACTCCAGTTCTGAAATTATCCAAATCATTAATGTTGTATGGGGATTGAAAATGACAACTCAAGGTGGAACAGTGTTTTCAGTCTGAGACAAAACCTCAATAAATAAATAAATATGCTGGTTTTGGGTGTTAAACGTGTGAATGAAACAAAACAAATCCAGGTGTGTTTGTGATGAAGAAGCAACATAGTAACATACTAGCAGATCAGAAAATTAAACTATTAACATATTTACATCACTTAACATTTTTTGAATTGAAAACAAATTGATTTCAATAAATTATTTAAAGCGGATTAATAATGTCTCCTTGTAAAAACTGCAGAACCGATAGGTTCCGCATCCTTATAGTGACATTTCTATTTAGCAGATTTTTATTTTTAGTGTTGGAAAATATCAACGCGAGGTATCTGAACCCTATATGTAAGATATGACTTTCAGTAATCAAAAGTAACTACCAAGCTATTGGAGATGGCGGGTACGTGAAATTTTCTCTGCACTCAAGCCTAAAATAGCATACAGGACAATACAGGATTACTCAAACAAGAACCAGTCAGAGTAAAACTGTAAGAGAATGACATGGTTAAATGATCATAGAAAAGTCAAATTTACAAAATATGTCCCCTTTAATATTCTATTAATCCTAAAATTAGACACTAAAGGGGATAAAGACACTGAGTCACATTTTTAACCCAGGGCACCAACATCTGAAGTACTGGCCATAAAAACACAGCCAAACTTAAAAGCTTTTTTATTTGAGGCAATTAGCAAATGACTTACTAGGTTGAAGAATATGAATCTATTTCTAGAAAAATCTAGTAATTAATTTAGTTTGAATGTCAAAACTGAACAGAACATTTTCATAATTTTCATCTGAACAATTTGACAAAATTCAGTGTTTATAATAGGGATTTTCTAATCTCCAGCCTTTTTCAGTGTTGTAAATAGAAACATACTTCAACACTGAACTCCCTTATGGACAACAGACACATGTTTGTTCAAATCAACACTGAAGACAGTGAAAAGGAGATCTACACTCACACAGGGAGTGTATAGATTTCAAGGTCAGCCATAGGGTGGAGCCAGGCCACATCTCCTGTTACAGACAACCCTCATCCACAAAGACTATCCACAAACACTGGGACTTATTTTATACTTAAAGTGTGTATGATAGGTTTTTATGATTCTCAAATTTTGACTTCATTTGGTGGGATTATACCAGTTTTACAACAATGAAGAACCAATTTGCAAAGAAAAGTTAAAAAATATGTTAAAAATGACAGCAAGTGGAGAGTCTAAATCAAAATGATGATCATACTAAGGAGAATTCTATAAAAATTAGGCATCACTTCCAAGTAAGAAACATATTTTTTCAAATTTTGTTGAAATAATATTTTCATTTGTCAAGTAATAATTTCAGTGCACATTAGAGGGGTTTTAGGCCAGTGCACAATATAGTTGCTAGGTAACAATCACTGAATTCCCTATTGCGATGTCAATATCACATCAGAAAGTAAATTTTAAAACCAAAAAAATGGAAAACAAATCAGAAAATTCTCAGCAAAATCAAATCCATCATGGGCACTTTAATGGGTGAGAATTTTGGGAAATTACAAATGGAAATATTTAAGCGAGTTTGACACAGAACAATATATACCAAATAATTTTTGCTGTTAAAATAAATCATCTATAAATTTCATTTGAAAGTGACAAAGGTTAGACAGGATAAAGAAGCAATGACAGAAAATTTAACCCATGGCACTGTCACATGGGGACTTAAAATATGTCACCTAAATCGCAAAACTATTATGTTTTTTCCCTCTCTCTCAAAGGGCGGGCAATTGTCATTAAAATCATGATGCAAGAATGTATCACTTGTTCCGAGTAAGGAACTCATCCTGTAAAAAGGTCATCCACAAAGGAGAAAAAGTCAATGTCCCGGCTGGGAAATGGTCACGTGATCCTGTAGGAATGTTCGTTATCACAACAGTGAGGGCGGAGGGGCTGCCTGTGTCCACACATTGTAAATCATTGACTCTTCTGTTCATGTGTGTAACAGACGCTCACACATCAGGAAAGCTTACTCATAATCTCAGTTTTACAAGAGACTAGTGTTGTCATGATACTTTGGTCACCTTGAGTGTTGTGAAGGGCTCTATAAATAATGTTTGATTGATTGGGGTGTTATATCTTGTGTAATCCTCTGTCGTCAAGGTAGGTCCCCATAGTGGTCCATGGGCATATACTAGTCTACATGGTCTCATACTCGCTCTGACAAAGCTCAAGATCATTCTAAAGCTATTCAGGAACAGTTTATTTCTGTTCTGTGAATGTCACTTTTTAGTATCAATAACTGCTCAAATGAGCCTCTACTTCCAATACTATTTTAGTATTTGATTTTTGATACTTTTGACAACCCTACAAGAGACTCACTTGTTTTTTCGGCCCGAGCCACCTGCCCCGCCACAATCCAGGACAGAGCTGTGACCGCTGCTACCGCCCCTATGTGCAGGAATGGACCAGTCGCCTAGGAGAAAAATATGGGTTACCTTAAAGTCAGCAAATAAATAAATACTGACATCACGCCATCAGAAACCTCATTCTAAGTTAATAGCTATAATTCTGAAGCCACTGGCAGGTTCAAGTGATCCCACTTGAGTCTTCAAAGAGCTTGTGCTAGAAAACCACGATGATGAACAATTGTTACTGGCTTTTTAACAAACAAAACTGTGTTCTGTCCTCATTCACACAACAATAAAACATAGATTTCAATAACAAAATTTAAATGGAACAGTATGCAGTATGCCTGTGTGCTTACAGTTTTAAAAAAGGTATTATCATCACAACTGAATCTGGGTTGTCAGCTCCTAATCTTGCATAAAATGACACACACGTTTTATTTTCATTCTTAGTAAGTACTAGTCCATCTATTAAAAAACTGGACTAGTAGATATTTAATATCAAAATCTTACCTATGGTTGGCTGGCATTTCAAGCGTTCAGAATGATGACTATTGACATACTGATTTTTAACTAAATATTATATCTTTTCAATGGGGAAAAATCCCCAATATGTTGCATGTAACAGAAAGCTGACATCCATGAATAACTGGTGATTTTTTTTCCTGGACACAAAGAGACCAACATTCTCCTGAATTAGTTTGGTCATATAAAAATGTGAAATATCTTAGTGCTTTGTGCTTGTTTGGTTTCCTGACCTGCAGTGAGATAGGCACGATGTCCCACTCGTAGCCCCATGTTTGGGTGACTGATATCACCCCGATGACCGTGGTGAGGAGCGCCACTGTGACTCCAATCTGTGAGGACAAGGGAGGAAGTCACAGTCACTTTGAATTTATTTATACACAAACAAAACAGAAACACAGCAACATTTATAGACACCTGGCCTCCATGGTTTACTGATAACACTGTGGGTACAGCTGAGGACATAAGGATACTAACAACAAATAATAAATTAATATCCAAAAAGTAAATTCACAACAGGTTTGCAGTTTTAAATATATGCAATTTAACTCACAAACTTTAAATCAGGTTAAAGTTCAAGCCACTTTTCTGGTGTGGGGTCTGCCACCTGCATGTCTCAATGTAGTACCAGTAATTTGGCAGAGGAGAAGTTGAGCGACATACCGTATCTAAAGGAAAACTTGAGGACTTTAAAAGACATTTGGTTGTTCTTTTTGTGCAATGTAAAGAATTCTGACATGTAGAAACCATGATTCCAATTGAGTGAACTGTGTGTTTTGGGTGGGAGGATGGTTATAATGTATGTGAGTTTAGCTTTTTTTTTTTTTAATGCATAATGTTGTGTTATCTTTCAAAAATGTTAAATCTGAATAAAAAACTTGTGAAGAGATATTTGTAAATATTATATACTGTAAAGTCATTTGATATTATGAGAAGCTCTCAATCTTTAATTCACAATACCACATCAACACCTTTTATCTGCTGTTGTTCCCACGCTTAAGTACACAAAAGAGAACAACAATATGTACTATCCTCCACCCACTCAGCACAATCAGCTGCAGTCTCACGTTCAACACTTTACCTTATGGAGCCAGTGCAAATTCAACTGTTGGCCAACTGCAACGTGGCAAAGTGCTAAAACCTAAAAACAGAAGAGATAAATAATATGTTAACAGCTTTATTTGCTAGATTCTAAAATAAAAATTACAATTTATGACATTTTCAGTAGACTCTGACATTTTAAAATGATAAAATGTTGCAAACTATAACTACTCTTTCCTCTCTTGGACCACTTCAAACACTGATCACTAGACACAAGAGCTGCACTTAGGAAGGTGATGGGCCTTAACTTTGTTGGTTCCTGTCACAATAAGTGCATGTGGACTATACTTTTTACTTTATTAAAATGTTGTAACTTGCAATTAACTTTTTATGAATGTTCCAAAAGCCTTAAGATGAGTGTTTGTATGCTACTGAGCACTGAAATGTCTCTTCTTTGGGATGAACACAGTATTTAATTTTGTCTACATATAGTTAGAGGCAAAATTATAATAGTGAGTGTATAATCTTTAAATAGCTACAATAGGAGTTGATTAAAATATATATCTAACTTAAGGGTAAAAATGTATGCACTTTCACTTAAACTTGACTTAAATTTACAACTATGTTACATCTTTTTTTTCAGTATAATATAATGATAAACCCCAAACAATATATTGATCATTTCACACTATGGGCTACATATTGAAACATATTGGTAACAGATGGCTATGGACCAGGGGTCAATACAATGAGTCATTCAGATGGCTTCATTTAACATTAGCTTCCTTTATACACCTTTAATAAGACTTTGGGCACATATTTTAGGTCTGTGTCACACTACAATGTTATGGTTTTGCGGTTATTGTGTAGTGATTATTATGACCTTTCGGGCCAACCCCCTAGATATTCATATCTTTAAATAACAGGTGCCAATATGAAGGCATAATTTGTTATTACTTTCACCCATCTATGGTTACAATGTTTGATTAGACTTAGTACTTACCATTAAAAAAGTGATATATGTGAACCCTGCAGCGGTGGAGGCCAGGATAGGAGCCGTGCCATCACTCCACTCCCCAGATCGGTTATAGAGAAACCTGTCACAACAAGAGAAACGCACAGTTCAAAAGGTCTGTGTTAAAAGTCCTGGACACAGCTGTGGTGCAAACACTGAGTATAACAAAGTGTGGGAGTGACATGACCGCTGGGCCCTGTGTAGCAGTAATTACATTCAGAGTCTTCAGAGCAGTGGTGGTAGGTGCAGCAACACAGCAGGGTTACTAAGACAACATAGATGCTATAGAAACACTAGGAGGCACACTTGTGATAATTTTATAAGCAAAAATATGTCATTTGTATTCATTCTGTTTTCCAAAAACGTAAGCCATATATGAAGTGCTTTTCATCTGGCTTTATGTCACATTAACTAATTTACTTAATATCGGATAGAAGACACATACTAGAGCAACTGTAATGCATTTGATTCTAATATAAGTCAATTTATGATTTCACTGTTGTTTGGTCATGATATTAATACTTGTTTTCCCCCCAGTAATAATTTGATATTGTGACATCCCTGGATGGGTCTTCATATTATTTTATTTTTATATATGTTTTAAGTTATTTATTATTGACAAACACAAGGAGGTCAGGCTTCACACTCAACAAACACCACCCACACATCACATCCATACCCATATTACTTAATACTTCATGTTATTGCATAGCAGCATTAGTAGCATTAGTTACAAATACAAATAGTTAAATACAGTAGTTTTCAAATGGCAGAAAGAACAAACTGGTCAGAAAACTGACTGTTTTTACACACTAAATTATGTATAATGTATTGAAGTGTTGAGAAGTTTTGAAACATCCATTTTGAATTTGGAGGTTTCAAATGGCTAGTAATTTAGCCTACAGCAGAATAAGGCTCATTGTAATTCATTAATATGACTACATGTATAATAGCAAGATGGGTAAATTATACAGTTTGTCAGAGGTAGGAGTAAAACTAGGAGATTAATGGGAGAGGAAAGAGGGCAGGATAATTATAGACCAAGTGGAAGAGGGTGTGAGAGATGGACAGTGCGCAATAATAAAAAGTAGAGGTGACATTGTGGAGGTTCAAGTGGGGGAAGGGTCACTGTATGAAGCCATACTGTATGTCTTTTCCAGTAAAATGGTTTCTGTGCATTTTCACTTTTTTATTCATTGGTTAGGAGGATATATTGATGTTGATTCAACATGTTACCCACTTGACATTGAAGATACACTGCATTGTATAACTTTTCTGGTGCAGATCCACCATCTGCTTGTCTCCATGGAGATGTTGTTGCTCTGTCTGGAATGTCTCAGTATGGCATTAAATGTACCCATCTTGCATTTACTCAATAACATGGGTTTTCATTGATTTCTTGACTTGCATTCTTAATCACTGGGCTCGCCTCTCCACAGATTTAACATGTAATTTGGCCCTTGTGAGTCACCTGTTGTCTCTGAATAGATAGGTAAGTATAAGGACTAAATACTGTGGAACAGGCAAGATCAAGCTGGTAACAGACCCTCTACTAAAAGTTACATGAGTTACACCTTTTAACTTGGCTAAGGTCAGACTGATATATGTAGCTCTCTGAATTGAGTTATACACATTAATCTTGAGTGGCTCTCGCTGAAAGTTGTTGGGAAAAGGTGGAACGTCATGACGATTGGGTGGGATCAGTTGTTCTGGTCCCCAGGGTCTTAGGGGCCCAAAAGTGGAACCTCTGTCTATTAATTATTATATTAGAAGGGGGCCCATGTGAGCTTTCTTGCCTCAAGCCTCTAATTTATGTTGACGTACCTGCTTATCACTATATTAAATACAAACAGGTCTAACAGGTCAAACATAATGCACAAAAGCAGTCTCCTCACCAGTTGTACTCGCTGTAGTCATTATGAGCCTCCCACCAGAAGTAGGACCAGAGCAGCAGCAGGCCGAAGGTGAAGAGCAGGACGAAGGACCAGAGCAGCTCCCACTGCAACACAGCAGACAGCACCATTCATTATCCCAGTCCCCAAAGACATATTTATCTACTGAGACAAGGGATTTATGGTCTCATTTTACTAAAGGACAAAAATGGAACTTCATCAGGATAATATTATTAAGCAGCAAATATGGACTAAACTGTAAGCCTATCACGATAACAAAATTTGAAGTGTGCCATCGACACAAAACACCCAACAGCAGATTTACTAGTATACCAGAAAAACTATTCTAAAACTTAAAATATTGTTAGAAAATCATGAGCTGTAATAAACAAATACCAAAATGAAAACACTTCAGTACTTATTTTACATCTGTAATGAGTTTTTGGAGATGTAGCCTGACTGATAATAAAGGATTACTCAAATATGTGTGAATGAAAAAAAAACAACTCCAGGTGTGTTTTGATGAGGTAACAACATTATAACATGGCGAAAAGCTTACAAGAATCAACTTGCATAATATAGTGCATTGATAATAATCTCAAAAACTTCTTTCTTAACTTTTGCACATCTGTTATTTCTCATTGGTCCACAGCACGTCAGCAGAAATTAACAGACAGTGTATTCCCTTATCCTCTCCCCTAATTAAACAACTTATTTTAATGACTTCTTTGCACAGAGCGACTAATTACTGTCCTTGTCGACCAAGTGCTTCACACTTCACCTACACATATTAAAATGACTAAACTATGATAAAAAGACAGCTGCAGGCAAAATTAATCCTTAAATACATTTCTGCATCACCTTGTAACCTTGTAAGCTACTTATCATTTACAGTAGAAGAGACACAAGGGACCAGACAACTTTAAAAAGACACTTGCCGGAAGCTATTTTACGTAACGGTCCTATAGTATATTACACAAAATTGACTCCTGTGAGCTTTAAGTCATGTTACAATGATGTTACCTCCTAAAAAAAAATATCTGGAGTTGTGTTTTGTTTCATTCACACATGTTTGAGTAACCTTTGACTATTAGTCTGTCTTCATTCCCAAAGCTCAAAATGCTCTGTTCTTCTTTATGATGTCATGTAGTGATAGTTTTCATGTTTTACCTTCTGTTTAGTAGAGACTGGCAATTTCATGGCTGAAATTATCCAAATGATCATAGTGAAGGTGTATGGAGTTTAACAACACAGTGGAGCACTCCCTTTATTACCACATGACATCACAAAGTGGAACATGGTGTTTTCTGTTTGAGAGAAAACACTTGGCCTAAACATGCAGGGTTTGTCTGTTAAATGTGTCTGAGTGAAACAAAACACAACTCCAGGTATGTTTTTGATGAGGAAACATAATATAGATTATCCGTGGTATTTTTATTTAGCTGAAGCCTTGAAACTGTCATCTGAACGTCTCAAGTGAATGCGCGCAAATGCATTTTATTTTGATTAAACAGCCAATATCACACCATAACATACTGATATTTGGCACACCCTCCACCAGTAAAGAGTAGTTTTACATTGAAATATTAGGTTAAAACAAATCTATAGCTAAATCTAAAACAAATCTCACCGTGGGATTACATAGCAATCAGCCATATTGTTAACTTATTCTAACTGAGACTGATTTATTGTATTTTTCATGCTAATGAGAGAAGATAAAAACTTTTAAATACAACACAGACTGGTGATGAAAGCAGTAGCTCCAGTTCCCAGGGCTTTTAATGACTTCATTCAAATACCTGTGAAAGACCAGGCTGCATCTCAGTAACAATCTTTCACCTCACCCCATCTCTGCATTTAAACCATTATATCTGTGTATTACATTGCACATACAGACCCATAAGAGCTGGACTTTATAAAACACTATAATAACATTTTAGCCTTGTAAGAGTTTGATAAAGTAATGCTTGAAATAAACCAAATTATTACAATCATTACAACTATGCTTTCTACCATCCTCTGCTCCCTGGTATTTCAGCAGCTCTCACTTGCCCTATTGACATCACATTACCATAGTGCACCACTGGCATTTTGTACAGGCCCCTCACCACACAGAGCGGCAGCAACAGTCACTGTGAGATCTCTGAGCTTCTCCACATAACCTTGTTTAAACATATTGAAAATGCTGAAGTAAACACAAGGTACTCTCGAGAAGAAACAGCAGTAACAGCAACAACAGTGACTGGCTGCTCCGATTCTGCAAGTAAATTTTCCATTCATTCACTTTTCCCATAAACTTTCAAAACAAATTCAAATAGTAAAAGAGCTCAAAAGCATCGCGGAGGATAATCGGCTACCTGCCAATTAATATCCATAATATGTTGTTGTAAGTCCAAAAAAGGCATTTAAAACACAAGATTTGGCTAAATGTTTTCATAACTTAGAGGTTTATAACGATTCAGAAACAGATACTACATTGCCAATAAGCCTTGAGCAAGTTTGCAAACTTTGAATTATTATTATCATTATTTATTTATTTATTTAATTTTTTTGAAGTCTATGGGATAAATGTATGAGAAATTTTGTCTCCATCCTGGAGGGTGAGCGGTCACTGTGAGCTCCATAAGGTTATGGTACATATGGTATGGTATAGTCTTTCTAGAACTAGCTTCTGACACACCAGTCATTTCTCCTGTCTTTTGAGACACTGAACTGTACATCAGATTACATTGAAGCGCAGCGAGAATTGTTACACTACTGTAATTTGGCTTTCATGATTTTGGAAGCAAAAGATAATTGTAATTTTCTGACAAGTAAACAACTCCAGAGACATTAACATTTGATAGAAGACCGACATATCAACTGATAAACTAACACAATTGTTTGTAGGCTCCAGATCAAACCTACAGATGCAAGACTTTCTATAAAAAGACCGGATATAACTCTGTTGCAATCTTGATTAAATTATGATTAACTGTGTAGGCCAAATTGTAGTGGTCCTTTTCTCAGTGAAGTTCCCATGTTTTTCTCAGAGCTCCTGTCTTCACTGGATTTAACACCTCAGTCCCTTGTCACATTCCAGAGCGTTTCCCGATAAGTCCCAGGCATTTCACGCATGGTCTACTGCAGCACCCCTCCATTATCCAGGCTCTGGGCTAAAACATCAAAGGTAGAACCCATTGACTTATACTGAACTACATGCTCTATATGATAAAGTGTTCCACCGATAGCAGACACCCAGCCCAAGACACACACAGCAGTAGTTTTTTGCACATGCTACTTAAGGACAGGGCAATTCATACAATTTGAACCAAGATCAAGATTCAGTTATTTGTAAATGTCAGTGATATGCTTAGGTCTTGTTAATTGAGAGGTCAGAGTTCAGAAGAATTTTGTTGTTGTTGTTGTTGAATTATAAATATATATTTAAAAAAAAAAAAAGTTGTCATTGTTTAAGTTCAGGAAATTCACACTGACATTCACATTGTTTTTTGATTTATTAGGGAGACAAAATAAGAAAACTTGTGATCAATAGGAGAGACAAAAAACATAATTTTTTAGCCCTACACTACATTTTACCTGTACTACAGTAACGTATTCAGATTATTCTTACAAAGAAATTTTTTTTGTAATTTATACTCTGCCCAAAACCCAGAATATCTTAGAGTTACATAAAGCAGAAAAAGATTAATCATTTGTGATATATTAACGATAATTAACTCATTTGTTTAGTTACATAATTTGCAAAAGCATGATATCAATGCACCCAACTTTATTATATATATATATATATATATATATATATATATATATATATATATATATATATATATATATATATATAATAAAAAGAAAAAATGCCGGATACCCTCAACAAGCCAGGATTACTGTTCATTATCTCCCTGTCAACACCACATACACAAATACAGGCAAACAAGCGATTCTATTTTTGACTCTTTTGTTGTTGAACGCTAAAGACTAAAGCTAAATGGAAATACTTTCAATTATTACTGAGCAACCGGATCGGTTTCCAGGTGGTGACGTGGCTCGTTTTCCTACAAAGAGCTTTGAATAAAGACAGTTAGGAGCTACACAAACCTCTCTGTCCATCCTAAACAACTGGATACTCTGTGCAGTGATGAGTGGGGACGAAATGCATTATGGGTAGCTGGATTATGGATGAGCAGACAGCTGTTTTAACATGAGATTGTCAGGTCTCACGCTCCTGTGATTTGGAGGGGTCCTGTTACCTGAAGCTGATACCTGTGTTCTTGATTGGCCACAGTTTGTTTACTGGTACCGTTAAACATGTAGTGGAGTGACATCACCTTGACTCAGCAGGCCCCTGTCACTGAACTGTTTTGCTGCAGAGCTAGAAATCATCTGTAATTTATTTAATACATCAGGATGTTAAGTATTTAATCATAACCTACTATACTACTTATTTAATTACAGGTAACAGTTAATGAAACCAGCCAAATGTTTTTTGGAATAAAGTTTGAGTGTTACATCATTTATTACATAATTAGGACTTTCGATGAATTTATAATCCAATTTGTTCAGTTCTGATATTGATTTCGATACCAACATTTATTTCTTTAAAACAAAAATTAACAGAAGATAAAACTGATCCAAAAGTGTTATTCAGCTGTTATTTATCATCCAAATAAGTAAAGAACAGCTTTGTGTAAATAAAAGTTCAAACATTCTGAGACTTTCTGGGCAACTACAATCAGTAAATAGTCTTATGACATCAGTGTATATGTCCAACCAGGATAATGGCTGAACCGATATTTGGAAGCAGATAACCAATCCAGCAATTTTTCCAGTACTGGCACCATTGTCTTATACCAGTATCATATTAATCCATTATTTGTAACAAATGCATAAAGTAAGTTAAAGTTAAAACAGTCTTGGCGTGTGCTCTGAGCTACGTTTTACTAATGATGATAATATTTACATATATTTGTTTCCATCCAACCTAAAACAAATTTAGACACAAAGACTGTATTTTGTTCATATAATAAATATTGTTATAGAGGCAGGGCACTTCATGAGTTCAAATGTCCAGATCTTATCACTGCATTTTCTTTTATCACAAAATGATATATGACCTAACACCCAATGTCTTCAACCTAAGTTCATTAGTTATGCTTTCCTTAAAGGTACACTATGTAACATTTTTTGTGGAGGGTCTGCTGCATGCTGGCCTCCAAAGACATGTTATTGTTTTGTTTGGGACGTTCAGTTACTTCATCTTGAATTTAAAACTGGTTATCCTGTTTCCTGTTCTGAGTGGACTTGCCTTTCCACAGATCTAGGTCTGATGGTGTCACCTGTTTGTCTACATGGAGAATACTATACCAAGCGAAAAATTACATAATGCATCTTTAAGTGAACAATCATAGCAGAGACATTTCTCTGTGTCACCTGATGCACTGTCCTCCTCTTTAGCCTGGTTCACTGGGGTCAGAAAGAGACTGGACCCATTCACGATCCAAACACACAAGTGAACAAAGGCAGAGTGCTGATGCGGCACTATCCTATCAGTCCAAAGTGAAGCACGAGCCAGAGGAAAAACTTACACAGCATCAAGTTACTGCGTTCAGAAAGGAAAAATCAATACGTCTTTATTTAGGACCACAATGCTTTTTATATCATAAGTGCTATCAAATATTATCCACATCTCTATTATTATGGTTAGACAATGCATAGGCAAACTTTTGTATTACTGGAGCAGCTGGTGACCTGGGAGGGTGCCTGCTGCAGGATGGTATGGGGGCATGAATTAATGATGTAAGTGGGATGTCCTCACTTCAATGTTGAAGTTATGTCTGGACATGCTTCTCTGTGTTGTCCTTAACAACTGAAAAACAAAGATAAAGTGAAGGACAGAGCCTCTCCTGGTCAAGGCCCAACTAGCACTTCAGTCCTGCACAATAGAACAAGTTTAAAATAGTTTGTCAATTGTAATATGATTAGGAAATAAAAACAAATAATTGGAAAGGCAGAAATGAGTTTGCCTGGAGCATAAATATTTGATTTAGCTATTTATTTGTGGACACCAATATAATAGAATAAAATTTTTAAAAATTAGTTTGTCCATGAAAAAGGTGCACTTTGTTACTTTACTGGTGTAGAGTCTCTCACTTGTTTGTCTCCACGAACAGAGTTATTATTTTCCTGAGGATGTTCCACAGTAAAGAATTAAACTTCTCATTTTATCCATGGAGACAAGCAAGCTGCATGCTTTTCAAGGTAATTTTGAACAATTAAACATAACTGAATAAAGGCAAGTTAAGTTTAATGTCATATGGTGTAATGTTTCCATGCAGGTAGCAGACCCTCCATCAGAAAGATTAAAAAGTGCAATATTATTTATAGTACAGTTACAAACAATGTTCAATTATTCTACATTGTATCAAGTTTTCATATCACTCAGTCTTGGCCCATAAGAGAAACAACAACTTGCTGATTAACTATAACTAATAATAAAAAATATGTCTGTCAGCACTTGGCTTCAAACTGGAAATTGGATTCATGTGAGCTTTAATAAACCTTGGTGTAGAAAGCTCAAGGTTACTCTGGAGAGCACAAACCAATAGGGACATTTCCTTCAGATAATTGTTCTTTAAAAATCAATACAGGACCAAGAACCAACATTAGTGTAGGAAGGGAATCTGGAGACTTGGGCATGGGTGTCTGATATCCATTTGTTGAGGCACACTTTAACTATTTTCAATAAATCTACTGGGATTTGAAAATGTTCTGAAATTTTAATAATAACACAAATAAAGCTTTTAAAGATGATTGCAGAAAAATCTGTGAGTAGTGGATGGTACTAAACCAGTTGTCATTTGCTTTATATGTATCATGGATCTCATGGGCTTCTTCCAATCAATCTCCATTGACTACATCCTGGTCTCATGAGTCTGGCTCCTTATCGCATCTCTGGTCTTTCTGTATAGAGCTTCCATCTTGTATTCCTAGTATTCATGATCTTTACAGAATGTGTTATCCTATATGTTATTAAATTATTTTGTAATAGATACTAATTAGGGTAGCACACTATATTGCAATCAAATTAAAATAGCAATATGAGTAGGTGCAATCACAAAGACAGCGAACATTTAGAATTTAGCTAATACAATGTTCACTGTAAACAACAAAATTATAGAGGGGGAAAATTGCCAACTCTTTGTAGACCTCTATAGACATGGTCTGAAATGCATGGGATTCTTGCATTAAGCAGCAATTTAATAAAAAAAAAATAAAAAAATGAAATAATAAAAAATAATGAATATAATTTGATGTACTGGCCATGTTTGTTGGATGTATTGGTTTAACTGTGCATGCTGTGGTGCTGAAAATACAGGGACCTAAACATTATCTTTTGCTCCAAGGTCGAGCTAATGTCACTGAGGGTCCATTAACAGATTGAGTGACGATAGTAGATAAACACTCTAGGGGATATACACCATATTATGTGAAAATGAACACGCTTCCCCTGAAGAAGCCTTTATATGCAGTGCTGCCACAGAAAATATTTGCAGTTAAAATAAACATCTTGAACACATTATTAGCATTACTACTAAAGGAAGAAAATGTGGATCTCTAAACCCTGCCTATACAGCTCAACAGTGACTACTTGCTATGCTTCTGGAAGAAAATTTTTCACTCATTTTGCATTTATACTAGGCCTCGGTTGCTCCTGATTTCAACCCGGTTTAGTTCCAATGCTGACTTTGGGTCTCAGTCAATCCCTGTGTGCTACCTGCATCCCCCATCTGCAGTCTTAGGATCCCTGGAGTTTTCAGGGCTCTGTTTTGGACAAACCTTGGTGGTGTCATCGTGGGAGCGTTGGTATCGTTTCCAGCGGCAACCGTAGATCCCGGTGATGCAGGACAAGCACAGCTGTCGCTCGTACACTTGCAGAGGCTGGTGTTTGACCATGCTCCCTCAGTCAGTGCCTGAGCTGCCTCCAGGCCACGAACATCCCACTGACAGACAGGAACCTGCATCAATGAAAACACTGGTGAAAAGAGTATTATAAAAGGTACACTACGGCTAAGTAAATATAAACTATAAATGATAATGTTGCAAATTATTTATGCCACTGATACAAACACCAAAGAGCAGATTTAACCACAAAAAGTAAAAATAAATAAATAAAATGAAATTTTAAAAATCAACAGCAGAATGAAACACACACTATAGTACTTAGTTTGCATCTGTAATGTGTCATAAAAGTTATTAAAGTAAACACAATGAATATTGACCCCAAAATATACTGTTCCAGTTTTCATATATTGAACGAAAATGTATGTATGATAAAGTAATTATTGTGACAGGTCTACTGAATGATTCTGGAAAAACATCTGCTTGCAATATTTCTGGCGAACATAGTGATTGTAATAGATTTGCAATTTATGCTTTAATAATAGCATCCTGTTCGAAGTTCACATTTTAAATATGTCCAGAAGAACTGACCAAAAAACTGGAATATCAACTGAGAAGCTAACACAAAAATCACATTTCAGAAAATGTTTGCACAGATCTAAAAAATTGTATGCATATTAAGGCATAATACAGTTCACCAATTCCAGTTGCGTTTTTGATTCAGTTGAGATTAATCTTACACTATGATACACTATGTAGCTTTTTGGTGTGTAACATTTCTATGGAGACAAGCAGGTGACACCACAAAAGTTACACAATGCACCATTAATTACGTATAATTTTTAAGTTTACATCAGTATCTAATTTCTCAAAATCCATAGCTTATATTTAGTGCCATAAAACATCATTTTAAACTTTTGCCCTCTACTTTTATGTCTTTTTGAGAGAGCATGTTATTTTGAAACAGGTTAAATCAGGTGCTTGTTTTCCAGCTGCAGTTTCCAGTGACAACCAACGCAATGAGCAGGTTTCATCAATAAGACCAAGAAAGGTAAATGAATTGAGCCAACCACATATTGAACACTGTATTGGATCTGTGTGCCTATGAATACATCACAGAGAGACATGCTCCAATCTGTGGCCAGCCATAAGGTCAGGAAAGGGGCACCACTGTCATTTACTATACTAGAAACTGTTAAAATACTATCTTAACATGCACAGGGACAACATTACAGGAGAAACAAGTGACAATATTCTCCACTTAGATCGGGCTAATAATTTTTTTTTACAAAATTCTGAAAAAATAAAAAAGAGAAGAAAAGTACATTCAGAAACACAACTAATAATATCTATTTATATGAGACAAACAGAGAAAATATATTTACTTTAAGCTTGCCTTTTTGGAGACTAGATTGAAATGACCTAATTTTGCTTCTAAAAGTCTCAGTTACATTTTAGTTCTTGTACCTGTTTAAATAATATTAATCAATCAATCATTATTGATTCGAGAAACACAAAAGATGATAAAACTCTTCTGGTTTATAAAAAGAAAAAAAACACTCAAAAATGACAAACTGTTTTCTTTCTCCTTTTTGACATCTCTAAATGATCTTCAAATATTAACAAACCTAAAGAGTGAATCAAACCAAATTCTAAGTTAAAAAAATAAATAAACAAAAAAATGTGTAGAGAGAGGGTTATGCATGGGAGGGTTTTATTTTTTTTTCTTATTTATTTATGTATACAACTACAAATGGTACAGTTGTTGAAGTGTCAACATACAGTATACGATTGCCTCTTCCCAACACACAAAACACAAAACAGTGCCCTATCATCTTGGCAGCCTGTGTGGCTCACTGAACAATTGCTGATTCAGCTGTAATGATAATCATATTACAGTAGTGTTGACTGTTCACGCACTTTGCAAAAACATGACCCAGCCTGTTATGCTGCAGTTCTGCTTCAAAACACATCTCCACAGCTTGTTATTGGCAAGTAATAACAACGTGAATCTGAAGTCTGCATACCTCTTGCGTACAACAGAGAAAGACTTGGATCATATCATACTTTCAGATCCAAAACACATTTCTTATTTTAAAAGGCATGGCAAGTTTATTTGAAAAGTACAATCAAGTAATTCAAAGTGCTTTATAGAATAAGGGAGACATTAAAATCACAATATCAGAGTATAAATAATCACAAAATTTGCATTCAAAGAGAAGAGAGAAGAGCATGGGATAAAAAACTTTCAGTCATATGCCCAGCTAAAGGGCCTGTATCCAATTTTTCCATGCATTTGAGCAAATTTGTCCTGCTCCAGTACAGATACATTGTGTAAGCAGCCGTTGAGGTCAAAATAAGTCCTCTCTGTACTGTCTGTATCTAGAAATAAAACGTTTTAAGTGTACAATAATCAGGAAGTTTGCAGTTAGCATGCTAGCATAACTGTGACTGCTCTGGCCTGAAAGTTGTGAAAAGCACTCATCACAATTAGGATGCTCTGAATGCAATAAGGATGTGAGGAATCTAGTTTTAGAACAGTAAAAATCAGGTCCAGTACCATTAATATACAATTTACTCATCTTTTCTTTCTTTTTTTTTTTTTTTTTTTTTTTTGCATACTAATAAATTGAGTGGTTACAAGCCACTTACAACATAGCTACCACCAGGGTTGTCAAAAGTAGATACTCAGACACTAATTGATATTAAAACCACATACTTGGTGTTTTCCATTCTAATTGTGCTATGAAAAGTGGTATAAGTATCGAGCTTTTTTTCCCCAAGTGGTATTGTATTGTAAACAACACCAGCCCCGAGCGAACTATGTTTTAACTACCACATCACTATCTATAGCAGTGCCATCAGTGTAACCTTTGTGCATTATAAATAAGCTCTTATAAATGACATATCTCCATTGAAGACTGCCATTGCCCCTTGTGCTCCCGCTGTGTGGAGATGAGGGCCCCGGGACATGTCCTGACCTCCCCAGTGCAGTTGGTCTAATAACAGGACACGTGGCTCTGCTGTAGATCCTAATGAGATGCTGCCCAGAGCCTAAGACACTGATTACAGCAGGAAGAGAGTAGTTAACATCCACATCTGCCCCCAAACATCAAGGACTGTTTCATATGTCCGCCCCCTTTTTACAAGTCCACCAATAGGTCTAATAATGTGAGGGAGAAGAGATGTTCAGTCATGGTAGTTATACATTACACATTTGTGCCATTAAGTCAAACTATAAAGGAAGTCACAAGTACAGCTGTGCAATTAATCAAAGTTGAATCCTATCAATGTTTAAAAGCTTCAATAATCAGATGGGGCTTTTAATCGACAGGTCCACAGACAATCGTATGTCAGTGAAAGAAATCTAACTGTGATATATGGTAATAATTAACACCAGTCTTGTCTATGTAAATCAAATAATATTTTTTTTATTAATTTATTATAACTCAGCACTACAGTCACAAACTTGCATATTTTGTATGTTGTAGATTATATCAAGCATGGCATTTTCTTCTTTCTGATTGGTTAATTCAAGTGTCAGTCATATCAATCCAAAATTAGAGAGACCTGGGTATAATGCTCCTACACATCTTCATAGCCAAGAAACAATGATTCAATCCTACTGGTCAAGCTTCTTTCAATCTCATATTTCATCACTACCCACACAAAAATAAACCATGAGTGACTGTTTGTCTTGAGTGTCAGTCCCGTTATGTCTTCTGTCTTGTTACATGAATCAGTATAACTTGTTATTAATATATCTTGAACCTACAATCTTGCTTAAAATAAAAACTCACATTTAATCTATTACATTAGTTTCATCATCATAGCTGTTGAGATGTGGTCTTAGTGAATGCAAAAATTTTAATCATTTAAATACAAGTGTACAGTCATTTTCTGTGCAGTTGACAACACATCTAAAAAAATCTAAATGAGAAGAGATTTTATATGTGAGAATACTGAATGTGTAATATTTTTTCACAGGAAAACCAACCATAAATATTTGAGATGTCTTGGCATGCTACTCCAGCCTTTCTTTAACAAACATGTTTGTTATGAGTTTATTAAGGCAGCTCCATGTTGTCACTTGTCAAATTATAACGTTCAGATTGTCTGCTGGATCTGGCTGGTTTCTGTAGTTTATGTTGCAACATGTTTATGTTGGAAAAGCCAAAACCAAAAACACTGACGCACCAAGTCCGAAATATTTGCATAATTGCCTCTGAATCAGTCAAACGAGGAAACATCAGTCGTTTAATACACTTTCTCTTAACATAATTGGGTGGAGAAATGCTCAGACCACAGACTTGTCACCTTGAAGATTCATGCATATTTCACTACTTAATTACTCCTGGGTTATGTTAGCATTGCAGCTACGTGCCAAAGTTAATCCCTTTAACAGCATGAGGTTTTACTGGAAATCCATCAGCAAGAAATGAACAGACACAATGCAAATCTAAATTAATGGGAAATGCTAAGCTAATATTAAAGAAGACCTACTGTGCTTGAGCCTGCTATATAGTTAGAATCAACAACACCCATCAATCATTGTTATAATCTGCACATTTTAAAATCTCATTTTCATCTAAAATTACTTCATAAACGAAACAAGTCCAGTGACTTCTGCGCTTAAAAAAAAATAGTTCCATAATCATCATCACAACAAAGACCCATGATGTTGTCAGCCCTCATGATCATATCTGCTCATGCTAGCAAGCAAGTACAAGATTTTTTTTCCCCATTTGTGTCAAAATGAGTGCGCAACACTGCCAAATCCTACGTGTATTACCATTTCACTTAGACTTAGACTTAGACAAACTTAATTGATCCACAAGGGAAATTACTTGGATTAAAATGATAAAATTGGGAGAATGAAAGTACAGAGCACTGGGTGTATACTGGTGGCAAAAAAACAGGAATTGATCTGCAATATGGCATCTTGAAAATAAGTGATTAAAGATTACTCAAACATCCAAATATAACTTAAAGAGGGTAAATGAGAAGGGGAAACAACTATAACATGGTTTAAAGCTCAGAAAAGTCAATTTTGCATAATTGTTCTGCTTTAACTTCCATCACTCCAGAAACTTGGAAAAAACATTGAGTATAGGGA